AATATGGCGGCGGAAAAAACATTGTTGGTATAGACTATGTTTTTTTTTAAGTTTACGAAATTTCCTAAAAAATAAAATCATTGAAATCGGACATGTTAAATAGAAAGTAATTTTAAATTTTATGTTAAATTATTTGGAAATAATAAACCATTGTGTAATAATTTACAGCGTTTTTAATATTAATATCAACATCACATATCTTTGGAATAATTACGTACAGTTAAATCAAATAGCATAAATAATTATTTTATTGCATTAAATCAATGCCAATGAGCTGTTATAAATAGTCCAATTTCCTTTGGATAGATTAATTTATATACTGACATGCCGGCCTTAGGACGAGGCAACCGGGGCAATCGTCCAGGAACGCCGGCCAATCTTCGGGTGCGCTTCTCAATTGCTAGAAATTAATAAAAAATACAAAATGTATTAAAATAATTAATTTTAGCCTATAAATAAAGCAGCTGTATTAGAGAAATATTTAATGAAATAAAGTTAAAATATTATATCATTTAAAATAGCTTAAGAAATAAATTTAATTTTTTTAGACGAGGGGAGAAGATATCATTGCCCGAGGGCGCCAAATGTCTAAGGCCGGCACTGCTGGTACGGAGGTAAACTAAATGATATAAAAATATTAAAAAACCGTTTACGTAGCTGAAAAGTCAATAGACGTTTTTAAAACCAATCCGTTGAAAACAGTCTATGTCCTAAAACCTCGAAATAGTGATAAGTATTTTATTTTACAGATCATTAAATATATTGCCCTCTCTTCAACTTACTGGCAAAAATATTTGGATAGGAATCTTTCACGAAGCCATAAGAGTTATTTTTGAGTCAATAAAAGATAAAATCAATACGGTGCGTGAACATCCAATTTAAGTATCTGCCAATCCTACGATGCAAAGTGGAAAAAATAACCAATGTTGGTCGACAAAACATTATTATTCCTTTTCATTTGTCGAATATATTTACAAATATAATTTTACATATGCTTTCTTCATTTAAAAATCTATTGAATCACTATTGGGCAGTACGAAACCGTGATTTCTCACACTACTATTTTGTCATTGTTTCCTTTTTCTTGACTCTGGTAGTATACCTAAATCTAATCATTTGGTTAAGTGATATGATAGAAAACACCGGTCAACAAACGATAATTTTTACCAAATTTATCAAAAACTGGGACAAATTACTCTAAACGGCCCCGTAGCTCTGAAATGAGTTCTCTAAGAGGAAACTGATATAATCAAAGTTGTAGACCATCAAATTTTGCCTCCACTGATTACCAACAGTTTTAATGTAGCACCGTTTAGAAGTTATAGGTGAAAAAACCAAAACAGATTGAAAAATGTGGCTTTTTCGGCTGTAAAAAGTTTTCCATTGGTTGCTCGCGTTAGAAATTTTGATTTTTACGTGTTTGAACCTATATACACATGTTAAAAAAATAAAAACTTTTCCCACTTTTTTCGCAATATATGCCGTTTTAATATTTATTGCGAAAAAAAAAATGGGAAAAGTTTTTATTTTTTTAACATGTGTGTATAGGTTCAAACACGTAATAATCAAAATTTCTAACGCGAGCAACCAAGGAAAGGCCATATACTGCCGAAAAGCCATTGTTGTTTTTTCACCTATTACTCCTAAACGGTGCTACAATAAAACTGTTGGTAATCAATGGACGCAGAATTTGATGGTCTATAACTTTGATTGTATCAGTTTCCTCTTAGAGAACTCATTTCAGAGCTACAGGGCCGTTTAGAGTAATTTGTATGCGTCTTTTAACATAAATATTTCTGAACTCGCACACTGAACATAATCGACAATTTAGATGGACAAAAATAATGACAAAATATTTTAATTTCGGAGTATAAAATGTATGTATCATAAGTTGAAAAGACGCAAAGTACAACTATTTTATTTTTTTTTAATTTTATCTCCTTCCTCACCTTTTCGGCTACAGGGGTTCTTTCCCGTGCCAGTGGAGCGGGCGGAGGACTAATGTTAAGGTTAAAAATTTCGCGGCACAGAGATTTGAACTCGTAATCTTCGGTTTAACAGGTTGCCGGACAATGCCCACGCAGCCATCCTCCCACTGACTTTTTGCATATTTACTTAAATGCCTTGGTAGATTGCGATGGAAATTGACATCAAAGTATATTGAAAATTAGTCGGGTGCTTCCACTTTCATTAATAACTTTTGGTTAACGACACAAACACATAACCCTCTGTGTGACTTCATCATGATCGCGTAAATAAGCAAACTTTTTTTAGGGAAAAAAATACTTCAAAATCAATTTTTCAATTTCTGTACTCCAACTTATTAAAATTACGCACATCAACACACACACACGCATCAATGATTTTTAAGAGGATGGAAGAAAATTACTATCTATCTTTTTTATCTTGAGTAGGGTTATAAGGGTAAAACTTGTATAAAATTCTTTTAGGAAGATCCATGCTGACATTTAATAATCATGTTTACTTCAGTCAAAATATGACAGCCAAACTACGTCGTAAATCATTCTACAGTACACTAAACAATAATTTAGTGTTAAAAATTACCCTCATTTAATATAAATTAGTGGAACTGTTACATCGTAAAATAATTTCTTACTAGGAGTACCCATCCCCCCAAGATCGATGGCACATGAACCTTCACCCTCTCAAAATATTTTATGCTCACATCTTCTTAACAGTCCAAGCAAAAGTAGGATTAGAAAATTTTTCAACCATATAAAATTACACTTGCTGAGGTTTGTTCCATGTTTTCTCCTTGCCCACAGGTTTAAAAATTTTCATTCAGCAAATTCATAACTCCCTGGAAATGTGCCTCCCTCTCCCCTGAAAAATTATAAAACTGATCAAATTATGTCCTTCCAAAAATCTTGTTGGCACAGAGCTTGCACCATGAAACCTACTTCTGGGCACCCCTGCTTCTTACTACATTCTGTCAAGAAGGTATCTGCTGGTGGAGCAGGTTGGGGTGAGGCTTGCCCAGTTTGGAAAGGTAAGGTTTCAATTTACCAGTCCAAGCCAGTTAATACTTATTTCTTGATGGTACCAAGAAAAAATAAATAAAAAAACATGTACCAAGAAACGAATCTGTACAATCAAACACACCAAGGTTTTTAACCCTTTAGAGCAGTCAGCATCTGTTGGAATCTGAAAACAAGCTCCTGCACCCCCTTAAAAAAGTTTTACACGTTTTTATTTTTTAAAAAATTATTTCATAATCAAATGTTTATTTACAGTACACATCAATATATAACATAAAAAGCAATATTTAAATTTTAATATCTAGGTTATTGTTTACTCAAAATAATTCTGTTAAAAGAGAAGTTTTTGAAACGTCTTGCACTCCTGGATATGATCTATGTTATAGGTAAATAAACAGGGCAAGTGTAAACTGTTTAACTCAAACAATGTAAATTGTCATGAAAAACCAAATATGAAATACAAAACACATACCTTTATTGTGACATACATTTATTAACTTTGTATGAATTCACAATCTAGCAATTAATAAACTATGATATATACTCCAAAATATTGTAATATAGAACTAATTTTTAAGTGAATAAGGATAATCAAGCTACTTGGTTATTATGATATCAGCACAAATTGAATTTAAAATAGATTTTTTTTATTATAAAAAGCTCAATATTTATACATCTCTATCATTATCCTAAAAATTAACTGTGTGTATTATTATACCAAATTTTATCAATCCTTCATATCTTCTGTCTCAAGAGAGAGATGGAAGATTGAAAAGGGTTTTGTGGTAATAGAATTACATTCATACTATGTTACATGTATCAAAGTTAATACTATGGCTTATACCACCTAGAAAGTATTTGAAACATTTGTTATTTCTGAGTAGCATGGTATATTGGGATTTTTACATGTTGGATGGAGTTTCATTATGTTAATATTGTGGTTCCACTTAGGCAACGTATATAATCATCATATGAAAAATATAATCATAGAACCACAATTTTTACACAATGCTGTCAGAAAAGGTTTTTAAGATGAATCTTATGATTTTCTCGGGAATTAATCATGAGTATTATCACCTACATTTAAGATTCTTAAATGCACCAGTTATTTTATAATTAATATTTGCTGATGTTTTCTTTCAGTTTAAATTAATTAAAACTTAAAAAACAAAAATAGATTTTTGTTTTTAAAATATATTTTTTCCCTTAGGTATTTTTTTTTTCAAATTATAACCATCTGATACCAATTGTTTTTTTTAATATTGCTTCTTTTCTTATGTTTCAAAAATGTTGTTCTATATAAATTCTACACATTACCTTAAACATTATTTGATTGATTTCTAAATGCCGAAATATATTAATAAATACTCTGCATTATTTTTAGGTTACTTATCATATTTGAGCTCAATTATTTTTATAAATGTATCTTTATTTATGATACTTAAACTTTTAAAGATTAGGTCAGAGGTGTAGAGGGGGCAAGGGTGCAGTGGTTGGTTCGTGAAGTATGATATTGATTTTAGGAAAGGGGTCACAGGCTTGGGAGTAGAACTCAGTATTACAGAGGACATGCAACAATTAGCATTAGGACTTTCCAAGTGGTGTTGCGGTCTTGAATTCCTTTTTAGTATAGGTGGGATTATCTTATTAATACAAATAGAACTTAAAATTTATATTTAGAAATATTTCATTTATAAACTATTAGTTTAATTAGTAAAACTATCTATTTTATTTTTCTTTAAATAATTAAGTTTTTCTTTGTTTTTGATAATTATTGTTATTTGTTTATTATTCAGTTAAAACATCATGAATCTTATAGCTATGACTAAATTCATGTCATTCCTAATTTTTATCGTTACAATTTATGTTGTTTTCAAAACATTAAATTTGGTTAAATATTTAGAGTAAGGGTTGTTAATTATGTTTTTTTATTAATTGCATGTTTTGTTTTTTTCCAGGGGAAGGTTTGAATGTTTAATAGAATGCTAAGGAACTGGAGTCACACAAGAGCCAAGATTTTTACAACTAAGCAGTTTAATTTATCTAAACATGTCACTTAACCACGACCCAAATTTAACATGGACAATTACTTGTTATTTTGTACATTTGTCAGGTGATAAGACATGAAAGAAATAATATAAACAATTTAATTGTAAATAAGTGTATATATGTGATAAAATTGTATAAATGGCCGATATACAGAAGAAGTTTTTGTGTCCTCGTTTAGTCGATTATTTAGCGATTGTTGGTGCACGACCTACATCACCAAAAAATGCTAACAGTGCCTCACCTGCAGTTCAGGTAAATTTTTAGTGGCTATTCAAGATTAACTATTAGTTAATGTAATAATTTTAATAGTGGAATTATTTAATTTTATCATTTAGTTTTTTGTTTTTTTTCTAAATACAAGTATCTATTTTATTTTTCTTGGTTTATTGGTTTTTTGGTTCTCATCAAAGTTTTAAATTTGTTGAATCCAAATTTCTTGGAAGTTTTATTAAAATTTAATTCATAAGAATCTTTTCAAGTGTAAAACATAAAATAAATATAAATTTCTATTAAATAGCTGAAAATATAAATTTATTTGATATTTCAAATAAGGTCTAATATGTTTAACTGATTTAATTTTTATTATAGTTATTTACCCTGATGCTGTATTTTGTATAAAGCTAATTATTGATTACTGTCCATAGAACTATTCTTTACTGCATTATATATATTTTTCATTGCATTAAAAATTATATTTGTACACTATTTGATCACTATATTAGAATTAATGAAATGATAATTTCATTGAAATAATGACTTCAGTTTTTTTTTCATACTAAATTAACATCACATATATGTTTTTTTCCTAAACAATTTGTAATTTTTCTACTAATTTTATATTAAGAATAGGTTTCATTATTCAAATCAAGTAAATATAACTTGTCAAGAGATAGAACATTATTAACAATAAAATTTCTCAAGTTACTTCTTATATTTTTAAAATTAGACCATAGAGATAATTTCAATTTATTAATTTTTTTGTTTCACTCATTTAGATGCATTCAAAAAATTTATTTCTATCATAGAGAATCAGGTCAGAAATATGTGATAACATAACAAAGTCATTTTTCATACTCCTCTCCTCTGCTCTCTAGTTACTATAAAATTATTTATGAGTGTATTTCGGGTGGAATTTTAATTGCTAAGCTGAAAAATAAAACAAAAGTTGACCAAATAATCTAATTTAAATTGCATTTATGGTATTCAGCTTCCTGAACTGCTAAGGCGGTATCCTGCTGAAGATCACAAAGATTTTCCACTTCCTTTAGACATGGTATACTTTTGTCAACCAGAAGGTTGCATTTCAGTTGGACCAAAAAGAACAGCTTTGAGAGATGCGACTTCATTTGTATTCACTTTAACTGAAAAAGATTCAGGTAAGTAATAATCACAATAAAAAAAATTGTACGATGTAATTTTTATAATCCTTTAATTTTATGATTTTGTTTGAATTAAATTTTTAACAAGTTTATTTATATCCAGTATTTTTGTGAAGAGGTGAGATTTCGAAACTTTAACTGAGGTACGGTCATGCATGAATTTTTTTTTTTTTGTAATTTTATGAGGCAATATAGACGAAAAGTAACATGAAATCCGCCAATTAGCTACATTGTTCTTTCATAACTGTGCTATCCTTAATTATAATTTGAGCTAAACTGATAATCATTCTAACAAGAGGTTGACCAGGTAAACAAGGTCAAGGAATTTACCTTCTATTTATTTCTTAAAAATATATTAAATAAAAAAATTTTGTAATAATAAATGAATTTTCATTTTATTGAAAAGAACATGTTTTCAATTCGTAAATCAATTTAAAAAAAAAAACACACTTTACAAAAAAGAAATAGTAATAAAATATTATTGAATCACTGTCACGTTATACACTAAACGTTGTAGTAAAATTAATAAAATGGGGCAAGTTCTTGACGATTGGTTTTTATAGCTTCTATAACGTCTTATCAATGTTAGGTTTTGTGGAATAATAAGTGCCTAAATTAATTCAAGAACTAAGGTTAAATTAATAAATAAGAACAGAAGTAGAATGTCAAAGACCCTTCGATGCTTGACTCGAATCATGTTTGATATCAGTACTCAATGTTGTTAATGTAAATAAAATCTTAATGTGTAAACACAGGTTACTTCTTTTATTCAAATGGGAACTTTAATTGTATTTATATAATCCTCACAATGTCATCTACATAAATGAATCTTGGGGCCAGCACTGAAAACAGGATCCATTAAGTTTTAAATTTAAATTTCTATAAATTATGTTCTATCCAAGCTGAAAAGAATTCCATCGTCACTTTTCTTAATTCTTAAACTGATGAAATATTATCAAAAATCTTTAAAACTGAAGCATTAAAATATTTCTCATAAAATATTAAATTCACTTCTAACCTTTATTATAAAACTACATCTCATTGTCAGTATCCTTTTGTACTGTCCTACTTATGTTATCAATTGGGTCTTACTATTACTCACAAATATTACTAAAATATTAACAAAGACTATATATATAATGAGACTTATTTGGACTAATGGAGTTGAGCTCTGGGATTTCTGAAGCCTTCAAATTCCTCCTGTATTTCATTCATACAATCCAAAATCTTGACCCAAGCACCATGTAATTTTTTTTTTTTTTTTTTTTTATTTCTTTATGACATTTACAACTGTATTACATAAATACATCAAGTAAGTTTGGACATAATTGATATAATGACATGAATACACTTGCTGAGTAACTACCCAATGGTAGCACTCTAATGATATGACTACATTAGGAGATCACGGGGCCATCTTCTTTTCAGACGCCTCAGAGGGTTATCAGGAATTGAAGAGGAAGCAAGGTTAGAAACGAGAGGGTTGGGATGATTCTGAAGTTTATTATGGAAGGATAGGTATCTGGATTGGGCCAGATCTGAAACATAAGGAACATTAAGATCTGTATGGATAATTTTATTAGTGACAAAGTAAGGAGCATTGAGGATTTTACGAAGGATTTTGGATTGTAAGGATTGGATGCGAGAGGAATTCGATGGTTTAGTGGAGCCCCATAGCTCAACTCCGTAAGTCCAAATAGGTCTTATTATAGTCAAGTATATGAGTCTTTTGTAATTAATGGGAAGTTTAGAGCGTTTGTCTAGTAAGTGCTGAAGTAATCGGAAACGTCGAGCGGTTTCTTGTCGTTTCAGTCTAGTATGAGGATTCCAAGTTAGTCGTTTGTCCAGGTGGAGTCCTAGGTATTGGATTTGCTCAACAGGGATAAGTGGAGTATTGTTAAAGGAAACTGTAGGACAGGAAGTAGTTGGTTTACAACAAAGGGTAAAGGTAATTCGGTGGGATTTATTGGAGTTTATTTTAATTCTCCAGTTTTGACACCATTCTTCTAGATTTATGATGTGTGATTGAAGCATTTGGGATGCAATTGCTGGGTCATTGTTTACTGATAGGATACATGTGTCATCGGCATATGTGGTGATGACAGTGTTGGGACAGGTAGGGATGTCAGCTGTATAAACTGTATAGAGGATAGGACCTAGGATACTACCTTGAGGAACACCAGCGGACTGGGAACCATGTAATTTAAATCTAGGATTTTATTTTCTTGTATTGTAAACGCAGTTGTGAATCTTAATGAACAAACAAAAAAAATTTTTTTTTGCAGTAAACTTTTCTTGAAATAAATAACTAATCACAGGTTATCATTTCAAAAATAATGGATATATTTTCTATTAAAGATTAGGTGTATTTTTACATTTTTATTATGACTATAGTAACATTAATAAACCCTCAATAATTTCAGGAAAATGTCGTTACGGCATATGTGTAAATTTCTACCGGGCAATGGATCGCCCTGGGACTATGAGCGGGAGAAAAGATTCTCATCTAAGACGAGAATCATGGAGGAAAAGCATGGAGAAAAGTTCAGATTCGGCATTCTCAAGGTGATACCCCCTCGTTACCAAATAATTTAATATTATAAATTCCAGTAAACTCTTTCATTTCCATTGTCATATAAACCTAGAACACTCCCACAAGTCCACTGTTTGCATACTGATTTATTTTTAATTTTTTTAGATAATATTAGATATGTTCATTAATGTTAATCACACTAATAGATTGCTAGGTCTAGGATCTAATTTCCTTCAAATGTTATTAATTAATATTTTTTTATTGAAGCCATAATTTTTAGATGTGTCAATATTTTATAGTTTAGTCAATTTTATTAACTAAGTATGACTTTTAATAGTCCAAATAAAAATTGTATGTAATTGTTAATTTTCCATTTTTTATTAATTGATTTTCATAAACTTCATGCTTTGTCCGTTTTCTAACTTCTTGTTTGTCTTTGCGAAACCAGAAAGGTTTGAGTGTACAATGTTATTGTAATTAAAAATTTTCTCTAACATGGTAAAAACCTTTGATCTCTAGTCAATTTCACGTCAACGAACTACTCTTTGTTTCTCTTTAATTTTCAATAATCTTCAATTAGGAAAAAATTAATAAAATATTTATTTTAAATTAAATAAGTTACAACTTTTTTACTAACTAAATGAAAAAACTGTACAATTTTTTTATTAATCACACAATACTTTAATTCCATCACATAAGAGAAAAGTTATGATTGAACATTAATTATTGTCTAAATTATACTTTTCAAAGAACAAACTATTGAAATTTTAATATGTTTACTATATGATACAATACAAAGTGAAAAAATATCACCAAATACAATCGAGTTAATAGAACAATTCACGGACGACAAAAACGGACTAACAAAGATGCTAATAGATATCAAGAATTTAATAACAGATAGAAGCATCAAAATATGGACCACAAAAATACTAAAGATACTACAGATAAAAGAGACATCATATAGACATATTTTATAGTAAAATATAAAAATTAAGAAAAACCGCCAATGACCCTCTAGGGTAGAGGCGAATACAAATAAAAAAAAAATAAAATAAAAAAATTTTAAATTGTAAAATGTCAAAATTAAAATCTAAAACATTTCAGTGATTAAAAGTTCTTTTGTTTTCTTTAATCTTCTATTTTACTTCTATTAGCAAATTTGAACCTAAAATTCTTGTCCTTACTATATTACAATAGTTCCTCTATTGAGAGCAAAGATTAATTGTCTACACGGGATGCATTTTTTTTTTAGTTAGCTATAAGTAATTTTATTTCCCCAAAGCCTTATTTTACTTTATTTCAGCGACTATAGAAGTAACTTGGCTCCAAGTGACTCTGAGAGGGAGAGTCGCCGTGATTCAGAACCCTTTTCTCGCCTTGCTCCAGCTGATAGTGAAAGTGGTGGTTCCCATTCCCCCTCCCCTAGAGCCAGCAGAAAGAGACAGGTAATTATTATCAATTATTAATTATCAAAACTTTTGGATATATTACAGAATATTGATATATATTTTACTCATTACAGAGGATTAGGAATCACTCTTTAACGTCCTTATGTCTTCTAACACATCATCCATTTTTTTCAATTTTTCGTGAATGCCTTTTCATTCTGAAACGGCTGATTGATGCTTGTAATGAAAATTCATCTCCTAGAAGAGTAGGAGCTTCCAGGCAAGTTAATAGGTATGCTATATTATCAAAACAGTTAGTTTAGTTTATTACAATTTAGTTGTTTATTGTATCCTATAGATTTTTCCACTTTTTCAGTCTAGCCAGTGTCGCTCTCGAAGGCCTCTGGCAGCCATGCCTTCCTCCACATCCTGCAACCATTTCTTCCTTGGTTGTCCTCTTTTTTGCCTTTCTATTGGTTGATAGAGAAAGGTTAATTTTGGCTATCAGTCTACAGCCATTCTCTGTAAATGGCCATATCATTTCGGTCTTTTTGTTTCTATGTCATAGAGCATAGTTGTTTCCTGCTGAACATTCCGCCTAATATTTTGATTGAGAACTTGCTGCAATCTGGAAATGGCACATCGACTCCATAAGCCAATCTCCAATGACAGTAGCCATGTCTCTTCCTTTTTGGTGATTACCCTAGTTTCAGATGAGTATAGAGTGATGCTTTCCAAAAAGGAATGATATAGCCTTTTTTTGTTTTCAGACTTACTTTCTTGTTCCATAACACAGAATTTAGTAACATTTTAAATTTATTTCATATATTTCAGATTTTTATCTAACAATTTAAATTTTAATTCAATAAAAAAAAATTATTAAATCTAATTGTAAATAAATAGATTGGATAATTTGATGTCTATATTTATATTTTAAAAATTTAATTTCTTAAACATTTGTATGTTACGCAAATGCGTTATGAAATTAATTAATTAATAATATTTGCCTGACATTATTAAATAATAGACTATCCCTCCCGTATGTGATATCGTCATAATGGCCCAAGAAAACCTATATTATTAGAAACAGAAATGAGTCAGTTAATATTAGCTATAATTTATCTGAAAAAAAAAATTATATTTAATAAGTTATTCCTCAGTCTAGAGAATCATGACATGCTTCATTGATCATATATGTCTAATTGTAAAAAATATCAAATATTATTTTATCACTATAGAATCTTTAAAAAATAGTTTGAAAATCTATATGGATGAGCCAGTTGAAATGAAAGTGGTGGTGTTCCACAATTTACAATAACTGAGATAAGTCCAGTATGAAAGCTCTTAAATAGAATTTTGTTTATAATGAAAGTTATGGATATCTCATGTTCGATTATAAATACAAAATTTTTAGATTCACTCGTTAAAATTTCAGTTTTAATAGAATAACATTGGAGTATCACATTTTTTTTTTTTAGTAAAATAACTTCTTTGGCATAATCTTAATACAAATAATAAAATAAATTTTATGTTGCAAAATATAATTCAAAACTCATGTCCCATATTTTTATTCTGATTGTTGTTGAGTCACATGTAGCACTAATTCAGATCTGTCCTTTTGAGGATCAACTTTTTGTTTCATATTAGACCTGTATTATCAAACTTGGCCATCACTTTCTTGTAAGATTGAATGGCTTGAGTATAAATCAAACTTCCTGCTCTAGTTGGATTATGTATGGTATTAAATTAAGCAACTAAACAAATCATGAATATATTATAGTGTATGGGGCATACTCACCGGTAAAGGAGTTCTCGATTCGACTGCGTCCGTGATTCTTCATGATGTTAGAGAAATAGAGACTTGGATATTACGCCTTTTGAGTGCTCCTGTGCCTGTTCCAGGAAAAACAAGAGTAGAGGTTAGCATTTTCATAAATATATTACTTTTTTTCTAAACATTCATTATTAGTTGAGCCACTTATTTCAAAAGTGAATCCTAGTTAATTTTTTTGTAAATTGAATATAACTTGATAAATTTTATTAATTGAATATAGATTGAAATAAGTATCAATTTCTTTATAAAAGCATCCAATAAATCTGATGATGCAATTATTTTTCATCTCAAAAACAAACCTAAATAAACATAAGTTTTTTTTCTGAAACCAGCATTATTTTTCAAGGATTACAACAGTGATTATCAACAGCCGTAGATAGTTGTACAGTTTTAATAACCTTTTAAGTTTTATTCTTTTTGAAACCCTATTAGTCATTTATTATAAATGTTTATTAAGAATTAATCAGGTCTTCATATTGTTATTTTATTATCATTGTATATTTATTAGCTTGACGTTTCAACCTTTTTTTTGTCCATTTCAATTAAATAGAAAATATAGATTTTTGCTTCCTGAAAATTTGTCAATGATGATTAGATTTCACTTTAGAAATAAATGACTCGATTAGAGAATAATTAAATTCATATTTAACATTGTGTAATGTTTCCCTTAAAAATAATGAAACAGTTGTTGATTATGAGTCAATTGAAATAAAATTTATATTTCTAATGATTAAAAGAAAAAAAATATATCAATAGTTTGTTGAATTCAACTTTTTTACTGAACAAAGGTGGTATCTTCATGCCACAGATATATTATCCAGATGTTACATCTCCTCTTATTTTTTCTTATTATTATTATTATTTCTAATTTTAGGTTGAAGTTTTGTCGCCTGGAGTTCATCCACCTCTTACTTTTGCGCTTCCTGACCACACCCGCTTTTCTTTAGTGGACTTTCCACTTCACCTTCCTCTTGAGCTATTAGGAGTCGACACTTGCCTTAATGTATTATCCCTTATCCTCTTAGAACATAAGGTAATTTATTTCAAAATTTTATTTTTTATTTATATTAACATTCTATTAAACAAATCCTTGAACTAAAAAAAAAATTATTTTTAGTTGGTGCTGCAATCTAGAGATTATAATGCACTGTCAATGTCTGTGATGGCTTTTATTACTCTTATTTATCCCTTAGAGTATATGTTTCCTGTCATACCTCTGTTACCAACATGTATGAGCTGTGCCGAGCAGGTGAATATTATATTAATAGTTCATATTTTTCTAATATTATTTAATTTCTATTGAACTGATGAGTTCAATAATAAGAGTTTGTTTGCCATTTTTAGTTGCTTCTTGCTCCAACGCCCTATGTTATTGGAATACCAGCAAGCTTCTTGTTTTTCAAGAAAAACTTCAAGTAAGAAAATTGAAAATAATTAGTTCTTTATTAATTAAATTATAAAATATATTTTAGTAGATGAAAATAAAATAATTTCAAAAACTTAAAATGTATTCAAACACTCAAATAATCTTTTTTCTAAATATGTAAACATAGACTTTGAAATTACGTTACCTTGAAATAAAGCATTAAGATTCAATTACCTGAAACTAAAAAATTATTTGAAATGCTATATTTACTTATTTTATTGTAGTTAAATAGAACATTAATCTTTTTTTGCGAAAAAGTAATAATAACTTAAAAACAGCTTATAAGTATTGATCTTCTTGCATTTAACTATTAAATTGGTTCCTATTATGCAATACTCATTGTTTACAGGCTTCCAGATGATGTTTGGTTAATTGACCTCGATGCTAACAGAATAACTCCTCCGTCTGGGTACAGTGAAGAAGTTCCACCATTACCTGAACCAGAGGGTACTATTTTGAAAAATCATCTGAGACAGGTAGTTTTTTATTTTTGATTCTTAATTTCAATTTTCACCAGCACATTTCTTTAGATCCTATAGAAAATGTCAATATTAAACTTCACTATCATTATTCACTCTTATTTGTTTTGTTTTTTCTTACTTCAAATTTCACATTCAAATCAATTTTAAACCAGTCTTGTTTTCATCAATTCACATTTGGAATGTTACATGCTTTCTTGAACTCTCTCTTTTGTTTAAATATGCTTTAAAATTTTCATCATCGATGAACTATAATTATATTTGCATTGAATGTTCATGTTAACGGTTTAATAGATCTTTTTGTTTCTTGTGAAAGGCAATGCATCACATGGATCAGGTTGGTTTTTTTCTTTCTTCTTTATGGTTTATTTCTTGTTTGCTGCACACACGACATGGCACACTTTGCACATATGCATACTGCAGCTTGAGTTTTTTTTCTATATTCTGGAAATGGTATTTTTTTTACAAAAATTGGTTCAACTGTATGTTAAAACAAAATTCTCATGTAATACTTGGGTTAGCTATTATTATTTCCGCTCATATTTTGCTGTAGGCAAATGCGTTTGGGTTAGGGAAGTATTGATTTATATCATTCTACAGTAAATTCGCTTTTTAAATTTTAATATATTCTGATAATTTTTTCCTTAAATTTGCTATATAATTATCTGCTCATAAAATGCATTTTTTTTTTTTCATAAGTAAATTATCAAGTTTTGAGTTACACATTTAGAAATAGCAACATATATGTATTTAATCATCTTAAAATAACTTTTACTTCTGTGCAGCATGTTTTTTTTTTCTTTTTTACATTTTTTAGTATTGTAATCTGTGTTGATTTTTATTCATTATTTAATAAATTATATTAATATGTTTTATACTGCATGATTGGTAACTGTTTATTATTTTAAATGTTTTTATGATCATTCATGAATCATAATTAACAAGTGTTATTTTTGTAAATTCTATTAATAAAGTTTTGTTTACTTTTTATTATTAAAGAAAAACTCTTTGCTCTTTGTTCCAAACTTCTTTATATTCCTATATTTTATTAATTTAGACATACTTTTATGGTTTAGTTATGATTCCTTGTATACGGTTGAGCCTCTATTTTTTGAGATTGAAAGTTACTTATAAAAAATTCAATTTTGGAAAATTGAAATTATTTATTTTTGATAAACAATTGTACATTAACATAGCAAAGACAATTGCAGTTAACTTTCTGTGGATAAAGAAAATCAATTATATAATCAAAAAGTTTTACATTTTTTTGTAACAAGTATTGAAAAAAAAGATTCTTTTTTACGGTAATGCTTTATCATTTTATATTTTGATTAATCTACTTATACAAAATTCAAGTTTTGAGAGTATTTCTGAAGCTTCGTCATTTTAAAGCAAGGATTTGTTTTCGGTATTGAATGTTAAATTTTTTATTTCCACAATGGTCTATGAATTGTAATTTATTGGTCATATTTGGAAGAAAGAAAACAAGTACAAGTTACTTAATACAAATCTCACTTGATTAATGGAAATATTGTTCAAAATATAGAAAATCCCCTTATAATAACAACCATTGATTTCTAAAAAAAAATTATTTGCAGATATTTTGAATTTATGGTAATTAAATAATATGGCAATAAACAAATACGATAAATTTTAAAAAAGAGGATTTAAATAACTTTTTTTTTTTTTTTTGTCGATTACAATGGTTTTTATTAAAAATAAAATCTGTGCAAATTCCAGTAGGATATATCTTTGCAAATAATAGTCTGATTTTGATGATTTATTTTTTCCTTTATTAGAAAATTCAATAATAACTCTTTGGGTTACAAAGACATAAACTTTTATTTTCTGCTAACATTTTTTCTTGCATTTCCTTAGATTTTTTGGCAATGGTGGAGAGGCAAAACTTAAAATGATGACTCAGTCATTAAGGTTTAAATTTGATAACGTGTGGTACACAAACAGTAAAATACTTTTAAGAAATGATAAAAATAGAGGTTCAACTTTTGTATTAAAATTTAATTATTGCGTCTGCAGACCATATACTTTTTTATTCTTTAAAAAACTTATAAGGCCAAATTCGGCAATATTGAAATATTCCTTTATCTCAATCTTTATTACAATCTGTTAAAGTATATATTTTAATTATTACATTTTTTATATTTGTTTTTATTCATATATTTATTATTTTTAATAATGGTAAGTTGTTAATGAGTTTAAAAAACATCTGATTGTGTTTTATGTTTTTACTTGACATAGCTAAATACTTGATGACTTAGGTCTCAAAATATTGGGATTACTTTATTTGTTTTTTAATCTATAATACTTTTAGTACATCTACGCGTAAAGTAGACCATTTGTTTAATATTTTTTTTAAGTTATGGGTGCACAAAAGCAATTAGTCATCTTAATTTTGTCTAGAAAAGCACTTGAATAAATAAGATTTAAAAAAAAAAACGGTAAGAATGATCTTGGTACTTTGATAGAACTTACTGATTTTTAAAAAAAAGTTTTAACTTACCATGCTTTTTAAAAAAATAAATTATTTTTTCTTATTTGAGAATTCATATAGGTAGTTATTACCAAATTCAAGGTTTTTTTATTAAAACCTACTTGGGTAAGAACAATATAATCAGCACACTTTTTTGTGAGGGTTCTTCGCCCTCCCAGAATAAAAAGTAGTGTAAACACTTTCTGATTTGGAATTGAGCCAATTTTCATCAAATAAGACTTTAAAAGTGCAATAAGTAAATATTAAAATTATTTGTGAATAGTTATTGTTACAAAAACATGTAGCTTTATTATTTATTTTGTCAAAATCACAGACTTTTTTATTTATCTTTATCTTTATCTTTATCTAGTATTTTACAGATCATCTTTTTAAGATTTTTACGATTTTAGTACATTCTTTAAAATGAAAATTCAGCTTTAAAGAATTAAAATATTTCTGAGAAATTATTTTGCTTTTGAAAATAGAAAAAAACTTCATTTAAAAAAAAAATAATATTTTTTGTTTAATTTTTTTTTAATTTCTTACAAGCACTTTGAGTAAAAAATAAAAATAAATTTGGCATTATTTGTTATAATTTTATTTCACTATGTTATTGATTGTCCTAAAACCTTTTAATTTGATATGTATTTATTTGGAGCATTGACGATTTCGGTTCTTGTACGCAGATAACTTATTAGTACTCGTGGAATAGATTATAGTATCTTTATGTATTTCTGTATTATTAAATTAATGCTGTAAAATTACTGATTTTACATTTTGGTTTTTTGTTGAATATTTTGCTGTTGGTTGTTTTATGATATACAAATGATGGTTGTCTTTGTGCTCTTAATGCAGAGTGTTTTTTTAATGAACTATATAACCATGAGGGTTTCCTTGAGATTCACTTATATAAAATAAAGGTTCAGGTATGTTCAATTCTTAGCTTTTGAAATACATTCTCTATTTATATTAATTTCCCTTTTTTAATTTTTTGTTTTCGTTTCTTTCTTTGATACATTTTTAAAAGAGAAATTTTTAATTTTTTTGTATGAGTTACCATAAATATGGCCACTCAGTGTTAAGATTTTCTTTTACAATTTCATATATATTTTAATTATTATTTTCTTATAGTTCATACCTAAGTAGTGTATAATTCATAGACTTTTTTTTTAAAGTAAAATAACTTTTCTTTTTCAAACTGTAGAAAAGAACTATCTTGAACACAAATATGGCTTGAAACTTTAATTTATTGTGATTTATGTGGAATGCTAGTAAAGCTGCCTTTTGCTGACTTCTGTATAACAGTGTGTTTTTAGGTATTTTGAATCTGATTATACTGCAAGTTTTTTTCATTTTCCATTTATTGATGCGATCTGGTATAATGAAACATTGATATTCTAATTACCATAAAATTAAGTTGTGCTTTATTGATCACATTTTTCATATTTGTATAAATTTATTTAAAACTAATTTAGAATGGAATGGTGTTTATGTGAAAGTCTTCTGTTTGATATTGCCTTGTATCATCAAATCATTAACTAAAATCTTTAGAAAAACTTATGATGAATTATTTAGATGAAAAAGTACTTTATTCACCAAATAATATTTTCTGATTAAAACGCAAATTATGGCCATGCATTTTGCTGTTCAGCCGTAACTTGTCAATAAAAATTTTTACCTAACCAAAAATTTGAGTCGCTTTTTGCATAACTAGCACTCAACTCTGCTAGATTGAAAAGAATAAAAACCTAAATATTAAAAACCTTAAGTATATTTTTATTAAGTTTTCAATAACTTAATCTTTAGCTCAACATCCATATTTGAGCTAAACACAACATTTTGGTAGATAGAAGATAATTGTGGCCAACTACAAAAATCTTTAAAAACTTCTTTAGAAGTCCCAGTATTCTAATCTGTGTCTTCATGGATTGTTGCCTCAATCATATTGACAAAGGAACAATTATTTCTATTGTGTAGTTTTAGATCTATAAAATAGATTGTTTGACTAAATCCTCTGAAACACACTGAAAACTGTGTTTCCTGCCTCCTTGTTCCCAATACAGCCCTCTCACATTCTCAAGGATGCTATCCATGATATCTTCCTTCATGTCTTCCATCTTTTAGCCTCATAGCTTTTCAGCTGTCCTCTATTTAACTAACATAGATGAACCAACCTATGTAATAACAAACCTAAAAGAGTTAAAATGTTGAATATAATAAACAAGAACTTTCTGACCATAACTTTTCTCCGTTTGTAAACAGTCATGATATAATCTATTACTTTTATATTTTCTTTTCGCAAATAAACATATGAAAACCCAAATTAAAACAAATTGCAATACTAGTTAATGTTAAATGAGACAAAAGTAGAAAAAAGGTTATGCTGCAACTAATTTCTTATTATTTTCTCGATTTTATGTTCTCTATTTTTTGGGCTTTTGTTATCTGTCAAGTAATTAATGAAATGTATCCATGAACTACTGCTGCTATGATAATACAATATATAACATTCCATTACTTCTTTGTATTTTGTAAATCTTTAGATATATTTGTTGTTCGTATATCTGGCAGACTATGGGTAGAAGGTGTATTTTTGCATTCTGTGCCATTGTAACAATATGTGTCTATAATTGTGCAACAGTATAAGTAATCTGATGTATGATTTGATTTGTAATTGTCTATCTGTGTTGAATGTATGTATTTAACCTGTAAATTGAACTGCATGTATGGTAATTTTATGTGAAATGGTGCATAATCTATTTCTAATTAATGATTTCAAATAGTAGATTCAATAAATGTAGTAGTAATTTCCGTTTCATAACAATATTATCTTATTTATTATAATTACCTGATGTAGGGGATCAATATGAATTTACAACATAATAATCATTTCGTTGGGGGAAGCTTTAGATGAAGAATCACCACATATCTAAGCCACAGTTTTATCTTATTCATATTATATCTCTTTGCTTAATATTGTGATAATGCAAACTGTTTAAGGATTTGTATTCTTTTCTTCGTTATTTTAATTTTTTATCATTCTGTTATTTCTCCTGATTCCATTGATAAATCTAAAATTATTATGCTGCATATAGTTTAATTTGTTTATGTTTTAAGTTTTATCAAAACAGTCAACTTCACTGAATTGGGAAACCTCAAGCCAGACATTTTAGTTTTATTAAAACATAAAAAGCACTGTGGCATCTATATGGCGAAATGCATGGTCCAGTACACCGCATCAAGGCAAGCTAAATATCCTTCTGAGCTCATAATGGGCTTGTAAACAAAATGTTGCCATAAGTTATTTGTATACTTAAGCAGCCTACTACACCAACATAAAATATGTGTTTTATACAGTTTCATCTTATATCTTGTATAATCTATTGGGTGCATTAGTTAGCTTAAGGGAATTTTATCATCCAATTATGTTCCTCCATCTGGGATGTTTGAAGACATAAATAGAAACTGTGAAAAGAATTTTTGAATTCGGAGTTTAGGGGGAAGAACAGTAATCTTGTATAATTATCCTATTTTGAATGTGAGTTGATGACTTCATCACTTAGAGATGTTAAAATAAATTGTATTCATTGAAAGTTAGTACCCTGAAGTAATTCCATGTCTTTAAATTACCATGAGTGTGTAATACACTTGACCCCTGTCCATTTTTTTTTTAAATCTTTAAAACCTAGTATATTTACTGACCAAATGTCTGGCCCTATCCAGTTATAATCGAATTATGTTAATTTTCATTCTAACGTCCATCAAACCAGGAATGAGGCTGATTTATATTGTGCTAGTAGTGTATGCCTGTTGCTATAAGCTGTCTTGATTCTCCTCTTAGTATAGTTCAGGTACAAATGAAATAATAGAGCCAATTCTCGTAACCCAATTTAGCCCTGAAAATTCTATTCTTACACTATTTCAGGAGTACCTGACCTTTTTTTAACATCTGCGACAAACAATGATTCTCTATATTGAGCCATGTTACGACTGCTTCCTTAATTTCCTTATAACATCCTCATAATAGGTTTTTCTATAAAGTAAAGCGGCTTGTTTTTAACAATATTCTCCCTCTTTTTTAAATTTTGATAACATAACTACTTAGTGAAAACAGTTCATAATTACCATTTATATAATAAAATTTATGTCCGGAAATTAAATTTGTTATCTTTATCAAATATACCAGGCTTAAAATACCCTGCAATCCCTTGAAGAGAGCTTTTAGAAAGAAAATATAAAAACCTTCTGGCTGCTAAAAACTCTTGCAAATTATGAATCATCAACATGCCACATTGTGCTTTGGTTTGGATAACCCTGCTGCATTTTTTAATTTCTTAAGTCTCAAAAGGTCTTTAAATGATAGGAATCTTTGGTTGTCCATATCAGCTTGTAAGAGTTCTTGAAGCACACCTTTTATATTAATTCAAACTGTTATCTTAATTGAATAAATCCAAGGCTCAATGCCTCATTGTCAAAACATGGTTTAGATAATTTCCAAAGCTATCACAATCTGTTAGCAGTCATTGTACATTACACTCTTTATATTTTAAAACAACTCATAACTTGAAATGTTTTTACTTTAGAATTGATTTTTCGTACGACAAAAATTTTAGTAATTAATATGAATTTTTAACCCTCGATGAACAACTCTAGATAGAGATAAGGCTTACACAACTGGTTGTCACTTTAGTGGCAGTCGGATATAGTAAATCTTTTAGGTTAGAAAAGTACATCTCTTCTATGATTTCTTCCGCAGTAAAATAATCACAATTTACCTTTTAATTTCAAAAATAGTTTAATCTGTTCTGTTAATAATAAACAGCTTTTTTTGTTATGAAATGCATAAGTCTTTTGGTTTTCTATTCTGTGATATTGAATAATGTTTAATGGGACTCATTTAGTTCTTTATATGTTCATTTGTTTCATCATTAGAGGTAAAAAAAAAAAACTTGAAACTTTAACCTCTATATAAAAGTTGAATTTGTTTTTTATTAATGTAATGTCAACTAATGTTTGCTGTATTTATGTTTCATTGAATTTTTTATACACTCCTTCTGGTTAAAATCCATACTCAACTCTTAGAATATCCTGCACTTTTTGCTCAGTATATATGTATTTTTTGGATTAATGCATTGTGTATGATTCAAAAGCTACCATCAGTACTTACTAGAAATGAGTGTTTTTTTTTTTAATTATTTGAGTTTAAAACTATATTGTTACTTGAATCCTATCTATAGCAAGTGCATTTTACGATTCCAAATAGTCATTTATTTGGCATGAGACTGAAGAAAAAAAAAGTAGCCTAGAATTGGTACACTCTTGTGCATCGTAAAATGTGATGTGTTGCGATTTAAAATAATAGTTTTAGAACTGTCAATACTCTCAAAAATAGATTCCACTGTCACTATTTTCATATACCTATTTTATTTTTATCTTTGACAGTTGTGATTTTCTGAAAGTTTCACCCAAAATCTACTTCCTGTAACAAATACCTATTTTATTTTTTGTTAACTTAGAAAATTAAAAATCAAATTACAAAATCAATACTCAAATGGTTGGGTTGCAACATAATTTTTCAATTACTTAAGTTTTATTCTTTGTTTTGAAGCATTGTTTATTCAAAAAATAATGTTGACAGATTTCTAGAAGCACTTTAATCAATGCATCTTCATGTATCAGTTTCGTTACCATTATTTAATCTTAAAATTACTTATTTGTTAAATGAAAACGAGGAGTGATAATGTTCTCTATATATGAGGGATCCAAGAGAGGCTTCAGTCACTTTTGAAATTCTTTGTTTTCATAAAAAAAGGTCTCCTTAATAAGAGAGAAGCCTAAAAAAAAGAAAGATAATTATTTATTAAGACCAGTTGAGATTTATATTGGATTTATTTGAATTTATCTATTGTCATCATTCAATTTTCAATTTGATAATATTGTCATATGACAATCTGATTATCATTAGTACAAAAATTATTAAAGACTGTTTAAAAATTCCATTTTTTTCAGGATTGAAGAAATTCGTTACTTTTTATTGCTTTATTAAAACCATCATAATATATTAACATATCTTTAGTTAGAGATTAATTTTATGCAACTATAGTTTATATTCCTTCAGTAAAATTTAGGCAATGGAGATCACAATATTTTACCTTTTGTAGCCCGATTATTAATTTTTTAATTTTTTTTTTTTTTAATTGGCATAAAGCACCACGGCCTACCCAGATCTATTGTGCACAAATGCCCGATCGTTACTATTTTTATAAAATGTTAATTATTTCTAAATTTGTGTGTTTACGCCAAAGCATTTTAAGTGTAAAATGGCTTTGTATCTTAAGTAATATGTTATTAGCTTTGATGCTTTGTTAAATATATCATGTATCAGTTTGAGAAAAAAAAATATTATATTATCTTCTATTTTAGTTAATTTTCATCAACCTTAGCTTATTATGTTATAGTTCTATATTTTATGTTTATTATTTTATTTTTATGTAGAAGTTGAATTATTTTAGTAGTTGTTAGTTTTTTGGTTTTTTTTTTATTAGGCTCTAAGCAGCTTAGGAGGACCAAGTTCTGGACCCACAATCACAATCAACACTGCCCATGCTCCAACAACAACACCAAGAGAATTAGGTCATATGTTGCGGAGGGAGAGTGTCAATCCTATTCTTCAAAATCCTCAATACCAGCAAGTGAATTTGGGGTGAGAGTAAATGAATAATTAATTTTATTTATTATTAGTTAATCCTCTTAAAATATAAAGTTTTTCAAATTTTACTTTTTGTTTCCAGTTATACCCCACAGCAAAGAGGTGAAATACCACATCATCATGGTCATTTCCCACCTCAGAGTTTCAATCCATTTATTTATGGGAATGATGTGGATTCTGTAGATGTTGCAACTAGAGTGGCTATGGTACATAATTTTGAATTTACTAATAAATATAGATTTATATATAACTGTATTAATGTTACAGTACTATTTTTCAATGTTCTGAATAGGTTAGATTCTTTAACTCACAGAACCTGTTGGCTAACTTCACTGAGCATACAAGAACCTTAAGGTTGTACCCAAGGCCAGTGGTTGCACTTCAAATTAACAGCTTTCTTCGTTCAAGACCAAGAGTCACTCCTTTTCTGCAGAGGTTTGCGAGAACACAGGTAATGAATAACTTTTTTTTAAAATATCATATAATTACACTTATAAATTATATCATCAACTAGTTCCTAAATCATCTATTGGTCTTTTCATTTCATCAACATTTACTCATTACCAAAAGAAAAAAAATTACATTTCTATGTTTTCTCTTTATTGCTAGGCTGTAGAATTCCTTGCTGAATGGAGCTTAACACCCTCAAATGTAGCCTTTCTCCGTGTACATACTGGTGTTTGCGATCCAGCACAGATTGGTGATAAAGCCAAGTGGTTTGATCACACTCTCGACCCAGTCCCCTTCAGTGTTTGGAACGAGGATAGTTCGTTGGCTACTGCTCTCAATTACCTACCTCAGCAAGAACAGCCTACAGGTAAATAAATATATTTACAACCTCTATATTTAATGGGAGTGGAGTAGTTTAGTGAATAAGGTACTGTGGTCCTATGCACCAGTTTCTGAGTTTGAGTGTAACTGTAACTAGTAATTATTTATTCTATTACATCCCGGATTAACTCAAATTAAAGGTCTCGAAACCACCTTCCTGAGATACATCCAGACTATTTAGACTCTAGACTATATTTCTCATTTTTTTTTTTTTTTTTTATATGAAACATGTGAATAAAGGATTTTAATTATTGTAGAGATTCCAAGTTCTTTGCATCCAATATAAGAAAATAGTGAACAATTTTCTTTTACTCAATGAATAAAGAATTTAAAAAATGTTATCATGAATTTTTCCAGATGAAAGTGGATCTGATTCAGATGGTGATGATAGCACTAGTTCATCTTATTCTTCTCTGAGTGATTTTGTTTCAGAAATAGTCTCATCAGATTTATCACCAAGTAAGTGTATATTACATGACAATAGTAATAATAAATAAGTATTAAAGAGCATAACTTTAATATGTTTTTAGATACTGGAGCTATTGGATTTTCCAGTAGCGCTGATATGCAGGCAGTTTACCACCCTCCTTCTTGCCTTACAATCCCCAGAGAGGGAAACAATCAAGACTCCTCACCATCACATTCAAGATCTCCACAAAGTCAGATATCATCTTCTGAGTCATCGAGTGATGACAGTGATGCAAGTCCTCATGACAATAATGTAAGAAAGTATTGATAATAGATTCTTCATTATTTTGTTAGTATAGTGATGATACGGTAGGACCACTTTAATAGCATGTTTTTAATAATATTTTGATAGGTATTTGTATGCTTAATATTTATAATTAATTTATAATTCTGAAGGCATCAAGAAAATTAAATTGGACACAATAATCACATATTTTCGAAGCTACACTGCAATGAAACAAATAAATTTTAAAAACTAATATTCTGAAGATTATGGATATTTATAATATTGTCAATATATGATTATAATTATACAATAATTATGTATAATAATTTTGTATAATAATAATTATACAAAATCAATTCGAGTATAATTTATTACAATTATAAAAGTGCATTCAAATAAATTGGAATTTTAGATGTTAAATAGCTAATTTCTTCTTTGAATATTGTCAGAAAATAAAAGTATTACCTGGTTTAACTGTATATGTATTTGTATATAAAAAAAAATGTTTTTAAATTGAAATTTCAGAAATTGAACTCCATTATGATAGATTCAATATTACTGTCCCAGTTACTTATTAAACTGCAAATTTTAATAATGATTTATTTTTCTTACTTGGATTTTTTTTTTAGATAGAGAAAATTTGGAATATTGGACATTAAATTTAATGCAAAATATTATGATTTAATATTATAAATTTTAAGTTGTAATTGTAAACTCTTTAATGTTTAATAAATAAAATAATAAAGTTCAAAAATAGCCATTAATGTTCATTTAAAGAAAAATATTCATCCGTCATTGGTAACTATTGAATAATGAATAAGAAAACTTTTTTTATTTAATAGGACAGGGATGAAAGTGGTGGAGGTGAATCTGATTGGACTGGAAGAACTGTGGTAAGTCAGTCTACTCCTCCTTCTGAGCTACAGCAGAGGAAGCTTGTTAGATCAACCACACCGGTTTCTAGTGTAAGTTTAACTTAACTGTTCGTGGAATGTGCTGTTTGTTTTATTATATTTAATTATTATCATGCTATAAATAGGTGAAGGCAAAACAATTCAATACCTTTTTCTCCTCTGTTTATCAACCTTTTTTTTTTTTCTTTTTTATAGTTATCAATGAATCAATCAGCTTTAGTGTTATTTTGGCAGATGAATGTAAATTATAAAACAAAATGACATAATAAATTAGTAAATTATAAAACTTGTGTTGCTCATTTATTTTAATAATATTATATCAATGTCTGTAATAAAAATTAATAACTTATTTCTTTAGAAAAATGGCCAAATGTATGTCCTTTGTTATCAATTTCATAAGTTTATAAATTAAACTTCAAAAAATTCTCTATATTTTACTATTTTAAAAAATTGAATCTAATTTGCCTACTGTTTACTACTTAATAACTGTTTAAATACTTATTAAAACAATGAAATTAGCTGATTTTTTCAAATCACTCTGAATTTTAAATCTGTCACTAAATCAAAATTTTTAAATAACTATCACAAAATTGAGCCATTGCATATTTTTTGTAAATTTCTTGAAAACACATCTTAATATGATTTATGAAAAACATTATGAATAAATACGTGTATTATGAATTCGAAAAGCAATAAAATATCTCTGGTAAAGTTTATATTTAAAACAAACATGTTAATAAATTGTTATAAACAAGCATAAATACAGACATTACTTATCTATAAGATACTCGTTCAGTAATTAACCTGTTTATAATTATTGTTCAAAATTGAAATTGTTTGCAACTTTGTTTACTACAGACCCAAACTAGTCCTCAAAGAAAAACCAGTTTAGGAGGACTGTTGGCTAGAGCGGGAAGTCTTAGTTCAAGTCCACCTCAAGGCTCTTTACTTGATTCATTTGCTTCACATGCGAAGGTGATAATAGCTGATATTATTTATACTGTTAAATTTTCAATTTTGATGTGTCTGTGCCAATATATGTAAACATGTATAAATATTTCTTTTTATGAATCACTGAACTGATAAACAGTAGCTTCCATTTTTTTTTGTTCTAACTATTTAATTTTATCTTAATAATGCAAAGTATGTTTTAAAGTAGTTTTTTATATTAATGTAACGCCATTGAATTTTTCTATGTTATTATGTTTGAAGTATTATTATTTTTTACCAAAATCTTTTCCAAAAATTAAAACAGAAGATATTAATAACTTATGTAATTTCTACCTGTTTTACGGTTAATTTATGTTTTTACTGACTTATTTACTTTTTCAGCTTCGTATAATTTAATATTATATAGGCCTTTATTCAATTAATCAATAAAATGTCTAGTTCCCCATGATAACATCTCACTATTAGTTCTAATGAGTTAGCCATCTTAATTTATAAATGCTATTTATATGTATTTGATTATCATTTTGTTTTTTAGATTTTTTTTTTTTTTTTGTTAAATTTCTTTTATTTTATTAGAAATCTTATAGATATTATTATTTTGAAACTTTCGCTTTTTTTTAGGAATTGGTGAAAGAAACAAAAAGGCAAAGCAGTCAGGAAGGCTTATTAGCTCATGTAGACAAGGTATATCATTATAATTGTTGAACTTCATTTTCTAAAATCACCAATGTCAATGAAACAGTGGTCTTGATAATTTTCTTTCTGTTTGTTTATTTTTTAAATTATTTGTCTAGTTGACTTTGACTGCCAAAAAAGCTGCTGGAGAAGCAAGCAAGACTGCTTTAGAAGCCAGTAAGCAAGCAGCTGGAGTTAGTAAAAATACTTTTGAAGATTTGACATATGTTAGCAAAAACACTTTTGGAGATCTGACAAAGAGTGCTAAGCAGGTTGCTTCCAAAAAGGGTCTTCTTAAGGTAAGAATATTCTAATTCAGTTTAATTACATTTAAATTTTTGAATGAGTAGAGATGTCTAAAATTAAGTTTGGACATAAATGAAGGGCAGCCAATTATCAATATTTTTTTGTACTGCTTTATTGTGTTACATCTACACTTATATAAAATAAAATAGAGAACCCATAAGAATACTTGATTTATTATTTTATTTTTAATCTAAATAATATTTCATTACACGTAGACGTCTCCTTATTGAGGTGATATTGTTGTGATAACCGATAGGAATCAGTTGTTTTGGGAGGTAGAATTAAATAATGTCACCTAGAATAAAATCATTTATCTTAATTCTCTGATATCCATAAATACTATTTAACAATACAATTTATAAATTATATATGTTTTGAAACTTGTGAGTATACTTGATACTGCGATATATTTATCCCCACATATATTATTACAGTAAGGCTCGAAATTGGTTTTGTACCAAATATAAGCTCCTGTCATGCTCAAGTACCATGAATGGGGTACCGTTGGATTCAGAATTTCACAAGGGGTTAGCGAATCATATTCTCCACTTTTGTTTTTCTTTTTAAAATAAATAAAGTCGAGACAAACATTTTTCTAGGCTTCAATACTGGAACGGTGGTAGGTCTGTTGATTGATATGGGACAAATTGGATCTTGAAGATTTGGATGTGTACAGAGAGACCCGAATAGTTCCTCCGGAACTATTGGATCCTCCGTTTTTAAGCCCAAAAACGTACTTTTTTTGAGATAACGCAAGGCATAGGATTCGCATTCACACAACCTTACATTAATTGTAGTACTGTCATTGAATACATGTCTCATTACATGTATTATACAGCTTACTGAAATTTGTAAACATGTTGGTTCCAAACAAAAATGTAGATTTAAATTAATTTTTGTTTTCTTTGTCAATTACATTTATCAATAAAGTAACATTTGATTTCTTTATCTTTTGATACGTTGCATTATTTTATTTTCTTATTAATTTGGCATTTGATAACAATATGAATGAATGAAAATAATTTTATTATTCTGGGACTAGTGTCCCTTTAGAACAAGTCACAAATACAGAATATATATCAATATTTTGGTGTGTCCATGAAATACAATTTAATATTTACAGGTTGATTCGGAGTACAATAAAGTTATAAATGATAAAAAAATATAAATACGTGTAAATATAAAATATACAGAGAAAGTAATTAAGTGAACTAAATATCGATGAATTACAAAATAATCAGAGTATCTGGGTGTAATTTGAGGTTTTTGCAGGTTAGGTTTTTAAGTGCATATCGTGATCAATCGGATTGGGAATGGAGTAGTTGTTCGAAGAGGAGAGATTTGAAAGAGGATTTTGCGTGTCGAATATCTGAAGGTATAGAGTTCCGGAGGGAGACAACTTGTATTAAAAAGGATTTATAAAATGCAGCAGTTCGGTGTGGGGGAGGATAGAGGTCGGACACACGGGATCTGGTGGGACGGAATTGAAAGGAGCGTTTGAATTGTAGGATCTGTAGAATATAGGCAGGTCCCCGTGTTGTAATGGCTCGGTATACGAAGGTAGCCAGAAAATATTGACAGCGATAGGACGGATAAAGCCACTTCAACTTGGTGTAGAACTGGGTAATATGTGTATCCCTTGAGATCCCTAAGATAAAGCGAATTGAGCAATTTATTAAACGTTTAAGTTTGGCTTTGAGTTCTCCCGAGAGTCCACCATACACCATGCAGCCATAGTCAAAGTGGGGGAAAACAAGAGAGGAGACCAGGAGTTGAAGGGTTTTGCACAGAAGAAGGTAACGTAGAGGGTTAAACTGTTTCAGGGTGGATATAGTACGGCGGGAAATTTGGGAGATGTGTGGTTTCCAGGAGAGGCTTTGATTGAGGGTAACGCCTAGGTTTATAACGGTGGTATGGAAGGAGATAGGTGAGTTGTTCAGAAGAAGATTAGGAGGTGTTGAAATGGATTTGAGGAGTGTGGGGGATCCAATCAGTATGGCTTTTGTCTTCTCTGTATTCAATGTCAGCTTATTAAGATTTGCCCATGCGCATATTCTATTGATCTCTTGTTGCAGTTTTAGGATAGCATTAGAGGAATCTGTCGGCTTGAAGGAAAGATAAATTTGGACGTCATCAGCGTATAGGTGATATTAACAGTGTATGATAGAGGAAGGGGGGTCATTAATGTAGATGGAAAAGAGGGTGGGAGATAATGAGGAACCTTGTGGGACGCCTCTGGACAGAGGTAGAGACATTGATTGAGGGTTATTAGGAACTGCAACGTACTGGGAGCGATCGGTGAGAAAGGATTGGAACCACTTAAGGGTACTGGATGATAAGGAAAAATTTTAAGTTTGGATAGGAGGGTATTATGGTAAACTGAGTGGAATGCTTTAGAGAAGTCAATAATCGATGGTGAGTTTCTGTTGATCTATGGCTGTGTGGAGATCTTGGGAGATTTTAATGAGGGCGGAATGAGTGTAGTAGTCTGGTCTAAAACCAGATTGGAAGCAGTTCAAATGTTTATTTTGTTCAAGATATTGGGATAGTTGAGATTGTACTATTCGCTCCAAAGGTTTGGAAAGATTAGACAAGAGGGAAATTGGACGGAAATCATTAGGTGTTGTGGGGTAAGAGATTTTGTTCAGAGGACCACGGGCGGATCTACGGGGGGGGGGCTTTCGGGCTGAAACCCCTCCCCAAAATGGTAAAATATAACCATGTTTTATCGAAAAAAATATTTAAAAATTACCTCTTAAGGTATAATCGTTCATATAATTACATTTAAAAGGGCTTTAGGAATCACTTAAATACCAGTTCAGATAGATAGTTAGTTTCTTTCTTATTTTCCAAAGTAATTATCGTTGTTTTTATGAAAAAAAAAAGCTTTCGGGCTGAAGCCCCCCCCCAAAATTAAATCTTGGATCTGCTAGTGCAGAGGACGAACAAGAGCGGTTTTCCAGGTGCTGGGAAAAGTGGAACTTTGTAGTGAGAAATTATAGATATGATAAAGGACTGGGTAAATGGATGAAAGTGAGGATTTAATTAATTTAACTGGGATATTATCTGGTCTGAAATCTTTAATAATATGCGAAAAGAAAAAATGATTGGGATTAAAGGGGGAGGAGCTGGTGCTTGGACAGAGGGATCGGATGAACAGGAGACAAAATGAGTGTTGAGTATGTCAGCTGAAATAGCGGTAGTCTGGGTTTGGGTGGATTTGCCTAAGGATAATTTATGGAGGATTGCCCACATAGCTTTGGAGTTTGGTGTGCTGGATAAGGATTGTTGGTAGTGGTGGAATTTGGCAAGGTGTATCATGGATTGCGTACTGTTTCGGAGCAGCTTGAAATTCATGTAGTCTTTGGGGAGTCGAGTGTGCTTAAACCTTCGTCTTGCTGCATCTCTTCGTTTGATGCAATTTTTTATCACAGACATCAACCAAGGGGCAGGTGGGTACTTGATTGTCCTGACTTTAAGAGGAGCGTGAAGGTCTAGGATGGTGTGCAGTTGATTGGTTAAGTTTTCTACCATAAAGTCAACGGAGTTAAAAGAGTATATAGAGTCCCATTGGATTGCATCGAAGATCGGGCATCAAAGTTTCGGATGATAGGAGATTAAGGTTTCTGAAAGATATAGATTGGGGACTAAATAGAGGGACAGGAAGGTTATAGGAGATCTGTATGAGATTGTGAGCAGACAAAAACGGAACCGGGTGCTGTGATGAGGCGAGGAGTTTATCAGGAGAGTCAATAATGCAAAGATCAAGCCAAGAGTCTGAGTATTGGGTGCTGCTGGTGCTGAATATGCTGTGCAAATTTTTCGCATGGGTCTACTAGTTTATAATATATGAAGGATATTCTTTTTCTCTTCAGGCATTAGGGGAATCCCGTGAAGCACCATCTTCCCCTCCTCCAGCTGGTGGAAACTCTTTAGTCCAACCAGACATTAGCAGAACTGCGGGAAGAGACTTTTTTTCAAATATAACAAGTGACCTTAACGGAATAGCTGCTCAAACAACAAGCATGTTTACGGATCTTTTTGGTGAGTGATTTTATGTGTTTAATGATTCAATAATAATTTAGATTGAAGCATATAATAAATAGGAAAATTTATATAATATTTGCATCTTTTTTTTTTTTAACACATTGGCTTATTTGGCTGTCAAATGTTTTTTCGTTTGTATTGTGAGTGTATATATTTTTTTTTATGTTGGCTCATATTTCACTTAATGAAGGTCCCCCGAATTGCAGGGAATAAAAACCCCCGAGGGGGAATGAACATTCAGCCTGCAGAACAAGGCAGGCAGAAGGAAAAGACTCAGAATTATGGGGCATTTCCAAAAGGTACCTTGAGCCATGCTTTGGAAATTGCATGAATATTTTAGTCGCTTCTATAGCTGATTAGGTGCTCAGATGAACACTGTCTTCTAGTTAACTTTAGCACTACATCTTATCTTATAGAGGATTCATTGATATCTCTATCTATTTCCTCATTCGGCATCATTTCTCCTTCAACCATCTATAAACTGTGGTAGAAAGTTGATGCTTAATTCACTTTTTTATTATGATAAAAAATAAATTAATAAAATTAAACTCTATCTTAATTGAATCAACTAAATTTTGAATTAATATAATTAAAAAATTGAAATTTTGACTAACCCATTCACTACTATATTCTTTTTTTTGATAGAAGTATGTCTATAACTTTTCCAAAAGTTGAATACAGTTTTTTAAATTCTAAATGGAAATATGAATTTTTTAAAATTCATTGTTAAAGCTGGGGTCAAATAGTCCTATTAATAGCTTTTCAAATATCTGTTATATACATGTATGATAAATAGAAAATGCTTGTTGCAGCTTTCCCGTGTGATATCCAACTAAAAGTCATCATATTTACTTCATTTAGTTGTTTCCTTATTTATCGTCAGCTGTGGCTTTAACCATTTTTGTTTTATAGAAGAATGGCTAAGCTTTCCTTTCAGCTCTATGGATTGTTTTTTCCCGATCATACTTCACTTCCTGATCTAACTATACCTTCATTAAAGGTTATTCCCATTCTTCCTCTCTTGTACTCTATTTCTGTCCCTCCTCTCTGTCACAGCATTGTTTTTAGCAGTTCTCCTTCTGTCTCTGGTCCAAATGTCTTCCTTTTGCTTATAGGAAATTTGCCTTTATACATTTTTCGAGTATGTCAAAACTTACAAAGTTATTTTAATTATAATCTCTTACAGATGTCTCTTTCATAGTTCTATGTGTTTTTTTGAATTCTACTATTCATTATTTTCTATGCCACTGCTCTCAAGCAGCATCTGAATTTTACTTCCTTAATATTCTGTTGTTACCAATAATATTTTATTAGATGGTCAGTAATTGAAGCCCCCTACCTTTATCCGTGAGGAAGGATAGAGTTTAAACTGATTTTAGTGCTGGTCGACTATTCCTTCCTCTGGTGGATACTTCTTTTGTTATAACCATTTTTATTAACTTCACAGAATGTAAATATTCTATCAAGCTTATAATTTTTAATTGTATGAGGATTAAACATGCATGTTTAAAACAGTATTTTAACATGTCATTACAAAAAAAAAAAAAAACTCCTGTCAATTTACTAATCATTACGCCATGAATATGGAACGGCTTAGGTAGTGAATGGGTTGATGAAACTACAATATTGAACTCGTTTTCTCATCTAAAGTCTTTTAATTGGATTCATATTACTTTTTTATATAGTTTACAAATGAATTTTTATTCATTTCCTTCTTATAGCCATCTAAAACATATTTTAATTTTAAATCAACTTTCTATTATGGTAATTTTATATTCACTTTATAATCGTGAATATATTGAATGCTGTAGAAACTTTCAACTTCAGTTCAAATGTAACTATCCCACAATGTTTGTCTATGTACTTAAAACTTAAACCCTTCCAAATTCCAGAAATCTAGATAAAATAGTTACTCAGGCAAAGATATTTAAAAAATAATAAAATTTCTTGGTACTTATTTAATAGCGGGTAGCGTCCGACTGCTATCTGCCAATGTTTATCACCTTAACATTGATAAGCTCTTCGTATTCATATTTATTGTATTATATTCATATTATTATATCTTCGTATTCATATTTATTGTATTGTATTGATATTATTGAAATTGTGAACAAAAACAAAAACAAATATAATAATAAAAAAATACTTTTATTTTACAACATATATATATACTTAAAAAACATTGTTTTTAATGGCTTCTAATAAAGTTGTTGCTTTTCTATAGTTTATTTTGACGATAAAACACTCGTCTGTTTCTCGGCAAATTCCGCCAAACATCCATTGCTGAGATAGAACTCTCCCTACATGATTTTTTCTTTTCGAAAAAAAACTAGTCTAGTTTTCCAGGCTCTCCAATTTTTTTATTCCACCTGTATAACATGTCATATATAACATGTTATGGGCACAAACTTCTCTTAAAAATTTGTTCCATGTCACGATAGTTGCGTTGGATATTTTGAGCTGCTCGTTCCCCCACTGTATTGTTGTTAAATTATGGGACCACTCATAAATGAATTTTAAAGCCGTTAAAAAATAAATCGTCGACCCCTCTAACCACGTTCCTTTCCTTATAGAAACGGTTTTGTTACAACTACGAAAGCATTTCCATTTAATCTTCCCGTCGAACTTCATTTGATGACCTTCATCACAGCAAACACAAGAAACAAAAAATAAAAAGGGGATAACTTAGGTTAGATGAGATAAGGGAGGTTATGTGAAATGAGATTAGATAAGAAGGGAGGTTTTGACGCTACCCGCTATTAAATAAGTACCAATTTCTTTTTCCAGCATGATAATCTACTTCACCATTTCTCAAATAAGCCATAGAATCAATATAACAAGTTAATTGCATTATTTTTCCCAAAAATAATAAACTTTTACACCTGCTTTATTGAAGGTCATCAGGAAAAGGTGGATGTATTGATGGTTATTATGATGATTGAATATGTTATTTTGATTTTTTTTTCTCCTATATTTAGTCATTTGCAGTGGGTCCCTTTGATCAAATGAGCTGAACTTTTATTTACAAAGTTCTTTCCTAGACATAACAATCCATACTTACAGGCACTATTTCAGTCAAAATTTCGGCACGTACAAATGTTTTTTCCCAATTTTTTAAGTTTTACACATTTCTAGAGTAACTCCGAATTGAGCTGGTGTTGAAGAATTTGAGAGTCTCAACTTTTTCCCTCACTTGTGCCATTTTGTTCCTGATTTCGCAGATTTTTATATCCACTATGAAAATAGGGGGAAATGGTAATATAATGGTGAAGCTCAGTTGATTGTTCTGGGAATGATGTCACAAAAGTATTGGTAATCAACAAGTAATGTGTCTGATGAATACTGGTGGGAAATGGAAAACCTCAATTAATTTCTCATTGTGGTAGTCAATTATCTTACTTCAGTATTTTTCAATCTTCTAATTATTCCTATTATATATCATAAAGTATTGACTATTTACTGATACACTTCAAAAGGAGTGATGAGAGAATCAAAAACAAAGGAATACATAACTAATCTTTTGGTAAAGAACTTGTTAAAATAAAAGAAATGTGAGTGAATAGCAGGAGCCAGCAAAACCTTCATATGGGAGATCAAATTATTGAAAAGGTTAATAAGTTCTGCTACCTCGGTAGTATGGTGAGCCAGGGTGGGGCATGCTGGTGAAGGTGCTAAGAGCCAGATATGTTCTGGTCAGTGTGGAAATCATAAGGAGTCCAGAGGGGAACAAAGAAAGACTTGGGAAGTAGGTGACTAAGAAACTACGAACATTTGTTAATAGATGTCTGCTAAATATATTGCGAATGTGGCATGAAGCAATCTTCAATGCTCAACTCTGTTCACGAGCTAATCAAGCTCTGCTAGATCAGATCATTAAATGTTGGAAATGGAGACACACACTTTGAAAGGAGCATAATAAAATAACCCGGCAGCATCTAGATTAGAACCTCCAAAAATAGTGAAGGCATGGAGAATCTAGAGAAATTTGGAGGCGAACACCAGAGAAGAAGATGTGCAGTGCCAGGTAGGCCTGGTCTGGAGCTAAGGAGGTCGTTTAAGCTGAAGATGCTAGACAGAACTTCATGATAGCTCTATGTCCCATCTGAGGGATTCGATGAATTAACAATAATTATCTATTGTAAAAATCTCATTGATTGCTTTAAATTCTTTTGCAAGTCATTGTTGATATGTTTGTTGTGTTATACATTTATCTTAATTACTGGAATCTATTTGATATCTGTAATAACTAGATTAATATTTTTTATGAAAAGAAAGAAAGAATTACAAAGAGTGAAGGGGCAACTCAGGGAATTTTAAAATTGTTAAATAATAATCAAGAACACATTATATTACACCCATTGTTTCTTTAATTTAGATTAAATAAAATATTACTTAAATTTGATCCCTCCTGAAAAGTAGAATTTGAACTATTTTAATATTTTTAATGATCAGTATTCACTTAAATGGATTTTTTCCGCCAAATATTCATTATTATACACTTGCTCCTCCTCTTACCGGATTTCCTCAAACATTGTTTTTAATATCTGGTAAAAAGTATTCAAAGAAAGTAGGTATTTAACTTTTAGAATTTAATTTAGTGTGATGTACATTGTAAGTTTCAACATATGTATTTAAAATTAGTTCTTAATTTATTTACTAAATCACAGATTTATTAAAATAAATAAATAAACAAAAAAGATTAATTCTTTTATTGTCATAAATGGTGTATTTAAAAATTTTTACAAAAAATGTTTGTATTTTTTAAAAAATCTCTATTATTAAGAACAGAAGAGAAAAATAAAACTTCTTATAGTTTAAGAACAAAAACTTTCTATCAAAGAAATGAAAAATGTAAATATAACATAAAACGTCTGATATAATTCTAATATTTTTAATGAGAACACATTCATTTGAAAACAAAATTAAAACTAAATCTAAATGTTTGTACATTAGTTTCTTCAGCTTTATGGATTTTTTTTAAATATTGAATTATTGTCTTTTTTTTAGCACCAAGTAATTCTATCTCACCTTCATAATATACCAATAAATAATATTAGACATCATTAAAAATGAAAATTATTAAGATATTTTTTGAAAATCAAAATAAAACAATTATTTAAATGGTTATAAGAATCACTGAAGCTTTTATATAAATAGATCATTTTCATATAATGACATAACATTAAAAAAATAGTTGAACTTCCTCTAGATTGATAAATAATTTGAGTACTCAGCAAAAAACTAAATAAATACACTTTATGAAAAAAAATTTCAGATTCCACTGTATTTATAATATAGCTGAAGATGTTAATTTATTTTTCAAAACATCTTTCTAAATAGGAGATCTATAAGCAAATTATTGTTATATGTTCTGTTATATACCTATATGGTGTACGTTTAGTCAGCATTTTAAGGACTGCGACTATGATGCCTTATTAAATGATTTGTCTTTTAGTTGAGTGGTAATTTCACAATCATTTCCTAATGGATGAAATTTTTAAATAACTACAACCTCATCTCTCTTACTAATTAAAATAGAAATAATAAAAAAAAATTATATGTAATGATTTTTAGGTTTCAAGCATGATAAACAATTAGTGACTATTAAACACACTGTAAATATATGTGTAGAAAAGTGAATTTAGCTATTAATTATAAGGAAAATATTTTGACAAGACTAAAATATTGTGAAAGTCAATGACACCATTTAAATATGTTTCTATTTCAAATTTCAAATAATTATGACTGATTCAGTATAAAAAAATTCTGAAAATGAATTTATAATGAAAGTTTGTTTTATATTTTGAAAAGATTTACTATGTTTATAATTAACTTCAGCAAGTCGAAGGGGACTAATGGATAGACCAAGTCTCATTCGCCATGCTAGTGTTCAAAGCAGAGAAGATCTTCAGAGGCAAACGAGTGCAGAAAGAACCTCTACCAATAGTGAAAATCAAGCTTTCCTTAAACAGGTTTCAAATTTATTAAATATATCAGTAAATTACATTATCCTTAGATTTTTTTTTATTAATTTAAATTATTATACTCAGGTTGTTAGTCAAGTGTTAGAGGGTGAAGGAGTTGGCTGGTTAAAACTGAACAGACTTAAAAAATTAATGGAGGATGAAAACTACCGAAACTTTGTTATAAACAAACTGAACACTACTTCAGATAAAAAAATCAGTCCAGCTGATCATCTTGATGATGTCGTGAGTATTTCAAGAATTTATATTAAATTGAAAGCAGTCTTTGAGATAGAGTATATTTTTTGATCTGTAGAATAGCATAGGAAGGATTGAGTTTTTTTATAAATTTATCTTTATTTACGGTGAGATTAGTTTACTATAAATGAGATTTTTCAATCCAGAGTTACATTTTTGGCATGATCCTGATTTTAATTTTTAACACTATCCTATTATCAGAGGTCAGTCACCTGTGATTCCAAGTTGAGAATTTCGGATATCTGTAATAGGCCCAAGTCACAGAATTTATTTTGACAAGGGACCCTGTGATTCTGTGATCCCTAGCTCTCACTATGAATTAAATAAAACTTATGAAATGAACTAGCCTTCTTGATAACTAATAGAGGCTTTATTAAAAATATGGGATACATACAAATAAAGTGAACCTTATGGGAAGCATTCATAGAAAAGCAAAATGCATTAATATTTAAGCAAAATTAATATTTTTGTCTGTAGAGCACTTTAAAAGTCAATTATATTACATATAATGTTATTAAAGGCATTTTATACTGAATTTAATTTTTTTTTCCAGTGTGTAAATAAAAATGTTTGGAAAGGTATGCTAAAAGTGATTCAAGCTATCGTGACTGGCTTAGAAGTTACCTATGCTAACTATGGACTTGGAGGAATGGCTTCGGCTTTTCAAGTTTTGGAGATTGCCCACACCCATTATTGGACTAAAGATCTTACTGATCCAGCTGGATTGGACTCTGCAATGCTTTCTCAAGTAAATATTCTTGAAATGCTTAATTTTTTTTACATTTATTTTTTTTTTTTTATAGATTACAAATTAGGTTACAACAATTTTAATGTTATACAAGAGTGTATTGTTGACTTTGAGATCTCTAAGCTAGTTATGGTTAATATGCTGGTTCGGTACTGAAATGTTTGAGAATTAGTTGTTGTATTGGGTCTACCCCTAAATTAAGATGTGTTCAGCTTTATAATGATAACAGATAAGATATTGGTTTTTATTTATTGATTTTTTATGGTTTTGTTTATTGTTATTTAATTAAATGTTTCTTTATTCAATAAAAAATTTCAGACTCATTCAGATTTGTAAATTTTACCTATGTTCTCAAATATTATTATTTGTAGTTATCAAATGTTTTTTTAAGAAGAAATTGAAAAGGAAAGTGTAAATAGTAAGAAATGCATTATAGATGAAAAAAAAGCTCAATTCTGAAAGCATTGCACAATTTGCCCCTTAGTAGTCACTAATTCTTTGTAATCAATTCTTAGTAATCAATAAATTACTAATATTTATTAATCAGTTTTTGGAAACTCAAATATTTTTGATCAGATCAATCGTTTCCATCTCCACTATTATAAAAAAATTGCTATTAAGAATATTTGACCAAGATTAGATTCTTGTATGTCATTGAACAATTCTTACAATTACCAAAAACTAGTAAGGTTCTATGTTACTGGTTCTGAAATTGCTAGAACAGGATGTAAGCCTGGCGAACCAATGGTCCTTATTGCATGTAGCAATGGCCAACCCTAGCAATGAGCTGCTATCTGTTATACTTTCCTTACAAATCCAAAGAAAAAGATGTTTTCCGTAGTCATTGAACAAAGATTTGTTACCACATTTTACCTCCATGTTAAAATCATATCTTATCTGGGTAGTTTGCTTTATAAAAGGATGATTTCGAAAATTATAAAGATGAATCATAATACAAAAAGTTTTTTTGTTATTTTTTTTTCTTTAAAAGAACAAATAAAAAAACAAACAATTACTAGTCTGAACAGAACAGGCAGAAAAATGAAGAGATGTATTAATAAAATATTCTTTCTTCCTAATTTTAGATTGATGCCAATGTTTTTCTTCACTATGTCAATTAATATTGCTTTTATTACAAATTTCTTTATTTCCAATATTTTTTATTAATTTAAAATGACTATTTTTTCCCTACTTATTTCAAGTCGCCCAGTCCTTATGGAAGTAGAGAAAATTTACAATCCCCATCGAGCCCAAGCTCACCAGTGCCTTCTAATTTTGCTGATTCATCTCGAAAATCTAGTCAGACAGGTAAGCTTGTTTTTTAATGCATGATTGTTTTAAATTTTGTTGAACTATTTTTTTGTATCAATAATACCTGATAAAGTAACAAAAAATAATCATAGCAAGTGCAAAATTTAGGAATATTTAGTTTTTTTCTAGAACAAATTCATGTTCCTATGTCAAAAGAATTTTGATTTTTTTTTTAATGGTTTGAGAATTTCATGAATGAATGTTTGAAGTATCTACATTATTTAGATGTAACTCTAAACTATTTATTTACTTAGTTTTTTTAGCTTTTATTTTATTCAGCTATGAAAAATAATTTATTATTGTTTTTTACAGGAGGAGAACAGATGTATAATCCGCCACCTTCATTTCGATTAATTCAGGACTCGATGGATGCTGGTGACAGTGCACCTACTCAAACAGCAACTGAAATGTTCAAAGATTTATTTAATCAAAAGCGGCAGATGCTTCTATCTAAATTGTCTTCAGTAGACATGGAGGTAAGAGAATTACTAATAGTGTCAAAAAAAATTTAGAATACAGTTGAACTTCTATTGCCTCACAAATTTAAAAACTACTTGCTTTGTCTAATTCGTAAATTTCTCTCCGTATTAATATAGGCTTCATTTGTAATAAATATTTTCTACAGTTAAATACTTAAATAATAAAATACAGTTTAGTATTTGTTTTTACTTCTTAATGAAGCTCCCATCGATATAATGTTGAATGATTTTTTTATGGTTAAATGTAGTCAACGATGTCAAGTTTTGGCATGTTCTGAATTTTACAACTATATTACACAAGACTTAGGTTCAATGAATTAATATACAATTTTTTGACTGATTGACTCATAACAAGATATTATTTTAATGTGGAATCAATGAGTTTTTAATATAATAAGTCACAAAGCATATTGAATTATTCTCAAATATGTTTGGCAAGGAGGTTCAATGATTATGTAGGTATATTAATTGTTTTTTGTAATAACTACAAATCTTTACTGCATAATTATTCTACCACTACTTGGATTCTGTCTGTGTTAGTTAGTTTTGTCAATTATAGTCTGAAGTATTTATGCCTAGTAAATATAAACAAGCATGAAATTCTACATCTAACTTAAGCATGATATTCTTATATTCTTTGCATGTTAGTGCGATGAGATATATCTTTGAATGTGGACAAGAAATCAGTTCCCTTTTTTTGTCTCCTGATAACTTTTTTAAACTATCATTATATTCATTTACAATCAATTTTAATATTATCTGCTGTCGAAGTTTTCTAAAATGCTATACATTTTTATGAGGTTTATGCCTTTTTTGTAAGAAGGATCTCAAATATTGTTATATTAAAACTAAAGTTTACACACTAAACAACCATTATTAGTTATTGTGGTAATTATTGTAAATTCCTACTGATGACATTTTAAATATTATATATTTGTTTTACTTCTTTTTCCATCTGATCAAATAAAAAAATAACTGTTTTTATTTTTTTGTTCTTATATATTCAAACTAGTGCAAGAATGGTGGGTTATTTTTTTTACTTACGACTATTTTTTATGCAGGAATGCAGTGTGAAAAGACCCACTAAATATAGACACACTGAAATCGAAAAGTGGTGGCTGGACATCGGTTATTTTTCCAGCAGACAAATAGATCAAGAATCTTTTCTCTTTTTTTCACCCAGTGACTCTAGCCACACAAAAACACATTGCTTGAAAACTTGCTGCTGAACGCTGTTTTACTTTTGTTTTAATTTCTTCATTTTGAACTTAAAAGAATGGACATTTTTGGCTGTGAAATGATAATTTTAGTTCAGATATTTATATATGTTTGCTGTAGGAGTATTATCAATTTTGAAAATCAATAAATGAAAAGATCCATGAAAAATTATTACCAAAAATATAATGGGAGAAAAAATAGGAACAGGTGGAGAAACATGTCTGCGTATCCTTATCGCTTATTAGATAAGTTCTAATTTTTCTTTGATCACTCTTTCACTTATAATAGGAAATATCCAGTAAGTAGGTCTGCAAACAATTGAACAAGTACTTAAAGTGTCTTCATTTAATGAACACAGTCTCATGTTGCACTAAAGAAAACCAACAATAACCGAATCAGTTGTAAGATAATCCGTACATGTTGCTGGATGTGGATTTTCAAGCTGCTTGAAAAGAAGATGCATTCTGTCAGTGAAAATTAGCCATAGGCCATACCAACCTTAAATAAGTTAGACCTTCCAACTCATTTAAATATCTTGATATGTTTTTTTGGAATTTATAAATTGATGTCATATAGTTGAACTGCTATCTATATATAGAATTTTAAAGAGAGGAAAAATTGAATTTTCCATCAAAAACATTTAATACTTACAAAAAGATTTACAGTTCAATATTTAGAAGAGCCACTATTATTTTTCATTTAAATTGGCTGTTGGAACAAGATGGATGGATCAGTTTGGCCCTTGGAGTTATATTATTATAAACAATTTATAATTTTATAAATACATTTAAAAAAAAATTAAAATCAAGCAATGCATTGAAGCTGCATTTTCTCTGAAAAGAATATAATTAATTAAAATATTATACACTTGTTAATATTAATCATTGGTTTAATGAGGTTATTATTATTTTTTTCAAACCTTATTTATGAACTATCTTTGAATAAGATAATAATTTTAATGAATATATATTCTTTTTCTGTAGCAGAACTACACTTAACAGAGAACTAAAACTAAAAATTATTTTAAAATCATGCATTTGATATATGTTGAGGTCTCTGCACTTCTCAAAATAAAGTATCATGAAAAGGTTCTGTACTGAAGTTTTCTTGCGCCATCAAAATTTTTGAGGGGGCATATTTTGACGGGTTTTTGATTTTTTGAGGGAGCACATTTCAACAGGGTTATGAATTTTTGGAATAAAAAGTTTCAGAATAATTGACAAGAGGACAGCATGTAACATACTGCAGTGTAATGGTAAATGATCAACGATTTTTCTAATTCTACTTTTCTTTGCTCTGTTTTTAAGAAAAGGTTAACAATAAAATATCTTGAGAGAGGATAGGGGGAGAAGGTTCTTGCGCTGTCTATCTTGGGGGGGGGAGGATGGGTACCCCTGCTTGGAAGTCAGTTTGTTTATAGGGAGTAACTGATATTGATACCCGTGCTAATTGCTACAGAGGCTACAATCAAATAGTCACTATTTTTAATTGTATTTTTGATTAGTTTTCTGAACTTTTGCCTAACATCGACATTTTCACTTATTACTTGTTACAAATATTTATTAATTCTTAATTTATCCCAACTTTTTTGGGAGTCTTAATTTTTTTAATGTAGTTACCTTACTTTCAAATTAATTAAAATTCATTTATATTTGCTTTCAAATTGTTCAATATTTTTTCGTTTTGTACATAGAATATTTATGTTTACTATAACCTATTTCTTAATGTATGTTTTTATTGTACCATGACTTGTTGATCATTCACGAAAATTTAATTACAGGGATAAGATCCTCTTGCCATAATCATTTTTTATCCTTTTTGCCATTCCCACCCAAATTATATCATATTGCCTCGCAATGAGCAAATTCCTCCACTCTCTTATGTCACCCTGCAAAACTGTCTGCTAATTAAGACTTAGAATAACTAAAAATACGTGATGGTTGTTATACCAAAAACTGTTTACCATCTACTTTACCATTTATGGCATAGAGCGAAGAGATCAAATAGTTGTTCTAGAGATTCTAATTTTTAATAATAAACCGAGTATAACTAAAATAGAAAGGTAAAGATTAAATTTAAAACGTCCCCAAAAAATAAATTACAACCCTCCAGGCCGGATGTGAATCATTGCCGCTAGATTCAAGAATGTTAAAACAGGCTTTAACAAACTCAGCCACTATTGCTCCAAATAAGTAATCATCCCTGTCAGGGCTTCCAAGTAATTTAAATATTTTGGTATGATTTTTGGGAATTTATAAATTGATGTTATATAGTTGAACTGCTATCTATATATATAGGATTTTAAAGGTAGGAAAAATTTAATTTTCTATCAAAAACAATCTTTGAGGTATTGTATAGGAAAGTTCATTACTCTTGGACCTGAGGATTTTAATCTCTGACACTATATGTGTTCTATCTTCTCTCTCTCCCTCCCTCTTAATATCTGTTCATTATCTTCTTCTGCCTACAATCTTTTGTTTTTTCATAACTTTTTGTGGCATTTTGCTATGACTTTTTTCTGTTTGTTGTTATGTTTAAGTCTGAATTAAATTTCTTTTACATTTCTCATAAAATCCTTGTACCTATTATTTATAGATCTTACTTAGCTTTCTTGAAACTAGATAAAAACAATAAGTTACTGTTTAAGTCAGACACTGTAAAAATAATCTTTTTTATTTAGTTTCTACAGTGATTTTTTTTTTTATATATATATAAGATATTTCATAGTTCATGCTTGGCTTTTTAAGAATTAATGTTCTTTTACTATTTCATATTCTAAGGCCTTGTTAATAGCATTTATATATTAATGTATCAGTCAGAAATGTTTTTAAAACTTTTATTTGTAAAAATTAATATTTATAGAATGATTTATTTTAATTTTTTGTGGCACTGTTCTTGGTATCTGAAAACAGAATTAATTTTTAAAAAATCCCATTTGTTACAATAAATTTAAAACTCTTACTATACCTATTTAATAATTTAATCATTCTTACAATTTAAATATTATATAAGATAGTCATCAAGAACATAAAAAAGTATATTTTTTACTAGATAATGATAAGTTTTCATCCAGTAAATAGAGTTGGTTATGACCAACCTTCTTTTTGGGTTCATAAAGCTTGTCATTCTATATTATTAATTTCATTTATTATTTAATGGAAATATTTAAATGTTGCTTGAAAGTAGATTTTTTAAAAAATGTATTATTATTTTTTAATGATGTACAAGATAAATAGTATAGAGTTAGCTAATAAAATTAAAACCAAAGATTTTTGTGATGATTATTCACTATATATATATATTGTATATATATATATATATATATATATATATATATATATATATATATATATATATATATATATATATATATATATATATATATATATATATACAATATTATATTCCATAAATAAATAATTTAAAGAAGAATTTGACTTTATATAGTAATTTTTTCAACCACACATAAATGAATAAAATATTTTGGCTCCATAATTATCTATAGAAATGATCAATTTATTTACATAAGAAGTCCAAACTGAGCATTTTTCTCCCTTTTTATAAAAAAATGGTTGTGAGATATAGTCTTGACTTCCAATAAGCAGACTGGAGCTTTGTGAAAAAATATCATCATGAGGTTTATATGTTTCTTCGAGATGACGAGTAAACAATTGCGCTTTTTGAATATCTGATTTTGTCCAATGCATGCCATCAGGATGCCTGAAGGGATGAGAGACAGCATGATGCTGGAGAATCCGTTTGGTTATAATCCAAAGTGGTTTCTCACAAGCTGCTAGACCATTCAAGAAGTTGTCAAAATTTTCCGTCTTATTTCTATATGAAGCAGTTAGTTTGTCAGATGGGTAACGAGTCCTTTGCCGTAACTTACTTGAGAAATGTTGGAAGTCCATGCTGAAGTTTGTATGGTTTGTGTTAAGTGATGAACTGCGTCGTCCAAGTCTTCAGGTGTTCTTATGTTAGTGTTGAATGAAAGTTAATTTTCAATGGATGATCTAAACTTGTTCCAGTCAATTTTCCAGGCATTAGGAATGGTCGGAAAGTTTTGGTTATAGGTTTTGAGTTTTATCGTCATTAAGAACTATTTAAGTGCATAGGAAACACTCAAACGCCTTAGAAGCGTTGAAATGATGACTGATTGAGTTCTTTAATAGAATGAGAGTTCCTCCCTTAGCTCTGAAGGATGGTCAGTCCGATAAATGATATAGGACGGTAAGTGAAATCTCATATTTCTTGTTAGATGAGTCTCCATCAGTAAAGCTATGTCTATGTTGTTATGAGTAAGAAAAATTTCGAGCTCATTTTTACGAGATAATACACCATTGGCATTCCAAAGAGTCACTTTTAGTCCTTTCATTTGGTAAGCTTTGGAAGAACACGCTGTACCAGCGATGTTAGTAATGATATCCAGGGTGAAACAAGATTTTTGAATTTGTTTATAAAGTGTATCAGTTGTGTTGTAATGTCTGTACGTTTGAGATGTTATTTGGTCAAAGGTTAGGTATCAGTGCGTTGTTTGGTCTCGTCAATTTATAAGAGTAAGTTGATTCTATAGCAATGTTCTGTGTCTGTAAATAGTCCGGTAGTGGTTGTAATGGTGGCTCAAGATTACCTGCTGAATTCTGGACGATTTTCGAGGAGTCTCCTTTTTCTTTCTTAGTAAGCTGACTCATCTCCTATTCCTCATAAAATTCAAGATTTCTCATTGCTGGGCGCTGTCTAAGTTTCTTTAATTCTTTTTGTACAGAGCAGCCTCTATCCAGCTTCTTCACAATGTGCACATTCAAATAAAGTTTGAAATCAAAAGTCATTATAGGATGCTATGGAAATCTATTTAATTTTTTTTTTAAGTTATCATTAAAAATATTTATTTTGATTGTGGTTGTTTTCAAATTAAAAAAAAAAATTACATTTCTTTCTTTAAAAAAAATATTACTTTTTCAAATAGCAAATCATTGATAATAACTACTTTATTATACTTAAACTGTAGGTATTGGCTAAAAAAAGAAGAGTCAAGCTTTTACCAGACTTGGCTTAGGCTAATACAATAAATTTGATTATGACTAATTCATTACTGTACCAATTTATGCTTATTTTAAAATTTATTTTATAGAAATACCACATACATTAGAAGTTTAGTTATACAGTAAAGTCTCAATTACTTTTTTATTCTCTTTGCAAATAATGTAAATAAACAATTAATTTTATTTTTATTTAAAATTTAAATATGTTCTGTTATCGATTGAAACAACGAAAAACCAATTATTATCTGTGTAGGCTTACATAAGAATTGTCATCAGTTATTATTTATTATTTTTGCATTAAGTTTTCTAATTCCACTGATTATATTTTCAATGATATACACACACAATCCCTTCTTTACTCCATTAATTGAGGTTTTACTGTTATTTTTTATGGTAGAATTTTTGCTTTGCATTTATATATATATGTATATATAGGCATTCACCTAGCTAGTATCACATTTATTAGTCAAAACTGCTTGAAAAATAGAGAATTTAATAGAAAAAAAAATAAAACAAAAAAAAAAGATAACATGAAATGGGTACATGGAACTGTAGGGTGGGGAGGCGAGAAGAAGCAGCCCAGAAACTGGCTCTGAAGCTGGTAGCATCATCACAAATCCATCCTTCTTCAACCGTTCTCACAAGAACAACTCTTCTTTCAGGAGCACTGTTTCCGATTCAGAAGTCGAACAAAGTAATGTAAGTACAATATAAGAAATATGTATTAGGCAATGAGCATATTTATTAATATTTTCTTATCCTAATGTTCTTGTTGTCATGATTAAGTAAATTGGAGATTTTTATGGCACTAGTTTATTCTATTCAGTTGTAAACACGGTTTGTTTGACATTTATGAATAATCTATTGATTTATCTACATAAATGTAAAATTAAAAAAAAAAAAAATTTTGTTGTATTGTATAAATTACAAAACTTATTTTCCTTTAAATAGTGTTATAAAAATTAAAATAAGTCCCTAAATACAAAATTCTGAAACAAAGAAGATTTCAATTTACCTGTGAAGTAAATATTGAAAATTTTTGAGAATTGTAAACTAAAAAAAAGAAAATTAAAAATATTTAAATTAGTAAACATTCTTTTTGAAATACATCTGGGCAACATTTAAAATGCAATATTTTAAAAAAAATTGTTTATATTTTACATTTTATGAAGTAAAATATAAAATACCTTGCTTGTAATTTTGTATTAGTATTTTCTTTCTATGTTATCAAAATACAAAAAAAAGTTATATTTCTTTTTTTAAATACACAAAAGAAATTAATAAATTTAGAAGGTTCTTTTAAGCTATGTATCAAGACTGATTGTTTGATAATAGAATGCTCTCTCATAAAAATCGACTATTTAAGTTTTGTTTAGGTCAGTGGTGTAAAATATTTAATATCTGTTGTCATAAAACTGGTCCGACCTAATAAAGTTATGCTGTACTCAAGGATCATATCATAGGAATGGTGGAAGAGCATAAAATAAAATAATATGTGTATAATATAATTGAAAGTAATGTGTAGACTGCCAAAAGATAATTTGTTGCAAAACACTTTTTGTTTTCTTCAATATTTTTCAAGCATTTTCCAACTAACAATAAAGTAAGGTTTTAATTTATGAAATATCTTGGAAAATTCTAAAATGAAATAATTTAACAATGTGTTACCTTTCTTGAGGATTGATAATGATGTAGAGATAGTTGACTGTGATATAATATGAGAAGGAGTTAGTCTTATTTTATTTTATAGGAATTATTAACTTATTTTATTTTATGAAGAATAAATCAATGACTAACTTCTAACCTAGTAAGTATAACTTACACCTGTTAAATTTCAAGATTTCAGAGGTAAGCCATCGAAATATCTTTCAATTTTCTCTAATTTTTATTTTTTCTTTGTTTCTTTTATTAGGTATATTATCTCTTTTTAAATACGTTAGTCCATCATTGATATTTTTATTGTATCTACCATTCAGTAAAGTTCAAGAAAATGGGAAAAACTGATTTTTGACAACCTAGAAAAAATGAAATTAAGTTCTAAACTCTGAGAGATTAGATTTATACATACTAAAAAACTTTTACATAAGGATTAAATTTTTTTCCGCACAATAAATATTGACAGCAAAAAGTCAATTTTGTTGTAATAATAATAAAAGGATATTTCCTTGCCTTAATTTATTTCCTTGTTGGTGGGTAATGAATATTGTCTTTAATTATCTATATTAATTAATGAGTTGGTTATTTTGGAAAACTGTTTGCAAATATATAATTACTGAACACAAAAAAGGTAAATTTCCTACCTTCTGGCCTGTGGTATATATTATATAAAATTAGTACCTACATCTATATAATGTTAGTTCCTAATATTAATTATTTTCTTGATTATCAGTAATATTCTTATCAGGGGATGGAAAAACAATGGTTGATAAAGAACTATCAATAGGTGTATTTTATTTAAAACAAGGTAAATAAAATACAATGCATGACAGGTAATTATAATTAAAATAAAAATTTTATATATATTAAAAATATGTATGTGCAAGCAAATGATTAAATGATGTATTTGTTATAACTGAAAACATTTTAATGTATTAAAAGAAGTGTATTTTCAAGACTTGAGAATGGTTTTAGACAGGCAAATATCTTTAATGAAATAAAACAAATAGAACAAATGTTTAGACATTTGTATTGGGTTGGCAGTCCTTATATAAGTCCTTTTGGTTTTCAGGGTGAAATAAAACTCAATGTATTATAGACATAAAATTTATTTAAATCTACAATATACTGACCACTATTTAATATAACGTTTTCTCATCTTTTCACTAACTGCATAATGTCATGTTCATAGAATGTCTGGAGTTTATTGCTAAAAAACTGATCCAAGTGGTTTTTGATGTCCTCTTTCTTTTGGAATTTCGTTCCATTCATGAAGTTCTCTAGAGATAGGGATAAGCGGTAGTCACTTGGAGCTAGGTCTGATGAATAGGGAGGGTGGTGCAAAAGGTCCCATCCAAGGTTCAATAATTTATTGCGAGTAACTAAAATGAGGTGTGGGACCTAGCCTTTGTCTTGGTGGTACACAACACTCTTTCGATCATTCACAACTCTTCAGGATGTTCTTCATATTCGATGTTACTAATTATTGCTCTTCAAAGCCATATGAATGTTTTTTTGATTTAATGCCTACATAAGGAATAAATAAACAAAAACTGCTGATAGGGTTTTATTTTTTATCTCCAATAACATTTTTATAACATTTTAACAAGTTATAACATTTTTTGTGATTTTCGGGGAAAAAAATCATATGAGGGACCCAACATTAAGCCTGGAAACATAGCCAAGCTTGTGCAAATGGTTTTCTATGCTTGTGTGCGACACATTCAGGGCCATAGCAATCTCCCGCACTGATTGGGTGGGATTTTGATCAACAATGGCCTTACCATTGCTCGTTTCAATTTTATGTGGGCAACCAGACCGTTGAGCATCATTGATGTTAAAATTTCCTGAATGAAATTTGGCAAACCAATTTTTACAGGTGCGTTCAGCTAAGGCATTATTCCATAAATACTGCAAATTTTTCTATGAGCTTCTGCATCACGCTTACCTTTTTTAAAATAATACAACAAAATATGCTGATAATGAATGGTATTTTATTCCATATTCACAGTGTAATAGCGAACACAATACTAAGCTAGTTTCAACAAAAGTTAACAGATATAGTTGTTGATATATTACAAACAGGATAAACAATCCACCTTAGGGTAGGGATTAATTTATCAGATAAGAAGTGTATCATAGTGACATAAAAATAAACAGAAATACGAAAAGGACTTATTTGCCAATCCAATATACAAACAACCAAAAATAAATGGTACTCAAAAGTTTTTTCTACCACTCCAGTACAAAAAGAAAATTAATTCATAGTTTCATAAGCAGAATGGTGAAATGATTTTTGTGTGCCAGTATGTTTAAAAGTTCTAGAGAAAATGAAAAATATACATCTTTTTATTGTTTGGTTCAGTAGAAAACCTATTTATGTTTTTCTTGATTTAAAAAAATTAAGAATTTTTTTGTGCTATCAGAAAATGGCTTGAACATAAGTGTAATGTGTTAGTTTTTTTGTTACATCCTAACTGAACATAATTCAATTTGTCTGTGGTTCTATATATTTAAAGTATTTTATTTTCCAATAAATAAAAATTAAATTATTTAATCAATAATTATCCCTCCATCCATTAATAATATTAAGTTCAGTTCTTCAAATAGAATAAGCATAGCACACATTTATTACTTCACACATTTTTAAGCATTGCATTATAACTGTCATAATTTAGAGATGGAATTAAAGCTTTATATTGCCTATCTCTTCTAACAGTTTTAATTACAGTATAAAGTGAAACAAATTTTAAAAAGATGATTTTAGTGAACTCTACCATTTTATTTTATTTTATCAGCATATATGCCAAGGAAAGGCCATTGATCCTACAGTACGTATACAGTGTGCAATCAGACCCAAAAAAATAAAATAAAAAAATGTTATAGTTTAATAATTTTACTAAACATTTAATTTTATGTTCGTCTTTCTTCCATGGTTATCTTCTTGAGTGATATTTTCATAAAACAAGTAATACTTACATTTATTGTTATACAGTTATTGAATGTAACACAAATTAGTAACGTTATGTTGCTAATATATAAAGAAGAACCTATATCCCAAACTATTGCTTTTCATGAAGTATTATACAAGTTTTTTTTAATTAATATTTTAATTATATTTTTAACCTTAATGACTTCTTACTTGGTTTAAAAATAATAGCAAAACTTGTTATTATTACATTTAATTTTTAAGAAAATTCTGATATCATGAATAAAATGATTTTAAATAAAATGATTGTTTATTTATACTGTTTTATTTTAATTAATCATTGATATTGTGCTAAATTGATACATTAATTAATGTCATTGATTCCCATATGAGCAAAAGGCATCCACAAGTTTTTTTTCATTCCTTCTGATCTGCAGCAATCCTTATTGCCTCTTTCCGTGACTTAGCAAACCGTCTCAATTCTTTCTCTGCAGACCAGCGTCACGTCTCTCTTGGTCTGTCCTTCCTCCATTTACCCTAGAGGTTCCTCCATTTTAAGGCAGTTTTTCTGTAGCTCAATCTGTTTTCCTCAAAGTGGGCCGTATCTCTTTCCATTTTCTCTTCCTTATTTCCACTGTTGCGATCCTCGAGTCTCTTGTGGTTATTGATATATGCTATATTCTATTTTAAAAAATATTTACATATAAAATATTTTCAGAAGAAATATTTCTTTAATTTTTTCTATGCTTTGATTTCTATCTTCTCATAAGATGTATGTTATGTTTGGTATTATTAGAAATAATTAATTCAACTTGCTTTATTATTAATATTGAATTAGTTACATATTTTTTTAATAGATTTAATGGTGAGTAAAATTATAAAACAAGAAAGAAAGAAAAAAATAATTTTTTCCTCAGAATAATTCTGGATAATATAAATTTATATAATAGTTCTGTTTTTCATTTTTTACACTTGACAAAAATAAAAAAATTATGACTATTCGATGGCATGTTAATATTACTTGTTATTACCTCATTCAGTAATGTTATTTCTTACAATTGATGGATTATACTTATAAGACATGGATATGACCTTTTAGTTATTTTAGTTATCTTATAGAGGAATGAGTATTTTACTTCCTATGTATTGTATATCATAAACCTTGCCCTTGCCTACTGATTATCACAACCTCAACTCACTTTTAATACATTGAAGTGCTTAAGGTTACCTTTATCATTGGAATAAAGTGGGGTTGAAAGTAGACCAAGGTCTGATGACATTGATCCCTCACTGTGTGTCATTTGGTTTATCAATGTTCACAGAGTTGTTATGCTGGTAGTAGGTACACGTGTAAATATCATGTTTAGCGATAATGACAAATCAATACGAAACAATTTATGAGAGCACTCCATATTTTGCTATCGACCAGGATTGTATCAATACATTAATCAATGAAATAAATAATGAGTTAGCCAGACTTTTGAAGGTTTTTGGTGAAAATAATTTGTCCGCAATTGTTCCACTTTTGGTGGACGCTTTGACATATTTAGAAGATTCTATAAAAGTAAATCATGAACTTTCATCTCTAACGAATGAATTAAAATCTGATTTGAAATGTCTCGAAAAACAGTATGAAAAAGAAAAGTTATCAAGAAAATATCTTGAAGATAAATTATTGAAAAGGGATTATGAAAACGAAGATGAAGTAACCAGATTGAATGATGTAATTATTGACAAAGATAGCATTATAAATAAACTACGTCTTGAGATAAAACTGTTAAACGCTGAATTATTAAATAAGCCATTGGAATGTGATTCTGATATTAAAACTAAAAATAATCATTTAGAACTTGTTACTGAAAAAAACAAGCTCCGTCAGAAGGTAATTGAACTTGAATCTGCTTTAAGGAAAGCAAAATCTGAAAAAGCTGCACCTCTAATAGATTCATCTGATTCTAAACAGAGAAGTTCTATATCTGAAGTAAATGATCTTAAATCTGTTGAACTTAATAAGCCTAATGATACTTCTACTGAAGAATTAACATCTGAAATTTTAAGTATTCCAAATTTTTCTATTTCCAAATTTATAAGTTACAGGTGATGGTGTTTGGGCATGTGCGGCATTTTTTCTGCATGATGTTAATATTTATGAAAATACTTCGAAGTGTAAATAAAAAAACAAATTAGCGAGGAACCCATGTATTTAAACAACATAAATGTAATTTTAAAGTTTTAAAGCATTTAATTTTTTTTTTCAGTTTCCGCAGAGATCAAAGCTGCGCACACCAAGCGTATGGTCAAGTAAATCATCGTTGAGTACAGGTTTCAGATATCATGGTGGCAGCATAGTTCCATCAACAACACCAAGCCCTGAGTCTGGAAGGACCTATTTATTTGAAGGTGGTTATTTATTTTGATTACTGTTAGGTAATCCACTATTCCTGTTGAAACATTAAGTTGTAAATAATTTTAATAGCTGTAATTGTATCATACCCTCATCTTAATATCCACAAATCCTTTTTTTTTTTTTTTTTTTTTCATATCCCCTTTTTATTTATTTTTGTCTTGGATTTCCATTGTCTTCATAATATTCCTTTTACTGCTTAAAAGCATTGTAAGATGTATTTTTGATTTTTTGTCGTTTCTGAGTATTTTTTTTCTATATCTGTAATATAAAAGGTGATGGAGCTCACCTCAGGCTTGAGTTGACCTTATCCTCTAGAGCTTACTACTAAATTAATAAAACATCTTCATGTGAATTGTTGCCAACGTTTTGGAATTTTGGCTGGTAATAAGTTGTTGAAACGAGGGTTTGCCAATTGTTGGGACTTTTCGAAAAATGAATTTTTTCATTTTGCGACAAATTCTTTTATTGTTGATAATCTTGATTGTTTGTTACAATATGAAACAGGCTTGTAATTGTTTATCGTGAGAGCATATTTTTACCTTTAAATATTCAATATTATAATAAATACATTCATTATTAAATAAATAGAATTTTGTTTTAGATATATTCTTGAAAATTCAGAAATATCCAATGCCATACAGTTTTAAAAACTGTTCATATACTATTAGAACACAGTTACAGATGTTACATACAACAAAATGAAATTTCTATTTTAAAATAAATTATTTTATTTATTTACTATCATTTATCTATGTTCTATAAAGGTCTCATCGGAAAAGAAAGATCTACATTATGGGATCAAATGCAATTTTGGGAAGACGCATTCTTAGATGCTGTCAGTCAGGAAAGAGACATGATAGGAATGGACCAGGGACCCACAGAAATGATGGAAAGGTAAATATAAAATTAAATCATTTTATTTTATCTAAAAATATTACATTTGAAAAATAAATAACTTCTTTTTTTTATTAATCTCCTACTTGGTATCTTATGGCATGCGAGAGAGTTAGTTATCCTTCAGATAACCAAACAATTCTAACCAGAGTGGAAAGGTCAAGTACTCATTATATGGGTGCACTAGAAAATAAATTTCAATCCCCTCCCCCCAGACCAGGCTCAACCTGGCACTGTTAGACTTGAAGTTGCTAAAATGTCTTCAACGCTCTCAGCCATCAGTCCCAAAAAAAACAAAAAAAAACTTCAGTAATAATAAATTATGAATAAAAGTTTATGAAACAACATTCTAGAATATAAATAGAATTAAATTCCTCTGATTTCTAATAATATCAACAGTTGATTAAGTCACTCATATTGTCGGTTTATTGCAAAAAGTCACTAAGCACATTTTTGATAAAGGTTAACTTTCAAAAATATTTTTGTAAATTTCGGTCTTATTTATTTTTGCAAAAACATTGTAAGTGTATGAAAATGGCCTTCACCCTCTTTTATTTGCCATACATAGTTATACTGATGTTACAAAATGTCACTTAATGATTTTTTTCAATAAACCGACGATATAATAGATAAACCTTTATATAATAAGTAATAATATTGAAATCCCAATTTTTTTTTATTTATTAATTTTATGCTGAGTGCGTTTAGTGTTTTAATGTATCCTCGTTTATTATTATATTGTTATAAAACCTGATCTTTGACAGGCAACAAATAAAGGTATTATTGCAAATTTTGTAAAATAAATCCTTTGCACAATAACCTGAGCTGCATGGGATGTCATTTTAGAGATATGGGGGAAAAATTAGTTCATTAGTATCTTATAATATAATGACAAGAAATGTCTTCATACAAAATAGTTGGAGGAAGTAGACTAAAAATTATATGAATATAATAATAATAATCAAAATTACAATAGATGTTTGTGTAGTATAAATGATACATTCTGAGATTGAGAGGAGAAAAAAAAATGGAATTATATAAATATGTTTTTTTATGCTTTTAACTTTGTAAAAAAAAAAAACTTTCAGGTATAAGTGGTTGAGTGAAACTGAAAAGAAACGGCTTGAACATGAAGAAGATAGGTTACTTTCAACAATGCTATACAATCTAACTGCATTTATGCTAATGCTTAATATAAGTAAGAATGAACTTAAACAGAAAATCCGAAGGCTGCTTGGAAAAAGCCATATTGGTTTGGTATATAGTCAAGAAGTCAATCTTCTTCTTGATCAGATTAATAATCTGGTGAGTTTTATTTAATTGTATATTTTAGTATCTATATTTTTATTTAAGATTCCGGAAATATTTATTGGACTTACATAGTAAAATTTATGACATGGTATTCAATTAATCAGTAAGCTCTGTTTTCTAGTCTGTCCTTATTTACTTAGAAATAATTTTAGTTTTTATTCAGTTTTAACTCTTTACAACATAAAAAATAAGTATCCGATAATAATTTTATAATTTATTAATAGAGTTTTGACGCATTCAAATGATATAAAGAACAAATATAAATTTCTAAACATTATTTGCTTGGTAAATTTGAAGTTTAGTATTTTTCTGTGTATTTTTAGCAAGGAAATGATATAGATCTGAAACCAGTGGCATCAAGATTATCACAAAGGCATACATTCACTGTTCATTCTGGAACTGATTCAAGTGGAGAACTTCTTTTCATGGAAGTGAGAGAAGATGGAATAGCTCTTCGTGGAGTAAACGGTGTTATGCTGCAGCGATGGTGGTATGAACGTCTTGTAAATGTTACTTATTCACCAAAGACCAAAGTGCTATGTTTGTGGAGAAAGAACTCTGGTCAGACTCAACTCCATAAATTTTATACAAAAAAGGTAATGTCTTATTATTCATTTTCTATTACATTATTATGAGGTTATATATATATATATATATATATATATATATATATATATATACTTTCCTTTTTTCCCCCTAAAAAATATTTGGAACTATCCACATATTATGTCACACTATTTTAAACCATTTTTATTATTCATATTATCGCAATTCCATATTCTCTTAGCCCCATGGAATGTAATCCATGCAGGAAAAGGGGATCTATCCCACCAATTTATTCAAATATCTGTTCCACATCCTAGGAGCTAAGAAGAAAAAAAAACTAAGGTGTGTGCTTTAGACCACACAACAGAAGTGACAACATTAGCAAGGCGAGATTAATAATAGACCTACAAACATTCTGTTTTATATAAATTGTTTTAAAATTTAATAAAAGCAAGCAGTTTTCGTATTGAAATGTGGTTCATTTTATTACAAAACCAAGTTAGTTTTATCATTTTATTTCCAGTGCAAAGATGTTTATTACTGCATAAAAGACTGCATGGAGGGTCGAGGAGGAGGAAAGACGGGCGTTGAACCAGGAGGTGAATTCCCTGTTGAAGATTTGAGCTCTGGCGAAGGAGGTCTTCTCCATGTTTGTATGGAGGGTGTCGGCCTTCTGTTTGCCAACAGCAAGGTGAGCTTTAGCATGTCTTGGTCATTTCCTCATTACCTTACATTAGATCTTAAAAATATTTATTTATGAAAAAAAAAACATAAAAAAACAAAGAGAATCAAAATTTAATTAAGCATTAAAAAAAAAAAAAACAATAAAAAAACTCCTCTTTGTAAAGTAACTCGATAGACTATATTCATAAATGCATTTTTAATCAAAGATCTGATGTTTTTAAAAGATGATAAAATATTGTTGATTTAAATGTACTGATGATGTTTATTTGAATAATTGTTTATTTTTATATCTGAAATCAAGGACCACTCAAAATTTCCTATTAATGTCACTTAAATGTGCTATATTTCAATAGGTTTAAAACAAATAATTCGAAAGGTTTAGAATTCTTTTACAATCACCTTTATTCTTGTTTTATATTTTACCCGATTAAATTTGTCGATGTTGTCTTTTTATTATTACTATACATTTACTATAAAACTTATATTTTGGCATGATTCTTTGGTTTTATATTTATCTTTAAGTGTGATTGTCTCTCTTTATTTACTTATTTTTTTAAGACAAGTCTATTATTGAATTATTGTAGTTTTCGGAAGGCTCCATAACTTTTTGGAACTTTATTCTCTTCTTTATTACCCGCTCGAATAATTTTCTATTTTTTCTCTATTTTTTATATACTTTTATTATCTTTCTATATTTATTCTATCTCTAACTCTATTTCTCTATTTCTCTGTCTATCCTTTTCTTTTTATTAACACATTGTTTCTATGTTTTGAATAAACTTATACGTGATGGTGTTTAATATACCAATTCGGCAAGTCTACGCACAAAGTTTAAGGAACTTTTGAGATGGTCCTTCAATTTTCTTTTGTTTATTTTTCAGTATATTGAGTTTTCTGTTGATCTTTATACCCTTACATATTGTCCATTTCTCTGTTTTTCCTTCTCCTTCCAAAATGCGACCCGGACATTGGACTTGCTCAGGATTTCGAGGTATTCATCAACATAGTTTGCCTTCCGTTTGTTTGTTGTAGAGCGATATGTTGTTTGTTATAGATAAATGTTTTGTTTATATTATTGTTTGAAGGGGAACAGTTTTGTTCCTTGTATTGTTTTATTTAGTAATCTTTTAGTGAACCAACCTTTTTAAAGCATGTATGCACTTAGAATAGATGTTGGACCACTGTTATAGTATATTATGTTTATTTAAATATATCAAATCCATGACATCCACCATCTCACCAGTGCCTTAAGCTTTGAACAGTAGTTTTTATTAATGGATAATTTCAACATTTTTTGTACATATATATGTTTAACTGTTGTTTTGGATAGCTATTAACATTTTTATTATATATATGTGCATGAAATTTTCATAATCCTTCTCCTTTTTTGAATTTTATTACCTATCCATCTTCATTTATGTTATGAGCTAAGCATCATGAGCTTTGTAGTTTTTTGCTAGTTTTCGATTTATATTTTGGAAGCATTCACTTTTTAACAATTTTTCACATCTCATTCACATCATGATCCGCCCCATAGATATTAATAAAAAAACACATTTGTTAGAAACTAAATGAGTGACAAATCTAGTAAATATCTGATATAAAATAGGATAGCTCTGTGATAATGGTTTTAATAGAAATCAATTAAAATAAAATACAAAACGTAGTTGGCTTTTAATTACAGTGCACTGATTGTAGTCGAGCTTTTTTTTTTGTTTGTTTATTAAGTTATTTTCAATTAATTCTGCGAAGCAAAAGTAATAAAATATGCTTTGATTAGTTTATTAATATATCAATTAAAATAAATTTAAAAAAAAAATCATTGATACTAGAATAAATTGAATCATTAGAGCCCCATGCATGCTCTTAAGCACTGCTTCTCATCAACAACCACTTTACCTGTAGTAGACTTGGAATGTTTTCCTTCCACACGTAGTTTTTGTGTTCGTCCGAATAAATTAACACAATTGTCTACTAGTTTTGGAATAATTTATTTAATCATGTTTTTATATAAGGGAATTCAATATAGCTCTTCGTTATTGAACTCTTCCAGGGGTGCTACAGGTATGTAAGAATATTATTAATCATTAGAAAAAAAAATTATCATTTGATCAGCAGATTACAAATAATTAAGAAATCAAGAAATTTAACTATTTAATAACAAGCCTTTTATTATTTCTAATTTGAATCAAACCTCAGTGAAAATTTTAAATAAATTTTTAAAAACCAATAATTATTTATTCGAATTCATTTGAGACATACTAACACATTTTCTTTGAAACCTTTCATGGTCATTTTTCTCTGTTCTGCATGCATTCAAGAATTATGTTAGTGTAAATATTTTTTTTTAATATCTCCATGTTGCATAAAAATTGTTTCAAATTTGATGTTGCATATTGATTTTATCTTCGATTTGTGTATTTTATTAATTGTAATAGCTTTGATCTATTTACTTAGTGCTTCATTTTTCATATATTTAAATTATTATTATTCAATAAATGTTATGAAATCTTTCTTCTCATTGCAGTTTTTCATTCGCTTGGAGCACATAAGGAAATGTTTTACTCAAAAAGGAGGGATATTTATCTTGGAGCAATTCAGTAAGTAACCTTATAAAAGGATGTTTAAAAAAGTAAAAAAAATAGATTGAGAGTTCACCTTCTCTAGTGATAGCAAAAAACTACCAAATTGGTCAGTATCATATTTTTGGAAAAACTAATTTTAATTTTCTTGATCAATCCTCTCCATTCAAATAGTTAATTGATTATTCACATAAAACTGAATGGACTCTTCCCTGCCATATCTTTGTGTATTTCATAATTGATAAATAATCCTCTAGGCTCAAAGAAAATTAATTTTTTTAAAATTTTGTTCATAAATCGAGATGCTACCACAACTTCCGCAGTCATTATAAAAAGAAAAAGAAAACAGTCCATCGATGGACAAATAATTGACTTACTGCTATGAAACTTGAGCTTTTTGGCAAGGGTTGAAACTTTTATAGAACTTGTTTTTCAAAAATTCTATTTTAACAGTTTCTATGGAACTTTTTATGAAAAAAAATTCTTAAAATAAAAGGTCTGAGAATTTGTCTATTGTAAAGTTCTCGATTTGTGGCAAAAGTTTAACTTTTATTTATTAAGTTCTTAAGAAAAGGAATATTAAATATAAATAAACACTAATCAGGCTTAGTTTAGAGTTATAATTTATCTAAATGAATTACTTGTTTCTAATGTGGCATTTATTTGAGTAGCTAAGAATAAAAGTAATATTTTAGATTGATTTTTTGTCAAAGTCTACAGAAATTTTAAATAAAAGTTCTGTTAAACCTTTACTTGAAAAGTTGTATAGGAAAACGTTATAGTTCCAAAATAACATAAACAAATTTAAAATAAAGATTCCAGTTATACCTAAACTGTGAAAAAATAAAAGTTAAAATTTCATTTCAAGCCCAGTTTTTTGGGAACTACATAGTAAGACCTAATGCTTTTTCAAAATAGTGATTTTAAAAACATCAAATCTTGTGAAAAGCCTTTATTTTTAGATCTTGCTACTTAGGGCGGGATGGTTGAATGGACTAACACGATGTGTAAAACACATGTTGCCCGACAACCTTATAAACCTAAAAATTTTAATTCAAATACCGGTGCCAAAGTGTCTCTTAATTTTGCCATTAATTTCCTGCCCTCTCCTGGGACCCGGGAAAAACTTCATATAGCTGAAAAAATGAGAAAGGAGAAAACAAGAAAAATGAAAAAAAATCTTGCTTCTTGCTGAAATCTTACTGATGTTTTAATATTGAGTAAAGTATAAATATTTTAATAGTTAATAACTTTTTATGATTAATGATTTTATGGTTAATAGTTATTACCTTTTTTTTTCATTTTATTAATTTGAGAATTCCATATTATTTTTGTGTTTTAGACCCAAAATCACGACAAGTTATACAGCGAAAATACAGGTCATCAATGGTCAGTACTACATACTTCTATAGTAATGGTTCCTGTAGCACTTTTTTATTTCCTTTTTTTTCTTTTCCTTAAGTTATTTTTTTATTTAATTTATTTTTGTTATAGGCTGCCAGTCTTATTTTTAACATTCACCGAGTAATTTCTATAGAGTACACAAAGCAGTTAGCTCGTGATATTTGATGAACACCATTTTAATTTGTTTTAGTATGTGTTATATATATTTTTTTATTTCCTTTATTTACTTTTTCTTTTCAATTTTTATGATATTATTTCCCTTATTGTTTGAAGGGGAAAAAGGCTGTTAAGAAACAATTTTTTTTTTTTATTGTTTCATAGTTTTGTTTGTTTACTTTATTTATTTATTTTTTATTTCACTGTATAATTCAAAGTAGAAAAGTATTATGTATTGTACACCTGTCCCTCTGTTTGTCACTGTAAATCACATAGTTTAATGTCTACTTAATCTAGCATATTTGCTAATGATATAAAAATCAGTGATTTTCAGAGCCTAGGATCACATACATTTCTAGAATGCAAGAGACACAACTCAAAAAGTTAATTTGTATAGAACTAATACTACAGCTACGGGGTGTGATAGATCAGTTTATGAGCTGCTTTCTTCAGTCCAATACATGAGGGTTGCCTATTTTAGGCAGAATTGCTCGATTTGACTAACTCCTGAGGAAATTTTGATTTGTTGTTTAGGGTTTAGAGGCATAAAATCTCAATGTCATCAACACCTATCTAATCTTCCTTTAAATTATTTCAGTAATAAATTATTATGGGAAGAAAAAAAAAACAACTCAAATTTAAATTTTGTTTAGTAAATCATTATCTTTAAGAAAATGTATCACCATTTTTATTTTAACTTCGTCATTATTTAAAACTACTGATAATTTTAGTATGAGTCCCAATTCGGTTACAATCAATAAGTAATAAGGACACTCTTGGAGAATAAAAATTTTTGAGTTGTGGCACTTTCATTTTGAATGTGCAATGTACATGATCGAAGGATTTGAATTATTTATTAAATGATGTTCAAACGCATCATCATCAATAGTTTGAAACCACATAGCTGAAATTTTCTCAATTTTTTCAAGACATAAAAGAAGTATAAAAATCGAATTTGCATGTTATTGAGGGATGTTTTTTAAAAATAGCAATACCTAGAAAGTTATATGATAGAAAAAGAGCAGAAATAAATTTAAATTAATTGTTATGTGTCAAATTTAAGAAAAATTAATAAAATAAATCTAAATCAATGCTTTCGAAATTATGTGGTTTCATTCTATTACCAATGACAAGCTACAGTGAACTTGTTTTATCCCAAAACAAACTTATTTTCTTGGTAAGTTAGATAAGTTTCAAACAATGTTTTTTAATTTACCAGGAATGTTTACAGTATTTGACATATCACCTTCCCTAGTTCAGTACTTACCAACCATAACATGTATAGTAATTTTTCTTTTTTGATTTTATCTATTCTGTTATAATTGAAGTATTTATATATTGCATAAATAACACTTTTTTTTCAATTTGTAATAATTGTATGCATTGGTGTCATATTATTCCAAAAGAACCCGGTAGAGATTGCCTAGTGTCACTGTCTATAAATTAGTTTGTCACCATGAGTTTGCAATTAATTTAAACATTTAAAATATCAATTAATCAAGAACAAGCATTGCTTTAAATTTATAGATTTTATTACTAAATTATTTTTTTTATTTTTAAAATAAAGTTTTTTCGAAGTTACAGTTAATCCTATTGAAATAAGTATTAAAACACTAGGAACGTATATATAATTGAATTCTTATTGCTAATATTGGATATAATTATTATTCTTCAAACAGGATCATTCAATTAGTATAATGGTAAACTGGATGTTTTATTTAATTATGTATACAATAAATTTATTAATAAAATAAGCCTTTAGATATTGTGAAAAAGAAAATCATAAAGACTTCCTTCAAGATATTATTTTTAGACTTCATCATTTGATAAGAAGGTTATTTTATTTTATTTTTTTATTTGTTTCCATCCTCCCTGCCACTATGGCAATATGGGTGTATGCAGTAGTGTGATGTTAAGTATTGCATAACAACACACTACTGGAATTATAACATCATACAATATTCAAGGCTGTGCATACAGCTAGTTCTTTTACATTATTATTATTTATTTTTTTTTTAAGAAGGTTATCTTAGCAAATGATGAAGATCTAGGCTATATGATGGAAAAATTCAATGCTTTTTATCTATATTTCAGCCATAAATTAAAGACTATCCCCTATTCTCACACAAATCCAGTTCCACTCTTCCTTAGATTGGCCATCAGTAATTGTTCAATAGATTTTAAAAAGCTAATCAAAATTAATTTAATTATAAAATGAAAAAGTACATATGTAACACTATTTCTTTTTTTCTTTTTTTTTTTTAATAAAATGTTTATATTTATGTATATAGTATTTTTAAACAATTTTAAGAGGATATCTGTCCTATTGATCAAAGGGATTGGTGTATAAATAAATACATTCATTCAGTTTTTTTTTTAAACTATGTTGTTAATATGTTATACAGATTATTTGAAATTAATACATTTAATAATGGCCTTTATTTCCTTCATCGATTTATTTGTGATGGTTTATTATAGAAATAATTTATAGAATTTATTGCCTAGAAATTACAATAGTTAAACATATTAATAATCAATTATCATTTATGGTTAATGAAAAAAAATTTTAGGCGGACCAAATTTGCTATTCCGTGTTATGTGTCTTCTCTTACATAGCCGCAGGTCAAGACAAGAAAACTCAGCGGAAGAAAGTACCACAAGCATAAATTTGTTGATACTGTACAAAAATGTTGCCATAGTTTTGAAAATTATTGTACACATTTTTTTATGGTGATATATTTCATAAACTGATGATATTTTAGGAATAATATTGTTTTACATATAAAATGTGATTGACAATAGTCCCTCTCTTGTATATTAAAATGTTAATATTTATAGTATACTAGAAATTAGGAAGCCAAAATATTTTTAAAGTTATCACTAATAAAAAATTAAATAAAAAAAAATTGATGAATCTCTTTTATAAGTATATATAAAACATGTTTAACATATAGAGATATGATGAAAGCTTTAAATATATAAGTTATGAATTTGTAAACTATAGACAGTAGATTCTCCCTTATCTGGTGATACTGGGACCTATGAGGTATGGGATAAAGAATATACTGGAGATTTTAATTAAAACTATAAACTGCATATTAGTAATATCATATAAAAAGTTGGTTGGTGTGTTATTAGTGATGTATTTGGTTAAAAAATAGTTAGTTTTTCATTGATTTTATTACAATAATCCTGTGAGTAAGTCGTTTATTTTAATTATGCATATTTCACTCCAGTAGTTCAATGGCTGATTACATAGATGTGTTATTCAAATATTAACATAGTTTTAAATTTAATTACAATAAAACAGTTTATTTTTTTTATAAATAAGAAAAATAAAGGAAAAACAAACTTCTTAGATAAAACAGTAACATATAACAAAATAAACCTTGCCCTGTTATTAAAGGCTGTCTCTATTCCTGTTCTCTCACTGTTCCTCGGATCCGCCTTCAGAAACTATTCAAGGAACACCTGATGTGATTAAAACAAAGAACCTTAAAAATAAATTACAGAATCAAACAAATTTTTAACTATAAAAAGAATTACTGAATCAGATTGATAAAATCAGATTTTCAAATAAAATTTTATCAGATTCATAAAATAAAATTTACATTAGTTTTAATATAAAGCTACCTTTATCACATGGCATCCTCAATTAATCAAATTACTTCTCAGTAATTTGTCATGACCAGTATCAATAAGATATATATTATCGAAAAGATCGATTGCTTATATCGTAGTGTGTTCTGCATTAATCTAAAATAAGAAGAAGAAAAACGAAGTAGTTATAAAAATCTCTTGCAGCCTTCTAAATTCTGCCATTCGAGGCATGTGCACCCTTTGCAACCCCATTATTATTTCCATTCCTGAATAGGATTATTGTAATTCTTTTATTGAGACACAATTACTTGTAAAGAATTAAATTTATATATTTTTTTTATGGAACTTTGGAAAACCTAGATACAATGAAATTTAACTAAATTGACTACCCATATCTTCTAGTTTTTGTTAATAAATCAGAGACATTTATTTTGTCGAAGCAATATTGGTCTTTGTTGGATCGCTGAAATAATTCTATTAGTATTAAGATGCTTGAATAAAATAGAAGACTTTCACTGAACGCTTAGAAATGTTTTTTCTACAGTTTCCTTATATGAAAATAATTTTTTTAATGTTCATTAATATAAAATATATTAATAAATAAAACAGATTCCATATTATTTACTAATTTGTAAAATATTATTAACAATAAATGTGTAGTACCAGCTGTTGTATAAAATTCTAACTTTTTATTTCAAAATGTTATCTTCTAAAAATTGGAATTTGTAAGCATAATTGTTTCTAACTTGGGCATTTGTATAGTCAAATTTTACAGCAGGTTGGTAGATACAGATGCAATGAGGGGGTGATCAGCCAGGGTCACAGCCCAGGTATCCAGGCACTCACTCCAAAGGGGATTTGGCCAGGAAAATAAAATCTGGGACCTTTGGTTTCTCTCCATGGTCCTAGGTAGACTAATTTCATATACTTATTGGTTGAGTTTGCCATTATCAACTCATGGTAAAGGTTATAGGAATTTTCTTCCTCTTTCGGTACCAATAAAGAGATCACTAGATAAGAGAGAGTTTTCTGTGATTGCATTCCAACCCCTATGTAAGTGATCCTTAAATGTGCTAAATATTTGTTATTTCTGTTTAATTTATTATAAATGTAAACATATTTCTATGTGTTCAAACTAAAACCATCGTTCTACACACCAAGGTTGTGCCTATACCTTTAGTATTTTAAGATTCCTTATCCTAATAATTACTGTTATCAACTGCAAGTGTTAAAAATTGCAATTTCATGGCTTCGAAATTAACTTCACATAAATATCTATGCTATCATCAGGTATATCATAAATCAGTTTATTTTTTTTCCAAACACAGTATATATTCTCAATAAAACAAAATAAAAAAATATCTTTAATTAAGAATCTGAGACACATTAACTGAATAACTATTTGAACCTTTTTTAACTGTTACAAGCTTACCTATATGTCTGATGATATTAATTGCATTCTAAAATTTTAGGATATATACATTCGCGCCAAGTGATATTTCATAATGATATTTAAAATACATTCCTAAGCAATATTAATAAAAGCACTGTGCTAATCCTGTGTATTATCCCATATATGGTTTTGTAATTAGTAGTTAAGTGTTATGTGATTTTTATAGCGTGATTTATTATGTCATTCTGTTATTAATAAACTGTATGTAATCAAGATATTGTAATATTGTATATCAGAGTGGCAGTATATATATTTTCAAGTTGATTATGGTTTGTAATGAACTTCCTATAATGTTACATATCAAAATAATAAAATATTGCATAGTCCTTGTTTTTATTTTCATTTTTAATCATTTCCATAATAAAATAAAAAAGTCCTGCAATGACTTCATAGAGTGGCTTAATTTGTGATCTAGTGATGTCTTGGGGCAAATGTGTTTTACAATGCAAAATATATACTATTGTTATCTTGTTAAAGGGGGGAGAAATTGATGGAGTTCATCCTAGAAATATTGGCCAAATTATGGTTCCCATACCAACAAAGTTTACTCATTTCCTATCAAGAGAAAATTTGATATTTAAATTATTTGTCATAATTTTTTTAAAAAGATTGACTTGGTTGTTGGTGAAGAAGGGTTTTTTATCCCTTGATGTAATAAATAATAATACTTATCACAATATAAGGGAAACAAATTTCTACAGAACTATTACTAAAAAAAAGAAAATCTGCAATAAAATAATCTTAGAGAAAATCTGTAAATCAGGTAAGAATATTACAATAATATATTTTGATAAAGATTCTTCCAATTTTAATAATATCATTGATGATCATCTAAAACAAATTGTATCAATGTGGCGAAAATTGTACATAAAAGGTATTTTGTTTTATCAAATTAACTTTTTTGGTTAACATTAATATTAAAAACCTGAACAGATGTAATTTAATTTTGTTAGTGAAAGAATGTTCCATTACATTCCATATAATCCTTACAATTAACAAGTTTTTTAATGTCTCTAATTAAAAATTGACATATGGATTAATTAGGAAATAAATTATTTGACATATATTTCTCTTGAATCTCCTGTTTTGAGTACTCAGCTTTTTAGAAAATAGCCACACTCTTAAGAATAGTTTGTTTAAGAGATTGGTTTGAAATGTACTGAAGAATTTTAATATTTAAAAATCAGAGATTTTGCATGGCCTTCCACTTATTAGTATTTTTTTATACATAACTTTGTTTAGGCTTTAAGGCGTAAAACCCTAGTCATCAATGCCTTAAATCGATGCATAACTTTTGATAAACTTCAGAACAAATTATTATTGAAACCACTCTTATATTTTATTAATGTCACTCCCAAAACTGATTTTTAATGTGACAACCAGATACTTAGTGTAAATAATTTATTTATTTTTCAATTAAAAAAATGTTAAAATTAAATAAGTAGTTTTTCAGAAAGGAAACAAAATAGACTCATTAGAGATTTAGATACAAAAATATATTCATAATTATTAAATTTATATTATAAATTAATATATTAAGAATTATAATAATTATCAGTAATAGATAATTTATACACTTCTTCTTCCTCCTTGTGCCTTTCAGCGTGAGTATTTATAATCAGTATATATATATTTTTAAAACCATCTATCAAAATTAATGTATTAGGATATTATGGGTTTAAAGAAGGTGTTGTCATAAGGTTACTAGGAATGATGAGCTCCTTTCCCTCTCTTTATTCTAATACTAAACTAAAAATTTATGTCTTTTTTTTTCTCCTTTGAACCATTTTGTTGAACTCCTCTTCCTGTTATCTTGATATCACAGGAAATGTGTGGTAAAGAAAGTCAGATCAATACTTTTATGGGTTTTATTTAAGTTTACTAATTTATTTCAAGACCCTTATTTTTAAAGTGAAACCCGAAGAATTTTTCTGGAAATCAAGATAATTATTGTTTATATAAAAATGCTCTCAATGAATCCGAAGGTAGAATTTTTTTTTTTTCTAAAATGAACTAAACTATCAAAAAAAGAGGAGAAAAAGTAAGTTCATTTCGAAAATTGTTGTTAAATAGAATTTTATTTAGTTCCAGAATATTTTGAGATCGTAGGAATATTTAATCCACTTTAAACCGTGCCTCAAACCACAGTAAAAAAGGAAATGAACCCATATTGTCTAATTCAGGAGTCTCCAAATTTTTTGGCTCACAGGCCACATTGAGACCTCCACCAAAGTCCCGCGCGGGCCATGGCTAGTGATGAAAAAAAAAAATCTTATTTTATAAATGTCACTTCGGCTGCGAAATGAGCTTTCTAACAGAAAAAAAACAAGCAATAAATGTTGCAGTAACTGGTGTGAAATTTGCTAAATTTTATATTTTTTAAATAGTTTTTCAAATTTTACAATCTTATCAAAGAAACTTTCATGGGGTGGATGGAAAGTGATTGCGAGCTGGATCCAGCTCATGTACCTTAGTTTAGAGACCTCTGGTTTAATCTATTTGTAGATGGTATCCACTTTAAAAAAAAATTGAAAAAAACAGTTTTTCTGCGGTTATTTAAGATCTGTTAAAAATTTGTAATACTTACTAGATTTGCATTTTTTCGTATCCTCCACCTTTTTTTTTTTTTTATTGAACCATAATCAACCTTTTACATTTCAAAAATGACTCTATTTAAATTATTTTTAATTAATATTAATAAAAATAATTTCTTAAAACAATATTGGTTTTTAGTAAAGATAATCAAATAAATAATTTTTCCCATTTAAATAAGAAGTTTGAAAAACCACATTATATTTCATTATTTGTTTTATCTTAATCTATTTACTATAAAGTTAGGAAGTTCAGTTTTTACATTGTTTTCTCAACATCTGGTCCCATGGATAAGTCCAGTTTAACTTAGAATTCCATTTGTTCTATAGGCTAAAAATATATTTCAGCCTCACTAAGTTTCAGAGAGCACAACAAAAAATAAATAGAAAATGAATCTATACCACCCACTAAAACCCAGGAAGTGTCTTAAGTTCCGTGCTTTGTAATGGGGAATTGTTTCAAGTGCAATACTAGTGCCAATTTGGACTGAGTGTGCCTCAAGAGGATGGATCCACAACTGATATAACAGAATAATTACCACCCACAGCTGGACTCCAAGCCAAAACCAGGAGCATATGGGAACAGTGCTTTACTCACTGAACTATCCCACTCCATTTTAAATAGTGCAAAAAGTTCTCAATAAACTGTACCAGACCCTTCAACAGGTGTTAGTAAAAATTTAGAGGTTAAGTACAATCTTGTCTTAAATCACCTCCTTGTAAAATCACTTCCTAGAAACAGTACTTTTTTTATCATGTACTGGATCCAAGAGCCCTCCATGAATACAGATACCAATTTATTATCTATAAAAAAAAACGTATTTAATTAATTAATATATTATATATATTTTATATTCAACCTTCCTCGTTTCTCAGCATAACGGTTTTCAGAAAAAGCAAAATGCACAAGGTATAATAAAGTATAGCAATTTATTTATTGAAGTATAATTATTTTTTAGGAAATGTACGGTGACTGAAATTTTGTATGTTCAGAATATAACTAATAAAGTGGAATTGTTCTGCCATAGAATTCAAAAAATATGTATGGCCTTGTAACACCAATTATATTTAAGTATGGAAGCACTGTTACTCATTATGGACAATGGAGAAAACTTTTTAAAAATAAAGTGACAGACTTATAATATACATTTTTATTATATAAATTTAATTTACATAAATTATTTAAATACACAAACAATATACACAAAATCGACATATGCACATGAAGCTTAGTGGTTTTTCTAATCTATAATTATTATGTATATTGTGACAATATAAGGGGAAATATACTTATAAATAAATATATAGATATATATTTATGTATAGATATATGAATGTTGAACACGATAATAAATAGAAAAAATTTGTAATTATTTGTCATAAATATATATGTATATATAAGAGCAATTAAAACCACTAAATAAAAATCTTATAGTGTGTTCATGTTCTACAACATGAGAATTCAATTGTATCAGCCTTTTCCCTAAATAGGGTTGAGAGGTTCGCCAATTCAACTAAGACTATTATTACTGTATACTGTACACTTTATAGTCATAACAAAGAGAAATAGAGCGAAGAACTGCTCCGCTGTACTCTCTGCCCAAAGTAAAAAATAGTCCATTTATTTTTAAGACTTAATTTTGTCTTTATCCACTTATTAAAAATTTCACTTTTTATTTTGAAGTGCATTTGAAAGCCAGTCCATTGCGGAATCTAATCCTTCTCCTTTAACAGCAGAAGTCTTGAAAATTTGGAATGTTCTATTTTTCAATTGGTCTAAGCCAAGGGCCTGATGAACCTCTGCAACACTCAAACAACCTTCCATATCCTGCTTGTTGGCTAGAACAACAAGAATAGCTCCTTGCAGCTCTTCTTCCTAAAAATTAGATAAATTTTACTTTGACAGGCATAAATATTTAAAAGCAGCAAAGCAGCATAAACATACCCAAACTGAGCGATCCATGATTAATAATAATAAATTTCATTGCTTAAAAGTAAAAAAACTTAAACTAATGAGTGCCTTCCAGATTAATGATTTGGATGATAGTCCCACAGAGCTTTATCCTTTTTTGATCTCTAATACTAAATATTGCCTATTGGGACTGATGAGTATGCTGGGTGTTTAAGCAACTCAACATAGTTGAGCAGCTGTGCAGTTTTATTGTACTTCTCTCTTCTTTATAAAATCCCACTGAGCCAAAATATTCTGAAAACCTCCGATGATTTTGTAATGAACTATAATAATTTGAAACCCTCTCCTATACTTACATAATCAATTTTGAGATTGAATTAAAATATGTTGGATACCATAAAATGTTTACAGTTGGTGATCTTTCTTAAATGTTTTATCTATCTCACAGTGCTTTAAAGAATTATAAATATGCTAATAATCTATGTAATATAACATATTAGGAGTATTCAAGCAGCTTGTGATAAATGATTAATGTTTTATCATGCTAAGCAGTCATAAGCATGCTAACCAACTCCAACTGAATTCTAGGAAAAAATAATGAATCCTGTTTTAAGAGATATAATTCAACTAAATTAAAAATGTTAGTACTCAGTGGATGCAGAATTTGATGCTCAACAGTTTTGATTCTATGAGTTTTTAAAAAATATTTCAAGCCAAAAAATGGAGATATAGAGCAAATTTTCTTCCTGCATCAGTGGTGCAAAGAGGTGTTGCCCCAAATGGATGATACCAGATTTAAGCAGATAGTGAGGGTTGATAAATACCAGTTTAATTTCGTATTAAACGAAATTCAAGACCATCCTGTCTTTCTACCAAGACAGCACCCAATTTCTGTCCAATTGTATGTGATGTTGTATAGACTGGGAAGTTCTGGAGAAGGTGGCAGCATGGTGAAAATTGCTAATTCATTTGGGCTTGGTGATTGTGGGACAGTAACCGTTATGACCAAGCGAGTGTCTTGATAGAGAAAGAGTTCACTTATATTTTTTGGCTAAGAAAGGAGGAAAGTCATATTTTAGTGAATGAAATATTTCAAGAATGGCCATATCGTGTTGAATATGTTGATGGGACAGAAATACAATTGGCTGAAAGACTAACAACTGACCCAGATCCTACTCTGGACTGCAGAAATCTGGTATTAAAGCCTAGATTGTTAGCGACTGGAGATTGAAGGTCCGCTACTTGGTGGTTGGCTATCCTTATAGTGTTCACGTTGAAAAATAGATGGGAACTGTCAATTTAGCAAAAATCCCAATAGTTTTTTCCTAACGAATGGAGTGGCTTGGTAGTGACAGTGCCTACAAACTTTCTTCCACAGTAATTATTTCATTAAAAAAAAGAGGGTCAATCAGTCCTATAAAGAAAAAGACTTTAATCAAGTGTTTTCAAAAAACCGAGTTAGGGTTGAGCATTGCATAGGACTGCTTAAAGAAAAGTCAAACAGCCTAAAAAAACAAAACATCAAAACCTCACTACAACCTTCTCCATACATTTACAAAATTAGCACCACTATATAGGACACCAGACTGCATTAAAATCAAGTGTGCTAGTGGACATATTTAATATACATATCTTAAATACAACACATTTAAGGTGTGTATACACATATATATTATCAAAACTACACAATAAAAAATCAAAAACACTTTTTATTTCGCATGTACCTAGTCCTTTCATAAATATTGTTACAAGAGAATTTATACAGATTTCAACAGAAAAAATAATTGTTTCAAAAACTTTATTATAAAAAAAATGTATATCTATAGAGAGTAAAAAAAAAAAAGAAATTACTCAAAATGTCTCCCTTTTGCCTTAATACAGGCATTTAATCTCTGTGACCAGCCATCAATAGCACTACGCAGCACTTCTTGGAGAAAGCGCTCAACTGCTCAGACCTGAGATTGTTTGAGGCTTTCCAAGTAAGGGTGTGCTCTGTAGCATGCCATCCTCTCCAGTTCGGACCAAAGCTGATAATTTAGTGGGTTGAGATCAGGGCTTCCTGAGGGGCAATCCGAGGCAGAGATGAACTCTGGAATGTTCTTTTGCAGCCACTACTGAGTTGACTAGGCCTTGTGAGTAGGAGTGGAATCCTGCAGGAAAACCCAATGATTTCCAGCAAACAGAGTATCATTTAGAGGCTTGAAAAGAAGTTCCAAAATATCGTCCTGATAGTTTTTAGCGGCTGTTTTAACTCCTTATCACAAAAATGGAGCTTTATGGTGCCATCAAAGCAAACTCCCTACCAAATCATCAATGAGGAAGAGTGATGACCTCTTTTCACTCTTCCAATGACTTCCTGGGCTTCTTTAGAGCTGTGTGGGTACACACAATCATTTTGGAGCTTTAATTTTTCTTCAATTATAAAAATTTTCTCAACGCTAAACAAAATCTTTCGATGAAGACCATTGGTGTAACGGCCAAGGAGCACTTTGCATCTATCCACTCTAATCTCTTTTAGGGAAGTGGTTAGCCTTTGTCCTGTCATTCTTCAAACTGTACCCATCCTAAGGTCACTTCCTATTAAGCAAGACATTGATCTGACAGATTCCCATTTCCGAGACATGATTTGTTGTTTTCGAATGGGTTTTCTTCTGAATCAAGCAGCCATTGCTCTCACTGCTTTGCTGTTCTCACAGTGCAGGGACGGCCTGGTCGAGGTCTGTCACATACAGGGTCTCATTATATCTATTTGTAGTGTGGTACACGAATAAACGGCTGGTACCCAAAGGTTTCAAAGTGTTGAAAATCTCTTACCTACATTTTCCAACTTTTTGTAAGGGGATCTCAGCTATTCGGTTTTCTTTATCAACTCACTCCATGTTAACTGAGCGAAAGAAAAATACAAACTAATTGGGATTATTATCCTGACATGTAAAGAAAATAACCTGATAGAGGTAAGGATTATCTAAATAATAAGTATTTATGGCAGAACGAGGTGAAATGTACATTTTATCTTAAGTGCACTATTTATATAAAAGGGTAGAAAAAAGACATTTAGACTAGTGTTTTTTTTTGTCTATGGTGAATTCAACCTTTAGATACTTTGGTCAACCTCATGGCCCATTGAAATTTTACTGTATTTTTTATTCTTTTTACTATATTTGCAAATGTGCTACAGATAATCTAGCTAACTTGTTGACTTTTTGTTTTTCATGATTTCATGATTCATGATTTAAACAAGAGATCTCTGGACCACTTTCTTTTTAATCTATTTTGACCGGGTAACAGAAATGAGGAAAGTGATAGAAGAAAAATTAATTTGGTCGTGAGCTGAAAATTGAAATGTTATTATTTGCTTTAAATGTAATATTTTACTGAATATTTTACTTTAAATTTTTATTTTATATATGGTATGATTTGAATTTAAATAAATCATGGTGTATCAACAATTTTCGGATTGTGTAGTTACATTTCATTCATGGTGGAGAGTTTGGCTGAATCTTGAAGTTCTATTCAGCATGTCCCAACGGGTCTTAGTTTAGTTGAGTAGATTAGTTGCTAGTTTCATAAGTCATTTGATCTGATGTCCAGAAGATGTTGATTGTATTGTTTTGTCTTTTTAATTGTGTATGTACATTTTAGTGTTGTTTGTCCAATATAGTTTGAGATATTGTACAGTTTTCATGAAGGCAATGGATTGTTGTCGATTATTCCATATAGAAAACTGATAAGCATTTTTCTCAATATAAAATATTTGTTAACTTAGGCTAGTTGTTTTGAAAACGAGAACTTACTAGCTCTATGAACATGAACCACATACACGGATACAAATTTTGTACATAGAGAGAACAGTATCAGTATGTTGTACACCATGTCCAAAACATGAACCTATTTAGTGCTTTGTAATGATATGGGCTGTCATAGCATCTTAAATTAATCAAAATAAATCTATAAAATCCTGTCAGTGGTTCGATTCCTCTTCAAAAGGTCTAAGAGATATTTTGTATATTTGAAAAAATGTAAATGCTAACAACTATTTTTACATATTAGGCAACAATCGATATTAAGGCTGTTTAAATGCAAGAGAAAACCTAAAAAGTGAATTACATGGTTATGAATTAACAAATTTGAGATAACACTGTTTATAACAAATATTTGTAGTTTTATTGGTCCACTTAAATTAAGGTTTTCTTTGTTGGTTTTTTAATTTAAACAAAATTATTTTTTCATAATCATCAAGTCAGTTTGGTATTCTGAATTATTTGTGGATACTAAAAGATTTAAATTATACATCATGAATTTTTGCCCCACCCTCCCTATTCACCAGACCTAACTCCAAGTGACTACCACTTATTCCGGTATCTGCAGAACTCCATGAATGGAAAGAAATTCCAAAAGGAAGAGGATATCAAAAACCACTTAAATCAGTTTTTTAACAATATACTTCAGACATTCTATGAACATGGCATTATGCAGTTAGTGGAAAGATGGGAAAAAATCATATTAGATAATGGTCAATATATTGTAGATTAAAATAGATTTGATGTCTATAATGCATTAATTTTATTTCACCCTGAAAAACCAAAAGGACTTATTTGCCAACTCAATAGATAGAAGTGCAGAGGGTAAGTAGGTGGCAACAGATCTGTAGTATAACATGTGTAGAGCCAACAGGAAAAAAAAAAAGTTGATCACATCAACATCACCTTCCGTATAATAATTGGCCAAGAAAAATCATTTCCCTATAGAATACTCCAAATCAAACCATACGTAGTAATGAAACAGTTACTTTATTTTCAATTCATAATATCATTCAAAGGCAAAAACAAAAAAATCTATAATAAAATAATCTGTTAAATCAACAGTTAGTCGAATTGTACACTTAGAATTGGTTGACAGTTATCAACTGAAATCTAATGAGTTGAATAAATATCATTTCAACTATTAGGATAATCTCAAAAAAATCACACAATACATAATGTAGAAATTATGTAAATTTGTCTAATTGTGCAAAGTCGTTCATATTACTCAATATAAATATGGAAACAATGAAAAGGAAAAACTAATTAAGTTATATCACAATTCCAATAAAATAATTATAAATATTTTCATAATTACACCCATTTTTAAATATGATCAGACTGTTTTAATAACAAGCACTGTATTAAGAAGATATTTGTTTATTATGCAGGTTTGACTTTTGTTCTTTTCACAGTGATACATTTGCCTATTGGTCAGAATAAATTAATCATATTAGTCTTTTATTGCAATTTATTGAACTTTTCAATGAAAACTTCATCCTACTCTTCAGGAATATATTATGCTCCCAAGAAATTCGTTCCCTTCAGCAATATATTATGCTCCCAAGAAATTCGTTAAGTCACAAAATTCAATAAGATTGATTCAATGGTTGAATTTTGTGACTTACCCAATTTCTTGGGAGAATACTATATTGCTGAGGAGAACGAAGTTTCCTTGAAACGTTCAATAAATTGCAATCCAAGACTAATTTGATTAATTTATTCTGACCAATAGGTAAATGTATCAGTTTAAGAAGATAATATGTGAATCTGAATAGTCAGATATTTGAAAAAATCAAAGAAATTAAAAACCATATTGAATGAATAGGAACAGGAAAAATTCAGCAAAACGTACTTACATTTAGGAAATTTTTACTATCTTTGAAATAAATAGATAAATGCTAAACTAGCTTACCTTTAACATGTAGAAAAGTTCATCCTTAGATATTCCTATTCGGTCTTTATCTGCAGAATCCACAACATAAATTATTGCATCGGTATTCGAAAAATAACACCGCCAGTAAGGTCTAAAAATTAAATAAAAAATATTGTCATATTGTTGTCGAGTAGTTGTAATAACATAAAATAATTATATAAGTTTTACCTTATACTCGTTTGACCACCAAGGTCCCAAACTTGGAACTTGAGATTTTTGTAAGTCACCTGTTCCACATTGAAACCAATTGTCGGAATAGTTGTAACAACCTCACCAACTTGTAAACGATACAAAATTGTGGTTTTACCTGCACCATCTAAACCTAAAATTAATATTCTCATTTCTCTGCTTCCTAAAAGATTTCTAAAGTAACTTAACAATCCACCTGGAAAACATCAAGAAAAACATTACATAAATGAATTGTATTCATAGTCCAAAAAACCATAGTAATAGCTTAAAAATGAGATCTTAAACAACATATTTGTAGTGCACTACAATTACTATCGTTATTATTGATTTAACAATATAAATTCCCTGAATTACATAAAATTTATAAGAGCAAATTCAAACAAACCATAACAGTTTCACCATAACCTTTACCTTAAAGTAAAATAGTATGTAGTATAATCGAAAACATCAAAATTATTAAGCATAAACATAAATGAATCATATATACGAACCCATGGCTTATGAGGTTAGTCTACGATATGTATAACATCAATTCAAAAGGCGAAACACTGACACCACTTTCCTACAAGATTATCAATGCACCACATGATTACCTGAGTAACGCACTTGGTTCAAAGATCTTGAAAACTTTCATTTTCAATTGTTCATACATTCAATACAGAATATAATTGCCTTATTGTTCTTTAGAAGAGAATATTTTTAATAATTCACTTCGATGAAAATTAGATTTGTACATTTAATTATGCTACAAATTTAATTTCATCTGACGTGGTTGAAGTGCTAGATAATGCTATATAGGCACCTTCGCTGATAAGAGAGCAATTTGACATTTCTGTTGTTTACATCTTTAACTGAATGTAATTTTGACAACTGTTTCTTGTCATGTTAAGTTGTCGATCTATAAATTTCCATGAAATATGAAATGGTTGGATAAACCTGGTAGTATTGATATTTACAACTTGAAAACATGTTTTTATCAATACTGATTTTAATGATTAGTGATTATGATCATTGTCAATAAATAGTTTGATAACAAACCTGTATTTCAATCAATGTCAGTGCATTGTCCGCCAATTATTTGATTTTTGCGTTTATGTATAATCTCAACTTACAATAGAAATTTATTTCTCTTACAGTAACAAGTATGTGATATTTAAAGCAACAGTAGTTTTAATTGTTATCATTTATTGCACATTATGTTAATAATCACTGCTAAATGAACACTTTTGAATTTATTAAAAGGAACGTATTTTCTGAAATTCTAGTAGAAATGGCTTAGTTTAAAGAATAAATAATTATCTATATTAATACAGTAAATCATAATAAAAACTTAATATTAATCCTCCTCAGCAACCCTTCAATTGAAATTTCGAATGAAAATTTAAAAAATTAAACAGTAAATACATAGTCCTCTGCTCCTTTAATCAATATAGATCAATATAATAGGTCTATAAATAAAAGAGCAGATCTTATATTCTGTTTAGTACTAAACTCATTCCTTGTTATTGTCAAATACTTTGTTTACTTAATAACTGCTTACAAATATTTTGAATATATATTTTTTAGAAATGGAATTTTATACAAATATTGAAGATGGAAAATTTCAGGATTTTGATGCATTTTCAAGACACTATATACTAATATATTTTGTCATAAAATGTTTGAAAATCATTATACCAGCACTTATTGTACTAGTTATCTTCAGACAAACCATTACTTGGTAAGGATGTACACCTTTAAAAATATTTTTAAATAGTCAATACCTTATGATTATGTTTTTCCCATTATAACAGAGATAGAAAATAATTATTATGTCTATTCAGCTTATTTTTTATAAACTATCATTTATTTATCTTTATAATCCACTAGTATTATTAAATATTTTATTCATGTTGATTTATTATTTGGAAATGATTAATTTAACATACCTCCTTTCTCTTCTCCTTTTTTTTTCCCCCTCAATATTCAGATCCATGCATAAGAAGTTGAAAAGAAATGCTGAAAAACATATAAAATCCTTTTTTAATGATTTTTCTATTTTAATATAAAATATTTTATATTTCCTGGAGTTATGTGTTAAGCATAATTTTATAAGTTTTTCTTTCTTTCAATTGAACATTTTAAATGTTCTATAATTACTACTCTTGCTTTTTAGTTTAATTTAAAAGCAGAAGGTATTGTTTCTCAATTATGTTAATGTATTTATAGTTTTTAAAACTATTTAACGATTTTATATATTTAAGCTTGTATTGAATTTATTCCCTAAATTAAAGGTTGCATTCCATCTTTGCTTAAATGTATTTTTGATGTGTGCTGACAATTCCGCAAGACTTTTCAGAATCATGCAAAACAAGATACATATATAATAGCTTGAAAGTAACAAAAATAATTTAAGATATAGTATAAAACACAAACTATCCTATGCATTCTCTATAATATCTATATTTATTCATTTTGTTTTCAATCAAACTTTTAAGGTTTTATCATGTTTTATTCAATCCTGATGGAAGTCCTGGAACATGGGCCAAAAAGGATGGTTGGCATTAAACTGATACTGGAACTGGTGAGGAGAACCAGTTTGCCAAGTGCGCTTTGTGTTCTTTTTTGCCAACCCCTGACGGCTACCTTGAGGTTGCCACCACGTAGTTACCAGAGTGGTGATATCAAGATTCATATCTTGGGACTGACAAGAAATGAAAATTAACTGACCCAGATAGGAATCGAACCCACAACATTCAGAACTACGCATTCTAGGACTCACACCCTAACGTGCTCGGCCATTATACTTACTGTTTTTTTAAACCATATTTTACAACCAATTTCTTAAATTATTACTACAGTCTCTGATGACTAGTTAGTCATCTGCAAACTGTTCATTTATTTTTTCTATTTCTGTACCGATTTCAGAATTGATTAACGATTTTACCTCTCCAAACTCATGAATACGTGAAAAGGCTTTCCTCCTTAACAGAATCTTGTTCTGTGTACAAGAACTTTTCTTAACCCATGAACAAGCGCACTATTGCATAGAATGCAACAGGTGGACAGAAATGGGTTTTTTTTACCATTTCAGGTACATTAGAGCCTTCACCTCACAGATGTTTCTCGAAAATATCCTCTGCAACCTGATCATTAAATTTGTTTTGGAAAATGTTTGCACATTCAGTTGTCACCTGAATTTTCAGTGGTAAATGTCTACTTATTGCATAGAATACATCGCCCAGTTGTGTATCTGGTGTTGTCATGATTTCAGTCTATTACTGCAATACAAAATGTAAGTACCATTTTATATTATTATTATTATTTTATATATTATTATCGGCATTCTTTATTCATATTCCTTTCTTTCATTGAAGAGCATCAAAACAGCATGAAGCTGTTCCGAGATGAAGACATTCCCAAAGTTCTTCAATAACTCTGATGAAGAAAAGGAGGCACAAGGTACAAACTAAACCGATTTGCCAGAAAGTGACAGTCATTTTAGTGAGAAATAAGTCAAAAATAATTATGGCTTGAGTGTAAGTGAATAGGAGTGAAGTGGTAATGATGAAGAAGTATTTATATTGGACCAGGACTGTTTTAAAGGTAAGGATAATGTCACTCAGTGGTCTAAAAACCTATTATCCAAAAGATCAAAAATAAAATTAAAAAATATAGTGAGGATCAAGCTAGGGCTAAAAAATATTTCAAACGACACAAATACACAGACTGATTTTTTTCTCATATTTATAAATATAAGTAACAAGTCACATGTGTGAGCAAAAAAAAAAAAAACATTGTCACAATAGCATGTGGAACATGCAATAAGTTTTCTTGTTAAGACCATATTAGAACAATAAATAATACAGAATGTGATAAAGAAATTGAAAGTGTAGAAAGCGAACAATCAAATGATTTGTTTGGACTATGTACGTATAAGTACACTATGTTTTTTATTGTAATTAACATTTTTGTATATATTTTATAATAAATTTAAAATGTTTGTATTTATTTCAATTTTTTTTTTCATTGACCCTACTCATTTAATATTTATTAAAAACAACAGTAATTCAAATATTAATAAAAAAATAAGCTTTTTTTAATTTTAAGATTCAATTTATTAATTTAAATGTAAGAAATATTTGTTAAACTTAAGATTGTCATTTCCATCATATTAATAAAAAAATTTATTGATATATATATATATATATATATATATATATATATATATCTTGAAAATTTTTAGTAACATTTTAATAACTCGTATTATTAGCAAAGTTATCTGTGATTGTATACCCATATTAAAAGCCAAACTCTTCTTTAGACCACTACGATATTGTGAAAGAATAATGTTACAGTTTTAAAGAAAAAGGCAAATTTAGGACCTGAATCCAAGGGGGTAGTAGGCCACTCCAATGAATAATAGATCTACTTCTGAATCTTATCAACCCTCATTCTTGATTTTTTTGTCACATTCTTCATTCAAGCATTGATCCTATCCCATTGTATTTTTATTACTCTTAGGCACTAGCGGATCCAGGATTTAATTTTGGGGGGGTGACTTCAGCCCGAAAGCTTTTTTTTTTCATAAAAATAATGATAATTGCTTTAGAAAAAAAGAAAGAAACTAACAACCTGTATGAAATGGTGTTTAAGTGATTCCTAAAGCCCTTTTAATATTAATCACACGAACAATAATACTTTAAGAGATACTTTTTTAATATTTTTTTTGATAAAACATGGTTATATTTTACCATTTTGGGGAGGGCTTCAGCCCGAAAGCCCCCCCCTGTAGATCCGCCCATGCTCTTAGGGATTTCAAGAGGACAGTTACACTGAATAATGGGGCCTTTTATGTCGGCCCAATCATCTACAGAGGACTATTATTTATTTAAAGCTTTAAAGTGGTCTTGAAAAACTGAAAATGCTAGATTAATGGCTTAAAGAGGAAGGAAAAGAAGATATATGCAGGCTTTAATTGGTTGTAAGCGGATGGCCGCTCCTCCTTCTTAACTTGTCGATGTTTTCTACTTCTATTCTCTTATTGAATATTGATTCCAGTATCAAGAATACAAAACAAAGAGATTTTCTTAAAGAAAAATACATCAATTTGTTTTTGTTTTTTGGTGAAGATAATACAGGTAGAGGTCAGAGAAAAATCTAATGTAGTAAAAAATGTTTGTTGGAAGCTGACATTTTGACCCATATTGCAGATGTTCTTCAGGGCTATAAAGATAAAGATACAAAGAAAGTGGAATTGTTCAGAAGTGAAGGATATACAAAAATTATATTGTGTATTATAACTGATATAAATATGAACAGAGATAATGACAGAAGTAAAAAAAAAAATTACATATGACATAGTAATGAATTGTTAACTCGTAAAAAAGTGGTCTGAAAAAACAATAACTAATAATAAAGTAATAAATGATAAATAATAAAAGTAATAACATAACCAGTAAAACAAGCTAAATCAAAATAAAATGATGAATTTATTAATGTAATCAATTTTTTAATTTAAATAAAATCTTTTTTTGACACAAAATGAAACTAATTTTAACATATTTAGTTTACAAAACATTTATTTCAAGCAATATTTTATGTTTAATTTTTAAAGATCCTTTTAATTAAAATTATCTTTTGAAAAACAAGGTATAATTGTGAATGAAATTTACTTTTTAATTTGTTATTAAAGATAAATCATTTATTTGTGTGTGACTTTTCTTAGTCAGCTTAGTTTATGAGATAAGTAGGAATTGCATAAACAAAAAAAACTGCAAGTATAGTTTTTTGAAATCCCAATTTCCTTCCACCCAAATTTGTTTCCCAATTATTTTGTCACTCAACATAAACGACTACTTTTGAACAGGTAATATCTATACTAAAGAGAAAATCACTGGAAGTGGCCATTCCTCCCAATTGGGATTCAAGGTCACCATGTATGCTGCCGTGTTTTTACTTGCAATCCTCTCATGATAGCTTATCTGTGCAGTTCTATTTCTAATAAATTTTTATTTATGAGAACCAATTAAGCATTCAGTTTCTTTTTGCCTTGTAAAGAAGGAATGTAAAAATTTAAAATGTTACTCAAATCATTATTCTGTATTAATTTCCAAAATTGTTTAAAGTAACCAGACTGTTGCTACTGATAAACTTTATCAGTTGGTCAGTTTTCATGATTCTTGTGTTTTCATGATTCTTAATCTTAACTGAGTTCTCTATTGAATATGGATCATGCTACAACTTTTTCCAGGTATTTTCCTAATAATGTGATTAGCGAACTATTAAACTTATTTAAATTTTTTATTTTGAAATTTCTCCAGTCAAATATTATTTTATTTATTTATTTTGTAATTTCCTAAGGTGGTGCCTTGACAAAGCAGATCTGTCTAAATTTAACATGCAAACTTATTTTATATAATTTTAAAACATAATATTTACTTTAAAAAAAATTATTTTTCTTTTAAAAAAAGACTAGAGAAACAAAAACTAACTATTTCACAATATACTGAGAAAGAGATTGTGTGAAAAAAAAATAACTCATTTTATTTATAGTTTTCTGTTAGGTATCATAGATAATTATTTATTGTTTTTTACTATTACTACAAAAAGCTTGTTTTATTAGTAATGACATTATTTATGGCATAGTCTTGATTGGTATCAATTTATTACAATTACTGTTTTCTTAAATGTTAAGTAAATCAAAAAATATTATCGAATATCTTTTTTTCTTCTTTTTTAATTTTTGTAATTATGTATTAAAAATTATTTTTAAAATCAAATTTTATTTAATGTCTGTGTAATTAATGGAAACATTAATTTCACAGAAATATATTTGTAATTGATATCTTTTGTGATTGAACATAATTGCCATGAAGGCAAACATGGTCCATGTTAACTTTTGACAATTTATTCAATTATTAATATTTAATATATCAATTTAATATAATTAATATTACTATGTTTCATGTATCAAATATTATGAATATTTTAAATATTAGATTATTTTATTTTGTGTCATTTATACATTTTAGAGTAATAAACGATACAAATTTATTATTATATATACTGTAATATTAAAATTATTATGAATTATACAATTAATAATAATTTTAATTAGGAGATCACATCTCGTGGCCAAAGATCTTCATAGTCTATAACACCAACTAAAAAAAAAATAATAATATTACAGTTTTAATATATTATGATTTTGACTTTAATTTGTTTTATTTTTCTTAGTATTCCAAATTAAATGACAGAATGTGAAAAATATATAATTAGTTATGTTTTTATTTTAATGGAAAATATAATGATTTTTACTTTAAATATTTTTAATAATAATTAAGCATAAAAATAATAAAGTCCTATGATTCAAAATCAATTACAATTTTTATCCTGTTGTCATCAGAACATAATGTTATTATTATCTCACTGATCCTATCTTGATGTAATTTAATAACATTCATAAATCTATTCTTAGCTTTCATCCAATTCTTCGAACAAGCAGTTTTATTAATTCTGTTAATTAACACATTCTTATATTATTATAATTTTTTTTTTTTAGGCAGTTACAGCAATTTTGGGGTGCTTCGGGTGATTTTTGGCAATCAAGGTGGGACATAATTTTAGACACATTAGGAGAAGATCCTTCCTTATACTGGGTATATGGTAAGGAAATTGGTACTTACTTAATAAATTATCAGCTCAATAATCTTTGTAATACTAGGTGGACTCCATTTCGGACCCAACTCCTACCTAAAGATCCTTAGTAATGTCATATATTAATTAAATATCATTTAAAGAATACATATAAAAAAATTTAAATAATGTCATAAAAAAATAGGATATCTAGTATACCCACAAAAAAATTATATATTGTAACTGTTCTTCTTTTCCCTAATATATTCAAAGTATAAGCAATATTAGGGAAACGTTTTAATTCATATAAACGATGTATTATTACCTAGAAAATCTATTCACCACATAGTGAAGCTATATATTTTATAATGACCATCTTGGAATAAGTTTACTGAATATATAAAATTTATTTAATAAGTAATTGGCTTTTCCAACTAAAAAACAGTTCTTAAATTTAACAGTTAATCAATAAGACTCAGCTATACTTAAAGTTGGTGTTATACTCGCTGGGATCTTAAATTGGTACAGAAGAGCAGGATCCTTAGTTTGCAATCCTCTCACTTATTATGAATGGAATATAGAAAACACACCTAGTTATGAACTTTATTACTGTTATGGCAATATTTAAAACCAAAAAAGTTAAAGTATGTCCTCAAAATATTTTTATTTTTACGGAAAAGTTTGGAAATGCCAGTTATAACCAGTAATTATTGGTGCGGAACATAATACTCCCATTTAATTCCAACAGAATAGTGTTGACTTATGAATCTTCTGTATTCTTATCAATGAATTGGATTTACCAAAAATTGTTGCAAAACATCAATACTTTTACCATATTAATGCAATGAAAAAAGTTTTTCATTTCTTATCTCTTTTTACTTGCAATTACTTGTATATGTAATATATAATAAGGGAAAGTTTTGTGATCATGAAAATTTTCGGATCTGAGTTTTCAAGGGAAATACATGTTTTAAGGTCTCCTGAGTCCAAATAACCAAATCCTACAAAATGATCTGTGTGTACATGCGTGCGTGTGAACAGTCTAGCTCAAAAATGAAAAGTCATGCATAACGGGAATTGTGTATTTAAGGTTTGTACATGCCTGGGATGTTACAGCAACTTATTCGTCAAAATCGGCTGACCGGAATTGTCTCTTTATGTCGTCGATTTTACACATTTTTACAATTTCATCGAAAATAGTTTTAACAATTTTGATTAAATTCATTATATCAGTGTAAAATTAACCGGTTTTTAATGTAATGTAGGTCTTATTCTCATTGATGTTCTGTAATAGGGTTTAAATGCCTAATTTTAAAAATGTTTCCCTCTAAAGTACCTTTAATTTTTTTTATTTGACATAAAAATACCTTATTTGACATACCACTTCGATCGATAACTAAAATAAAAATCATAGGAGTAATAATTTGTTTAAAATAGACTAATATAATTAAAAATGACAAAAATATATAAAGTTGTTTATTAAAATTCATTTTTAAAAATATCACAAAGAAGATGGCAACTTATTGGACAGGTTGTTTGATGCCAACTGATTATCTCCTTTGTAAAATTTTCAAAAAGAAAAGAAGCAATAAGCTGTTCTTTAGTTACTTTGGATTATCAATTGACTGAGATATAAGAAAATTAACTATCGTTTAAGTTAACTGATTAAAATGGCCTTGAGACATGTATTAAAAAAATGCCTTATATACTAACAACTTTCATTTCCCTCCACTAAGCATCATTTTTTATTTAAGTGGATGTGTTGCAGTGTTACTTAAGGTTTTACTGGTTTAAATTAATTTCCAATAACTTATAACTGCTCTTTTATTATTTAGGACAATAAACATTAAGTTACCGAGGATAATATCTCAGATCACAGAGCATATTCATCACACCTTTGAACTAGTTAAAGGATAGATATGGATTGTTTGTCATGAAGTGTCTAGTTTGTTTTTAAAATTAAACAACACAAGTATGATGACTAATTAATTAATTAAATAGTTATTTACATCCTTCATAAAAAGCTTCCAAACATGATAATACAAAGCTGGCTCTACGCAGCTAAACCTCATTCTCCAATTGCTCACTTACGGTTTAGAAAAATGTACTGGCCAAAAAATGGGAGATAAAAAAAATGCTCAAATTCTAGGTTGAGAAATTCTAGGTTTTATTCTATTTATTTACTTTTTAAGAGAGAGAGAATTTAACATAAAATAATGGGTTAAAAAATAAAGTTTGTTTAGTTTTCCTTTTTCATTTAATTTTATATTAGTTGATAGTTTGTAAATTGCTTACTTAATAATGTGAAAAAGCCTTCATATTAGCTTGATATGTTTTAGACAAACTCTCGCCAGTGTTGACCTGTAGAGATTGATAACATTGAATATTAAATAAAGTTGATTCAATCTATGTCACTGCTGAAACTATGGCACTTCTAGACTAGAGAATATTGTAGCGGGCAACACATTAATACCCTCGGCCATCATCGTTTCAATCTCATCTGGCAGTGATCATCTCTGCTATCTTCCATCCATTGTAACTCAGGGTCCTCTGGTTCATTTCATGCCTTGTTTACTTTCTGCTTCTCCAGTTTGCCCCTGTAATTTAACATTGTTAAGTTGCAATGCATTGCTATACTGTTACTAATACATTTTATTACATGTTACATTACAAAATGTGATATATTTTATTCAAAAAGGAGATGGTCAGTATTAACACAAAAAATTGTGAAAAATATTTAATGAGTTTCTAATTCATGCTATATTATTTTACGATCTTCTTGAATAAAATATTTTCCCCTTGATTTGTTTATATGATTAAATATTCTATGTTTTTGTTTGTATAGGAACTCTCCTGGAGACATTTCTTGTATATTGGTTATTTGGAGCAATCTATACTATACTAGATTTAATGGACAAACCTGCTGCACTGAAAAGGTACAAGATTCAACCAGGCACGAATGAACCTGTTGATAAGGACAGATTAATAAAGGTAATTTATCAACAATGCTACTTTCAATTTTTAAAAATTAAAATTATCACACAAACTTCAAACTTTCTAATCAAAAATATTACGACTTATAAATAAAGCACCTTGGTAAGTGACAAATAAAACCTTACGTACCGACTTCTTCCTGCCCACAGTTGACCAACACATAAGAACTCTTTACAAACGATTTAACAGTAATTTACACGGACATACGAACATACTAATCAGAGATATGGCTTCAGCTGACATGTCCATCAATAAGAGGAGGAGACTAAAAAGGAGCTGGATGAGAGACCTCCTCATTTAACAAACCATGGTAATTGATTCAGGCCATGGAAGAGAAACTGCCTGGTGCTATCCTTCTCCATGCCTGTCATGTTCAATAAGTCTGTTTTGTTACTTTAATCAGACCATCTGCTGATTGTTAATAGTTGTCTACAGGTGCAGAAAAAAAAATCAAATTATTGATTCATTATAAAGCAGTTATATTATTTCATCACTGTTTTCCTTTGCTTAACAAAACCAGTTTAAAGCTTGGTCTGACAGACTACATTTTCCATGATCTGAAAATTAGTGGGCCCTATCAGGATGGATGTGCTTTGGTCAGCACTTTCAGGGTTTACCAAACCCTAAAATGAATATCTGACAGTTAAGAGGATTGAGCACAGTGCTGATTAATTTGTCTCTCTAGAAGAAAGTCTAGTTTTAAATCAGGCATCTATAGAAGTTCCTACCCACAGGTTTTATTGGCAGTTTAAGAACCAATTTATTTAGTATATCATAAATTTGCTTACTTTCTGAAATTTTCAAAATCTGAGATGTGATAACAAATTAAAGCATTTACTATGTTTCATTTTTCAATTTTTACCGTCACTTACCTGTGTATGTAATATATAGTAAGGGGAAGTACTACAAATGTGAAAATTTTGGAATCTGAGTTTTCAACAGAAATACACATTTTGAGGTCCCCTGAGTTGAAATAACAAAGTCCTGCAAAATGTTCTGTGTGTATGTTATCAGTCTAGCTCAAAAATGAAAAGTCATACGAAACTTAAATTACATATTTAAGTCAGGTATATACATTTACTGTCTCGGTGCAGCAACTGGAAATCGGCTATCTAGTGGCACTTTATATCGACGATGTTACACATTCTAACGATTTTGATTAAACTCCGTAGGTCAGTATATTATTAAGTGATTTTTAAGATCAGCTAGTTCTTCTCTACATTGATGTCACCTTGCAGGACTCAAATGCCTAAAGTTCAATTGTGTCTTCCTCTAAAATACCTTTAATTTGGTTTATTTTAAAAAATGAACTATCTCTTATCATCATAAACAAAAAAAAAAATGGCCGAATATAAAGTATGGAAGAATTTGTTTATTGGCTAAAGGAAAAAAAAAGAAAAACATGTTTTTAGGTTGAAAATGAATTTCGGGAAATAACAGACTGAATGTATACCTACAATATAGCGTTGGAAAGCTGAGGATTTTAGGAAAAACAATATCTAACATAGAAAGTTGTAGAAAGTAATGGAGAGTGACAAAATATTATAAATAATAATTTCTGAAAACTAATACTATTTAACGGAAACCATGTGTTTCTAACAAAATGAAATGAAATTTCTTAACTAAATATAAGCATTTAAAATTGTGGGTTGATGGTTGAATTTTATGAATAATGAAGAGAAGGATGGTTGGGGTGATCAGTCAGAAACATAAAGGCAAAAATAAATTATAATATTTATTTTAACATTTGCCGACGTTTTGATCTGAAGTTCGGGGCTACAACTGCAGCTGCAGGCTATATTAATGAAGGCCTGAACTTCAGGTTGAAACATCGGCAAATGTTAAAATGAATATTATTATTTATTTTTGCCTTTTTATTTCTGGCTGATCATTCCAACCATCCTTCTCTTCAGTAAACATTGAAAATTATTTCAAGTTTGAAAAAAAAAGGGTATAAAATCAACCAAATCTAGGCAGACTGTTAAAAAAACTATTTCATTGCACTTGTGTGAAAGAAGAAGTGAAATATAAAGATATTTCATGGAAGGGTAAAACATATGTTTATAATCTTAAATACATTTAAGATTATACTGTACTTTATTAACTCTAGATCCAATATTATATTTAAATAATTAGGTATACATTGTCGATTTCTTAAAAACAAATTCCATCTGTGAAATCACATTATACTCTTACAATCAGTATTAAGACTTTTGACTTACCGATGCTGTATTTGAAAGCAAGTGACTGTATTTTGGTAAATTTTCAAAGGGCAAAAAATAAGAATTAATATACATGTAAAAAGTGATATATATTTAATTCCTATAATTTTTACTGTGCAGTATGGCCTTACTTATTCAGAATTAAATGCATGTACGTTCAAATCTCTCTTTGTCTCTAGAGCTCAGGGACTGCAGTTATGTGATTCAAATAGACTGATGCAATTATAAGGCTTTTATTGCCTACAATGTATATAATAAAAAGGGTTTATATTATTTTGATGGTCTTTATGAACTTTTGTATTGATGAATATGACCGAAATTAAAAAATATATTGTTCAAGATTTAGCTCCATTAAAAATCCGCTTCAAAAAATTATTGTAATAGCCCAATTTTTCCAGGCAAGAATTGCTTTTCGAAGTAGAGCAGTTAGTGAAAGTTGTGTATTGTGTGCACCAGATTTTTAGTTTTATAATTGGATGGAATGTAATTGAATAAAGATAAAATATGGAAAGGATGAAAATGCACTTTCAGCCATTTTAAAGATATATAAATGGAAAAATATTACAAGAATGTATTCTAGAACTTGACAAAAAAATCCTCAAAATGTTGAAATTGTTATGTATGTGCTTGTGTCTGTACATTCCCTTACGCTGAAATGCACAAAAGGAAGAAGGAAAAAGAAGAAGTGCAAGGAGAACAAAGTATGTAATCAAAACACTGTCTGAAGGGATTGCTATCTCCCATAAACAATTTAAGAATACAAAATAATAAACTATCAAACTTTATCTTCCATGGCATTAGTTAATAATTTGATTAAATAACATGAAATTTAGAAAAGAAAAAGTTTTATTTTTCAAAATATCAATTATTCTCTTTATCTAGACAGGGCCTTTCTGACTTTTCTAATCTCTATCAGACCTGAGAAATCCTATTAAAATTTTGAAACTTACTGTACCATTTAATTAGCTGTTAAGGTTTAAGAAAATAACAACATTTTCATTCCAGAATATGTAGGATAAAAGTAGCAGTTAAAGAAACATGTGTCCGGAGATTTTGTTTCATTTGTTGTCCTCCTCAGATTTTTAAAAAAAAATTCTGTTTCTACTTTCTCTCACTTAATTATTTTTCCATCAAATGCTAAAAGTAACAGACCATAAATTATGTATATTCTTATAAAAAATATAAGTCAAGTCTTTCTCCACAATCTACAAAGGTAAATGTGAATGAGATGCATATTTTTATTGTTTGTCCTTTGTATGAATGACTGGGCAATACATTTGAAAATTTAATTTTAATTTCATTAATCTATTTATAACATGGTGAATTCTTAAGTTGGTTGTATATATCATTTGTTGAAAAATACGAAAGTGATCCTTGAAAATATATAAAAATATGAAATCCGTCATTCATTCACCCACTTTTCATTCCAAGGTTGAATTCCAATGTTATGGTTACTTATATTTCAACACATTATCAATAATTTTATTATTTATTTTCACCCAATTTACTCAAAATGGGTAGATTTTCTTTTGACTTTAATGTTTTCAGCATAGGATGAATAGTTTCTATTTACTTTTCTTCACTAAATGTTATTTTATTTTTATATTCACATTTAAATCAATGTAAGTGGCCAGTCTAAGGTGTGATATTACTAATACCTAATATCATTCAAAGTAACTTACGATGTATCTAGTTATGTTTTTAGTTTAAGGCTTTTAAACTCACTTCGATAATCCTGAAAAATTAAAATCCTGAAATGATTATAGACACATTGAAATGATAAACACAACAAAAGCTGCTCAAGAAAATTCAAAAATGCATAAGAGGTACATTAATGCTCATGAAATATTTTAACTCTAGAATCTATTTTCAGGAATTTTAATGATTGAAAAAAATGCGGGTAACTTTTTCTGTTTATCAATTTTGTTTCTAGGTTATATGCTATGTTTTATTCAACCAAGTCATTATTGGTTTTCCGTTTGCAACTTTTTGCTATACGATTATGAAATGGCGTGGACCTCCACCACTTCGCACTCTTCCAACATTTCATTGGGTGCTAGTAGAGATGGCTATATTTTTAATTGTTGAAGAGATAACTTTCTATTATTCCCACAGGTATTATATTATAATCCAAACTAAAATATTTATTGATAAGATATTATTTTAATTAATAATTTTTCTTAAAATTCTATATATAATGTAATTAGTATATTCATTGTTATATTATATATGAAGAAATAATTCATATCTGACTTTGAGATACATAACAATATGGTAATGACCTAATTTAATCTTTTACTATCACTAAAAGACAAGTGTAGTGTCTCTTAGCTTTCACAATCTCTTTGTCACAGACATAATGATCCGAAGCATGTGGTATTGTCATCCCTGCCTGTCTCAGATGTATAAAGACTTTATGCTGTCTGGGTCTTCCCCTGAGGCTAGTTGTGTTATTTTATGTTGTTTTTTCTTCCCCCCTCCTCCCTCCCGCTCTCCCGGATTAATCCATTTTAGCCTCTACAGCCTTGAGGAAATTGGAGAGACACAAATCCTGATTATACTCACACGTTTTTGATACAGAGGCCAAATTGTATTGTCCTTAATTGGCACATGGAGATATCTTAGTACCCTTTTCTCAAAGTGATCAATATTTTGTACCAGTTACTTTTAGAGTGTCTTTGCATGTGTAAATTGCTATTGGTCATATAAAAAAAAAAACTTTTTATTTTTTAGTTTGGCTTAGTAATCTGCTTCAAAGTTTTGTTTGGAGAAAATTATTAACAGACCATATTAACTATGCCTAATCTATGATCTTATTAAGATCTAGCATTAGCTCCCTTTTTTTCATTATTAGCTTCATTTTCTTTTTTTTTTTTTTAGTGCAGAACCTAGGTACTAGGCTTGAAACAATCTCAAGAACATAGTTTCTCTATTTAACTTGTATCAAGGTCAATTCATTTTTTATAGTGGGCAGTATCTTTGTTTTATTTAATTCCACTTCATGACCCATCATTTCAGCCTTCTGCACAAGCTTGCTGAAGTCTTCCTCTGGTTTGGTATCTTCCAATAATTTCATATAAATCATATGCTGCCCCAAAATGCATAGAGTGAGGCTGAATTCATACTTTCATTCTTTTCTCTCAGTTGTTTGAGGATGAAAATTGCGCTTCATATATTAATATACTGTCTATTCTCGATTTGCGAAATCCATTATTATGTTGTTGGCAGGTCTTTTTATGAAAATACTGTCCGATTTTAGAATACGTAATTGTGTATCACGGTTTTGTAACTAAAAGGATTTGGTCGATATAAGAGTCCACTATTATGTTTTCAGGGGCTCTTTTTATGAAAATACTGTCAGATTTCAGAATGTGCATCACATTTTTGTAACTTTTCGGATTTGATTGATATTAGGGTCCATTATTATGTTGTTGGAAACTCTTTGTATGAAAATACTGTCTCATTTCAGAATGAGCATATGCACATCGCGTTTTTGTAACTTTTAGGATTTGATCGATATGAGTGTTTATATATATATATATATATATATATATAATTATATATATATACCGTGATACACAATTACGTATTCTAAAATCGGACAGTATTTTCATAAAAAGACCTGCCAACAACATAATAATGGATTTCGCAAATCGAGAATAGACAGTATATTAATATATGAAGCGCAATTTTCATACACTGTCACTGAATTCAGTGAGTTCAGTCACTGAATAGAAATGAGATGGATGACATGTGGGTGACTCAGAAACATGACGCTTGCAATTCGCATAAGTGAAATTGACAGACTTCAAAATGGCTCGACGAGCCGAAACGTCGTCATTTTGATGAGTAGTCATTAAGTGACAACAAATTTTTTTAAATTGGTGTAAATATGGCTAATAATAAATTAACTTGAAAAAATATATATATATATATATATATATATATATATATAAGACTTCCCAACAACATAATAATGGATTGCGCAAACCGAGAATAGATAGTATATTAATATATGAAGCGCAATTTTCATCCTCAAACAACTGAGAGAAAAGAATGAAAGTATGAATTCAGCCTCACTCTATGCATTTTGGGGCAGCATATGATTTATACATATGATTTATATATCTGATATATATATATATATATATATATATATATATATATATGTGCGTGTGTGTGTGTATATTAGGGTATATATTGATATAGGGTAGGCACATTCTGGAATCGGACCCGATTTTCATAAAAAAGAACCCCCGACAACATAATTATGAACTCTGATATCGGTCCTGTCCGAGCAGTTTCAAAAAAGTGATGCGCAAATGCGTATTCTGAAATTTGACAATATTTTCATAAAAACAGTCTCTAACAACATAAAGAATCAAATTTTAAATTAATCTATAATGGTCAATTTTTTAATATATTTCTTTTTTAAAAAAAAGCTTCCTTAATAACTTAACGGACTCTTATTTTGAAAAAAAAAAATTATTTTAAAAATACAATTTTTTTTTTTATAAATTATTTACACTAAAATAAGTGATTATTCAGTGAATTTTTTTCACCAAATAAATTTTTATTCAGTCGATAATTACTTAGAATAAATATTTATTCAAACTATGTTTATTTAATAATTTGTTTTTTTCCAATAAAAATACTGAATAATTCTCGGAATAAATCATAACAGCTGTTTATTCCAGGAATCGTCAAACACTAAAAATTTATTGAATGAAAAATTATTTAATAAATTATTCGAATAAATTATTGCAATAAAAATTCTTTCAATAACGCCCAACTGTGGTGTAAACTTCTATTTTGCATTAATAGAAGCTTACAGGAGTTCAACACAGATGTTATTCAATGAACAGCTATATAATTAGTGGTAATTATAGAGCCAATAGGAGAGCTCCTGTAATCTTCTACTCTCTTAATACTGAAAAAAAAATATGGTAGTCAATAAAAACTATTTCATATAACAGAGAGATGTTTTCACTGTTTTTCAACTTGGTTTTGTTATTTTATAAATTAATTGTGTTTCCATCCCCACATATATTATTACAGTAAGGCTCGAAATCGGTTTTGTACCAAATATAAGTTCCTGTCATGCTCAAATACCATGAATGGCGTACCGTTGAATTCAGAATTTCACGGGGGTTTAGCAAATCGTATTCTTCGCTTTAGTTTTTCTTACTAAAATAAATAAGGTCAATACAAACATTTTGCTAGGCTTCAATAAGGGAACAGTGACAAGTCTGTAGATCGATATGGGACAAATTGGGCTTTGAAGATTTTGATGCTTACAGCAAGACCCAGATAGTTCCGAAGGATAGTCCTGCGTTTTTAAGCCCAAAAACGTACTTTTTTCAAGATAACACAAGGTATAGGGTTCGCATCCACACAACCTTACGTTAATTGTAATGCTGTCATTGAATACATGTCCCATTTTGTCGACTTGAGGCCTCTTTGATCGAGAAAGGAGGAATTTTATAGAATATTTATCGATGGTGTTTTTGATCGGCAAGCAATATCATCATTAATTCTTCACCAAATCCCAAGATTGAGCCACCAATTTTGAAGGCTTCTCCTTCAGGCACTAGCGGATCCAGAATTTAATTTTGGGGAGGGCTATCAGCCCGGAAGATTTTTTTTAATATATATACAACAATAATTAATTTGAAAAAAAAATAAATTAACTATCTAAATGAAATGGTGTATAAATGATTCTTGAAGTCCTATTAAATGTAATTACATGAACAATAATACTTTAAGAGATAGTTTTTAATATTTTTTCTATAAAACATGGTCATATTTTACCGTTTTGAGAGGGGGAGGGAGGGCTTCAGCCCGAAAGCCCCTCTCCCCTCCTCCCCTTTCCCCGTAGATCCGCCTGTGCCTTCAAGCGGGCAAAATAGTCCAATCACCCCGAAAATTCAGGCAAACAAGTTATAAAAGAAAAGAAACTTTATTTGCGAATAACTAAAAAATTACACCTTTCCCTTGCTTATATCCATGATTATATACAAGAAATCGGACAATTTTTAGCAAAGATACAACTTATTGAAATTTGTAAACATGTTGGTTCCAAACATTAATGAAGTTTTAAATTAATTTTTGTTGCCTTTGTCGATTATATTTATCGATAAAGTAACAATTCATTTCTTTATCTTATGATACGTTGCAATCTTTTCTTTTCTTATTAATTTGACATTTGATCACTTAACAATCAATGCTGTGCGAATTTTTTGCACAGGCCTACTAGTACTAATTGATTTTCATTCACATGAAATTGGCTATTAAGATGATTAAAATTTGTATACATAGTAATAAAGTATCATTGAGAAGAGACAAGTTATATAAACAAACCAGACTATCATTCTTTTTATTTTTAGACTCCTGCATAGCCGATACCTGTATAAGCACATTCATAAAATACATCATGAGTGGACCGCTCCTGTAGCTGTGACTGCCATATATTGTCACCCTTTGGAGCATGTAGTGTCCAACTTAGTGCCACCATTCCTTGGGGTCCTCATCGCTGGTAGCCATGTTGCAACTGCTTATCTCTGGTTCTCTCTTGCTATATTAAACACCCTGAATGCACATTCTGGTTATCATTGGCCATTCTTTCCGAGTCCAGAAGCACATGATTTTCATCATTTAAAGTAAGTATTCTTAAAAATTAAACATCTGTGTATATATATATATATATATATATATATATATATATATATATATATAATATATATATATATATATATATATATATATATATATATATATATATATATATGTATATATTTTTTTTTTTTTTTAAATAGAAATATTAAGTTAATATTGTATGGGAGTATAATCAGAAGTAACGCATGGTAAAGTAATATTTTACTGTTTTATTTATGTCAAAGATACAACATTCTTTGTAGAGCTTTTTATGGTTAAAAAAATAAGAAACTAGAATAATTAAAAAAAGACAGACTGTAGTGGATCTATCTGGGAGATTATGATAGTAAATAAAAATAATATTTAAATCAAAGTTATTTATAGAAATCTGAATAAAGCAAAATAATAAACAATTAATATATGTAATATTACTAGGAAAAGAAGAAAGCAGTGGATGGATTAAAGTGTAATATTGAAATAGTATTAAATTTCAATCTGTAACTATGACTGTGTTTGATATTCAGGCACTCTTGAGTCAGATATAGCAATGGTTAACTTTTAGTATGCTGTGAACCTATGCAAAAATCTCAACTTAGGCCATAGCATTGTTACTTGGCTATCCTAAAAAAATTAAACTTAATAAAGCATTTCTTTTTTTTTAAATTTGTAATAGGAGAGAGAATCACTTTATTTTCATAAAAGGGCGCCGTCCAATTATATTGGGTTGCTAAAACACAGCATACTTATTAATCTTATAGACAATTTTTTAAAAATAATATAAAAATATACAGTATTTACAATATATATGAGCATAGTATACATAATAGAAAAAAAATAGTTTAGATATATGATGCATGTAGATATATGGCTGATAACTTCAATCAAGGAGATGTTACACTCAGTGTATAGATGAAAAAAAGAGTGATTAAAATCCGACAAACTAGTGAAAAAAGATACATTTATTCTCATAATATAACTAAAATTGTATTCATAACTTGTTTTTTTTTAATCTATTCTATTTCACCTATTTAAAACTTTTTTCTATATCCAGCATTATTAATGAATTAAATATTAAATGTTACCTTCCTTAGGTTTAATCAGTGTTTTGGAGTCCTTGGTGTACTTGATCGTATCCATGGTACAGATTGTCTCTTCCGGTCGACAAGGAACTACGATAGGCATACAACTTTGCTCACATTTACACCGGCAAGGCAGTTGTATCCAGACAAAAATGACTAAGTGGCATGTTTTTTTGGAATTATTTTTTTTAATAAAAAATTTTAAGTACATTAATCAGAACTAAACCAATGGTCACATTTTTCTTCTGCACTATGGAAATATTGGATAGTTTATGTGAAGAATGTTAAAAAGTTTGAGTGGAACCCAATAACATTGTTTGCGGTTCCCATTAAGAGAACAGCTAACCTTGAAAAGGTCAAGCTCATTTATACATGTATTGTAAAACATTTGAAAATAATTGTTTTAACAAATGAATCCAAAATTGCCTCTAATTCGATAAAAAGTCATGGTTGTTTAACATAAAACATGAATTTTCCTATTACTTGGTTACTCAAGTTATATGAAAATTGATTAAAATGAAAGATTTACTTGTGAATGATTAGCAGTTTTTTGTTTGTTTTTTTATTTCAACTTATATTTTGATCAAAAAATAGGTAATATTAAGGGAATGATAAGCAGAAAGTGGATTTTCATGGATAACACAAATTGCCTCATATAATATTGGTACTTTCGTTTGCATTTTAACTATGATAATGTTATACTCTTTTTATTGAGTGTTTTCATTGTAAATATACTTTGACTAACAAATATAAACTGTAAACCATCTAACTTGGTAATTGTTGTACTCTAGTTTATATTTAATATGTTGTAATTGAAATTCTAAGTGCCTTTTGTATGACAATTAAATCTTGATTTAGAGATGAAACATGAATACTATTCAATGATTGATATATACATAGGATGATTTTGTAATTAGTGAATTATATTCATATTTTTATATGTTTATAAAATTGTAAATAATAAAATTTAAGAGAGATTTTATTTAAGAAGCTACATATCAAAATGTATTTTGTCCATTTTCATTTTCATTCACTGTCAATTTATTCTTCTTCAGATGTTAATTATTGTCTAATTTATGTTATCTGAAATATAGGATGTCATATCCTTATACCTTTCTTTTTATTGGTACAATAAAATCCTATAGTCCATTCATGAAACTGAGGTTCTATTATTTTATTTTTTGGACTATAGCATCGATTCTACATTTTCAATTATAGAAAAAAAAAAAGAATAAAGTAGCAACACATTAACTAAATTATTAATTAAATGTATGTTTTAATTAATAAGATACTAATTTCAATCAATTGTTTTGCAAAAGTTTGATATTTCCATCAAATTTTAAATTTTGTGATTATTTACTTTGAATGTAAAATTTTTAATTTCTTACTCTCTAAAGATATTGTTTATATCCTGGGAACATGTAGGGTAAGAATAAAAACCTATTATTGAGTTTTACCAATTATTGACACTTCTAACTTAAATTTGATAAAAAACCTTTTAGGTTCATATAAGATTTCAAACTTGATACCATTTCAAAGGCTGATTAATGTGCCTTTGAAAGAGCACTAAGTTTGAAATCCTACATGAACTTAACGCTTATTTTATCAAATATAAGTTACTAACATAAATAGTTGATAATACGTCAATAATAAATTCCTTTACCTTATTCTAATCTGTCTGACAGTTGGCAACCAATCATCATTAAATTTAACTCTTTATTTTGTATCTTTTTTTCTTCTATAACAACTCTTCAAAAAGAAATAGAAGAGAAGATTGGTTTGGATGATCAGTCAAAAAATACTTTCTTCTTGCGGAAATCTTTCGTTTGACCAGCCCTAATGAAAGCCTCAACTTTGGGCCGAAACATCGATATAATAAAATAAAATATATATATATAAAATAAAAATAAATATACTTATTTATTTTTACTGATTATCCCAACCATTCCTTTCTTCAATTATGCACTACAGTCAATCATCAATCCACAATAAAAAAGAAATAGGTTTTAATAAATAACTTTCTAATATTTCTTTTGTATTTTTGTTTATCAAAACCTATTCATAGATCTCTAATATGAATGTTTTAAGAAAAATATTTTCTATTAGATTTATCACAGGAAAATAAAAAATAAAATAGAAAAATATACGGTAACTGCCTCCTCTCAATAACTTTCTCTTTCATTTGAATAGTAAGGGCCTCAGTTTCTGGGTTTCGGTTGATTCTTGAAATATTTAGAAAATATGATCTAGGACAGATGTTCATTGAAGGTAACTTGTACTTTTTTAAGAGAACTGCGGAATGAAATAGGGAAAGTAAAGGATTGTAGGATGTATTTTTAACTTGTCACGTGATGTTATTAATACTATTACCAGTGGAAGTTCTAGGATAGTAGCAATGAAAATACCAATCTCAAACATTGTTAAAAGAGTGAACTGACCATAGTTTTATTTTTATTTGAAAACTAAAAAATAATTTATTTATTTTTAAGAAGTTTATTGAGTGAGACAGTGAAGATAAATGTGATGCTTGAATAATAAATTAAGTTAACTTTTGTATTTTAACTGTAATAAAACTTCCTAACAACTGAGCGGTGAGCTGGAACATAAGAGAAGCCTAAACACTAGGCAATCATAGCAGACAATACCTCCTCCAAGTTACACCTTCGGGCCCAAGTCAAGCAGTTGAATATTTCACAAGAAATCATTCTTGATTCACTCTCAATCTTAAATAAATATTTTATATTTCTGATTAATACGTTATAATATTTGTTATTCATATTTTTATATGCTAGGAGGATAATTAACGATATGCACAAATGGAATATTTTCCACCAAATATAAGCAAACTAAAAAAATATTTATAATTTATTTTTTCTTCAAACAGCCTAAATTTAACTAAAAGAACTCTGTTGTTCAATCTATTACTCTTAAGAACATTCATACTATTATTTTACACATCATCATCATTTATCACTCACTAAACTTTGAGTAAAAACTAATATTAAATAAAGGAATTAACTTTAACAATATGAAGTTAATTATAAATATAGTTGAAAACAAATTACGGACCTACAAGACAATCCTGAAACCTAATTGGACCTACTGGGTAGAACTGTGATGTCAGCAAAATGTTTTAACATCAAATGCATTTATGCGTCTAAAGTTCTTCAACAATAGTCCATTTTCTATAAATCCTGCATAATGACCTTAATATCCCATTTGTTCTTGTCCTAATTCCAGACAAATTTTCCAAATTTCACGAGAACCTAACTCAGCCAGAACTAGCTCCTTTCAAGGATAACTTTTTATAAATAAGTACTATTGGAGTTCTGACAATAGCCAGATTTTCACTCAATTCAAGTGAGTCTGTGACTGTAGCATCCTCACTCTATCTTTACTGGATTTTGATACCAGTGAGACACATTTAAGTGCTTTTTCCTCCACAGACCAGTAGGACAAGCCTGATTTAGAGTTCCCTTGGCTGATTGTAAATAGTGTATAAAAGTATGCCTGTGCTTACGATGTTTATTTCAATTCTAAGTTTGTTTTTTTTTTTCTTCTTTTTGCTATTTTATTTTGTTCTTATTTCTATATAATATGTTGCTATTACTTAGATTTTTGGGAAATATAGTATGGATATGACCTTACATCTTTCATCCTCAATTGAGACAGAATGTAATTCAATAAAAGAAGTAAAAAAATTATAAATGTAAATGAAAGAAAATTATTTTAAAATACAATAATCTTGGGCACTATTTGTTTTGGGCATGTCGATCTAAAATAAATTTTACAATTATTCGTTTAGTTTAACTATTACTTTAAACATGTAACTATTTTATATTACAAAAACTGCTTAAGTAACAGTTTGTAAAAACCTCACCAACTTTTGCTGGATACATCATCATAATGGTACAATCACTCACAAAAAAAGAATCAGGGAGATGTATTTTAAATCTTTTTAAAATGTTTTGTATAGTTCCGAGATGAAGAGATTTCTTCACGTCTCCCAAATATTCGTTCTATTAGATGTAGGGTAGAAAATTAATTTATCCTTGTATCATATCTCCATAGATTCGTAGCAAGTAGTTTTATAATGGTCAATTGATAGAGTTATTAAAATTATTTTAAAGTACCAATCATTTGATTATATGTTGTAGAACACAAGTAATCTGTTCCTAGCTGATTCATTGATTTATCCACATTTATACTATTATAGAAATCTATCTACCTAGAAAGTTAAAAATTCCATAGCTGATCGCTAGAAGAATTTTTTTTTACTTAAAATTTTAGGTCAGATGCTTTCAGCAGCAATATAATGTTCAAATGTATGTGGCCCTATTAGTACTATCTCCTTATAATTATTTAATAGTTAGTTTATTAACTTGTATAAAAATATATTTGTGTACTTCTAATGTATGGAATGAAAAACATAAATCAGAATCTTCATGGATTACTTTTGCCTGTTGAAAAATCTGAAATGGCAAAAATATACCTACCTAGATACAAACAAGAATACGTAACCAGAGAGGGATAGATGAAGGTCTAGCGGCATATAAAAAGGAGCTGATTAAACAGAGTTTTTCAGAACTTAAGTGTCAGTCCTTCCACTTCACAGGGAGGTGTACATACATCCATAGTTTACACAAAATAAAAAAGTGGCTGGTATTCCTAACCATTTATAAGCCTAGAAAAAAACAGCTAAGTCAACTATCTTAGACAGTTAAGATAACTATCTTAGTATAAATGAGATTTTATGATATTTTGTGTAAATGAAGTTGATTTTTTGTCAGTTAAATTATTCATATTCTATCTACTTAGACCATTATTTTCTGCTAAAACAAAATAATTTTGTGCATGATCTGTGCTAATAAAACTTTATGAATAAAAAAAAAATTACACAAATATGAACAGGTTATTGCAGGACAAAAAATATAAAAGAGCTACAATAAAAATATTTGTATTTATAAATATACATATTAGATTACAAAAAGTATAAAATAGAGGAATAATATTCCACTTTAAAATGTTGAATATATATTAATACAGAAAGACCCTTTGTATATATATATATAAATAATATTTGTAAATAAAAACACATTAATGATTATTTAAAAAAACATATTGAATGTAGTGTGAATAGGAAACCGAAAAACCCTTAAAAGGAAAGATATACTCGGTTGAAATGACCTCATATAATACTGAGTGTATAATTAAGGAACAACAAGAATTTATAACCATCTTAAAATAATTGTTATCACATACAATGCTATTCACATGCACATACGTATTCTGTCTAACCATAGTTACGTAATTAAGGTAATAATTGCTTAAAAAATAAGAAAGAGCAGAGATGTCCATTGCATCGATGTTTTTTGTTATTATTACTTCATTACTAATCTCAAAATATTTTCAACCATACTAATAGGATTTTCGAATCCTATGAATGAAATTAAATAAACTCGTTTGTTTGGAACACAAAATTTAAATTAATTGAAGTTTTAATATTATTCTTTTTGTATCACTTCAAAATGTCTGTTAATGAAGTTGAAAATGTTTGGGCATAGTAATAAAGTTTCATTGACAAGAGACATATTTTATTTATCCATCAAGCACCAACTTTAACAACCACCAAAAATAGTACTTTTTTTTTTAATTCCAAGCAAAACAATCTATCACAAATCCAAAAGTACTACAGGAGTATCAAATGAATGTACATGAAATTAATAATAATTCAACGTTTCTTCTTAGAAAGAAATAATAAAAATTATTATTATTAACAGTTCATATCAATTATTTTAATTGAAATTAATTCAATATACTCTATTTGCTACATGGTCATGGTCTCAACCAACATTCTGATCTTCAGTTTCTTTTAGAAAAATGCTCTGATCTTTAAACTACAATCAGCAATATATTTAAATATGACATGATAAGAATAAATACGTATATCTCTTAATGCTAGTAATTTTTTTTGTATTTAGTTAAATTATTATTTAATAAATTAAATAATATATATATATATAGTAGGC